GCAGACGATCATAGAATGATGCACTCAAACTCATCGCAGTCCTACTCATCCCCCAGAATGAGCCAGGTTCCGCTCGTATACCCACCCAACATGAACTCGGCAGCCCAGATGCCCTATAATCAACACATGATGCCCTCGTTTATCGGTCCCGGAGCGCCGCCGATGAATCAGTTCAACCGCAGCTTCTCCAATTCACCGCAATACGTCCCTCAGCAGCCGGGGGCGATGGGTGCTCCGATGATGATGCAGCCACAGTTCATGCCACAGCCAATGGTCGCAGGTCCTCCACAGATGCAACCTTACCCTGGTAACGGCCATCTACAGTTTATGCCTCCCGGCGCAACACCGCCCCAACCAATGCCTGGTGTCAATGGCTACCCCAGTCCAGGGCGGCCTACAGCCCCTCTGATGGTCCACCAGGGATCACAACAGGGACAGCCAATCTATAATATGAGTCCCAGTGTGCAGTATCAACAGCCAGCAACGTTTGTGCCGCAGCAGCAAGGACAGAGTAAGTGGCATATATGGCAGCCTGACCAGTGCAAGAAGCCAGCTAACATACGAGGGGTAGTGAATTCTATGCGAGGATATAATAATCCTGGCCCGCAACAATTCGGTACAAGCCCACAGCAAATGCATCAATATGGGCCCCCACATCGCAATGGAAGTAGCAACTTCAAGAATTATCAAGGCCACAACCAACACCAAGGTCCTCAAGGTGGCCACACGATTCCGTCTGGGCCTCAGGGGCGATCTTCCGAAGGCCCTGACGAAGCCAAGTGAACGGAGCTTTAGAAACTGCTCCCTAAGAACTTAACCAGCGCCGCGCTCCAGCGCATATCTATTTCTTCATTCAACATGGCATTGGTATCGGCCGCCTGTGTTTGTCGATTCTATCGTCGCCTTTGCATGGACATATAGCGTTATCGGAATTGTGACCTCGATCCGGTCTTCATCTCATTCAAACCCTCCAGCTGGGTGAAGACGTGGTGGCAATATTTTGTTACGAGGATCGGTTGCACAAGACAGTCGCTAACTACACATATCCTACTAAATCTCAAACCAATATCACGTGTCGACATCTTCTATGGCGTGGCCCTTAGTTACCTTGGCCTCGTAGGATATGTCTTTCAAACGTTTATTTGCCTAAGCAACGACAGGCTTGGGAAGGCATCGACCAGGATGAGGAAGTGTTGGAGCAGGCGGTCGGTGGTGCATGAGGTGAAGCAGCTTGAGCTTCTACATGTCGAGGAGGAGGAAGGAACCAAGTAGCTTTATCTGGCTGTAGCTCTGGCTTGATGGAAACGGTTGCGTCTATATTAGCGTCGTGGTCCGCTATACTTACTGCCAAACTGCCAATTGTCAAGGGCCAGCTTCAGCCAAGCAGGAGGAGAGAGGTTGTTTGCGGGATTGCCGGTCCAAGTGACAATAGCTTAACTCGAGTTATTGAAAAGTCCTCAGGAATGCGAATGAGAGACAGCCATATCGTAGTATCGATCTCGCAGATAACAATAAAAATAGTGTTTACACTAATTATACGTTGATCGTGTTGGCTACATAGGTAGTAACATGGTAATGTTAACTTATCTGGACATGTTATGATAAATACTAGTTTAGTAAGACGGGAATCAACTCAATGAGCCAGATTCGAATCTCGTCGATACTCTCTAGCTGATACCTTAGGTAGCCAAAGTAGCCTAATATACAGTTACGAGAGGAGCGTCAACGTCTTCTTCAAATACCGGCGGCATCAACTTACATAGTAGAGAGCAATATGTCGAATAGCTCTTTATATACATGCTAGGTATTAGATGTATGCTGGATATTTTACCTCAACTTATCGCTGTTCGGAGATTCCGACCTACCCACCGTGCTCAGCAGAACGTCATGATATAAGTATGAGGCGAAGGTAAAGGGCAGTGCTATTTCACGTTCATGGGTTTGAAACCCAAGAGCGCGTGGCAATGAAGGATTCGTTAAGACTACCTACTTATGTAGAGGAGACCAGTAAAATGGGTTCGGAGAGGATCTAGATCTACTTGGTATCTACGTAGAGGCAAGAAACTGCTATAACCAGCGAGTTCCACGAGTCAGATAATAGCTTGACTTGACTTGGGCCTGGCCTGACTTAGCCTGGGTAGAGGATATCTATCCGAGTCGAGCGCAAAAATTTTTTTTTTTTTTTGGTATTTTATATAAATATTTTTAAAGCAATATTATTGGCTGTTGGTAAAGGTTTTGGGTGAAATATATTAGGTGGCTGATATAGCTAATAAGTGTGGCTTTATAAGGGCATATAGGTCAAGTCGATATTTGACCTGACTCGTATCGGGCCAGGTATACATATACGATTATTTGACCTGACCTGATTCGTGGAACTCGCTGGCTGTGACATAGGATTTTTATCTATGTAGAACGTTTCGCTCTACTTCCAAGGCATTCCCTAATTATAATTTTAATTATAATTTCTGTTTCTGTTCCTAATGAAGCGAGTCGGTGATAAATAAAGCATTGAAACGGACAAGGCTGACTTTGGACCTGCCGTATGCAGAGAGTTCTATGCACCCCTCCCCGGGAATTTTTCTATATAAAAAATAGCGTTAGGGTAGCGTTAGGATACTAGGGTACTATATATGAGGGGACGGAATGGGGATGACGCTTAATGCGAACCTGGGCGAGGTCGGTTGGCGAAAGACCCATTTGAATGTTTCAGTGTTTCAACGTTTGAGCCAATCATATGTGGCTATGGGCTCCCTCAGTTAAGTTGGTTTGAGATCTCTTGTGCAGGGGTTAGGAGAAAAAGGGGAGCGAGTCAATCAATTTAGACGTTTCAAAGATCGACCTACGTAAGTGCAACCTAGGAGAAAAAGCACCGAAAAGACGAGACCCATACCCCCCTTTTTTTTTTTTTAAAAAAAAAAAAAAAAAAAAAAACCTTCCGTTTCTTTGGTCATTAAGTCTGGGGATAAACAGACATGTCATCTCCACCATCAGGCTATTCTTGTTTATACTTAGGGTACCTACATATGAGGTATGTATGCACGTAAAAGCTCCAATGCCAGGAGGTAATAGTGGGATGTTTCTTCTTTTTTGTGTGCGCGGTGATGTGATCGCTGAAGATCTACGCTACTACCCTGACTAGCCAATCTCGTCCAATAGGAGACCTTTTCCCTGACTTCCATTTACTAGCATTCCCGGACTTTCTAGCCTATGACCACGTTGCCCATCCTGCCATCAGCCGAGAAGTGAAAAATCAGAAAGCTAGGATCCTGACGAGTCACGATCTGGTTGATATCCGGCTTTACTACGGACATCTAATTAAGAACAATAATGAGCAATTAAGCACATCTCAGTATCGAGTCCATGTGCCGCTGCTCGTCATTTTACATACTCTCAATCGACACGATAAGATAACCTATTGTTATTAGGGTCAGATAATTCCGCGTTTCCGATTTATATAAGTACCTAAACATTTTATCCACATTACACTATACTTCTATCTTAGCCTTGTCGTGACTAGCGCAGTCTATATGAATTTGCCATTGAGGGTAGGTAGTTTAGTTGGAGGAATAATGGCACATCTATTTGCATGCGACGAAGGAAAATCAGGGGGGGGGGGAGTTCCAGGGATCCAAATGCCTCGAGGTGGCAAGGTGGCGGGACTATGTAGACAAGCGTTACCAAAGAGACCAAAGAAAGACAAGAAAAGCTTGTGAAGGTGCTGTGCCTGGACCGAAGCTGACGACTGTGGCTAAGGAGGCTAGTGAGAGCCAGGGGGAAAACCTAGACCTACAGTACTAGACTTTATTTAATGGCAAGCTAGGCTTCCGAAGTAGGTAGGTAGTCACTGCACATACAAAGTTTAAGTGGTCTGGTGGTGGAAAGTGCTTATGTAGAAGTCCCCTGAAACCCGCTTTTGACTTGGGTCGATCGTCGCTTGCAATGCAGCCACTGACTGGCCGGTCCGGGCTAGACGTTTCACCGATTCAGGTACCAGATTGGGCTGATTGGTGTAGGTTACTTCATCAAGTTCACCCTACCACCCACTTTCAGCTTTTACCGCTGCGGCGCACCGGCAACCAACTGCGCTTCATCACCTCCCATTACAATACCACCAATTATCTCTAATTATGCTTATCCCCGTAACATCTGGTGTCATCAAAAATCCTACCATTGGGAGCTTGTTCCCTAGGTAGGCATGTGCTAGAGAAGGGAATAAAGATGTGTGTTTTGCATTGTTTGAAGATCTGCTCTCTTCTAATCTAGTTCCGATGGAATGGCTGACTGTAGGCCACCCATTCGATAACCACCTACTTTATTTCTTTCAAGGAATCTGTGGATCTGCCTCGTGAAGATCGATGCATAACCACTCCACTCCAGCGGTTGCTTGGTTTCCTCCGTCAGCCATTGCCATGCGATAGGAGCTGTACAGCTGTACATACAGGCTGAGGCAGGCAGCCTAGGTGCAGTTTTACTCCGTAATAAGTGCGCGCCTGTTGATTCCCGGCCTGCGCTACCTCATCTAGACAGGTAGGTAGGCGAATGTGTGGATATGGCGGGGCGCACCCATGTCCATCCGAATTCACGATTCAGGGGTTCTTCCAACTAGTAAGACATACACTAGATGTCAGCCGAACGAGGGCGGGAGACCCGAGCGAAGCCAGCCATCATGGGGAGTGCATCTTGTTGATTCTGGATGTGACGTTGCCGCTTGCACGTAGCCGCCACACCTCCTAATATGAGTCTAATATGAATATAAAGATGTTCGTCGGCACCCAAGCATCACACAACTTCCTCTCACCACAACTCATCCGCCTCATCGGAGAAGTACAAGATCTTTCTCGTCTCCCCCCCACTCTCCTTTTAAACAATCAAATTTGACCTGCTGGTCACTCAGGAACTCCCAGGTGGTTTCCTACTATCTTTCCATTACATCGGTTCATTGTTCTACGGTCATCTGGCACGGTAGTTCTCGGTCCGCATCGTCGTCCCTTGTTCATAAACAAAGTCCTAGAGACAAATCGCAAGCTTCCCGAATTCTTTGTTTACGACCTTCCTTTGGAATATCGAACGTGTCAATATCATATTTATTAACCACCGAGATCCCTCGGCAACTTAACCTGCCAACGCTCTCTTCGACGAAACACTTTGAATTAGATCTTGGAATCTACCACGTGCCAACCGGCAAATCACAGTCATTATTCTTTTCTCTTGAAGAGAAAAGCTGAAACATAAAAAATACGAAATTACAAGAATAGCGAAGATGCAGATTCGATCTTTTCTCATTGCCGCGCTGGCTGCTGGTACAGCTACGGCTCACATGAACATGAAGGACCCTCCCCCACTAGCATACAAGGGTAACCCAAACTCCAAGGACCCGAATATCGACTACTCTATCACTTCTCCCATCACCAAGGAGCAATACCCCTGCAAGGGTTACCTCAAGTTGATCGGTACTCCCGAGGGTGCTTCCGTCAAGACCTACGCTCCCGGTGGCCAGTACTCGATGAGCGTCGAAGGAGGTGCCTATCACAACGGTGGTAGTTGTCAGCTCTCCCTGTCCTACGACAAGGGCAACACATTCACCGTCATCAAGTCGTTCATTGGTAACTGCCCTACCGCCTCGGGTGGTACTTTCAACTTCAACATCCCTACCGATGCTCCTGAGGGCGATGATGTCGTTTTCGCCTGGACTTGGGTCAACAACACTGGTAACCGAGAATTCTACATGTCTTGCGCCATCGTCACCATCAAGGGTGGTGCCGCGAAGCGTGAGCTTCCCATGCCGAACATGAAGCGCGACACTGCCTTTTCCAGCCGCCCCCAAATGTTCACGGCGAACTTGGACGGTGAGTACTGCACCAAGGAAGGCGTCGACACTGTTTACCCCGAACCCGGCCCAGACGTTGAGAACACGTCTACCAAGCCCGGCCCCGCAGTCTTGTGCGCCACTGGTGCCGATGCTCCTGAGGGCGGCTCCGGCTCCGGCTCTGGTTCCGGCTCTGGCTCTGGCTCTGGTGCTGGTTCTAGCTCATCAGCTGCTACCTCTGAAGTCGCTCAGCCCACATCGGCTCCCGCTCAGGAACCTTCTTCGGCCCCTACCTCCGCTGCTGCCTCGCCCACAATGTACGTGCCTCAATATCCTACATAAACTTTCATTCTGATCGATGAGCTAACCTTTTCTAGTACTGGTGGTGTTTTCGTGACTCAGCCTCCTTCCGGAGATGCTACTCCTACCAACCCTATCCCCACTGCTCCCTCGACTCTGTCTACGGCAGTTGTTCCCTCTTCGAGCGCAGGAGCTGGTGCCGGTGCTTCTTCCTCAGCTGTTGCGGTGCCTCCCGCAGCATCATCCCCTGCTGGTACTCCCACTACCAGCGCTAAGGCTCCTACCTCTACCGGTGGCGCCGGTGCCGGCGCTGGTGCTCAGTCTGGTGCTTGCACCAGCGAGGGCGCATGGGCTTGCTCGGCAGATGGCGCTTCGTTCCAGCGATGCGCTTCCGGTCAGTGGAGCGTGGCCATCCCTATGGCCTCGGGCACTAAGTGCACTCCTGGTATCAGCAACACCTTCCAGGTCGACCGTGTCCGACGGAGCCGCGTTCGCCGCGCTGCTCAGATTTAATTCGGACTACTGAGACAGATAGCTCCGAATTTTACCCGGCACATAAAACCTTCATCCCAAGGCTAGGGGCATGGGATTACTTCAGCTGTACATATTAGCATCTTCCTCTTCTTTTCTGTTCACTTCTTTTTCCTTCTCTCCGAGCAGGGTTTTGTTTTTTCTTCCTTTTTGATAGAATCATGTACACTAGGTCCCGGCTAAAATGGGACGGGGTTCCGGCTGCATGATCAACCACGGACGGAGGCATACAGCATTCGCTTGAGTAACGGGGATGAGGCTAAGGGGAGACGAGACCGCCCTAGCGACATCCTCGGATGCTAGATAAATCATAAAATTTAAGATCTTGATGACCATTACAATCTGGTTCCCTTCACTGTGACATAGCTTTGGTGTTTTTAAGTGAGTACTAGTTATTATGAAAAAATGAAAAATAGAACGAACAATAGGGGGGTTGCTTGAGTGATATTCACATCTATCCGTAGCCCATATCACCAATGGCTTAATCTGCGGGTAGTGCGTACAGCTTTAAGATTGTGTACGTGTATTCCTGATCAGAGGAATGTAAACGCCCAGTAGATAAGGTGAATCAAGAATCGGGCCTGTAGTATCACTATGTCATGTCTCATATTCTATTGGTAACTCTCAACATGTTGTGGGACCAATATTCAATCTATGGGGTATAATTAGATACTTATTATCTCGGACGTCTATGATAATTACACGCGGAGGCCTTACGAAGTCTTGCACATTACGACGTATCTAGTGGCATACAAACCTTCCCGGATCAACTCGGATCACTGTCAGCGATTATTTAGATGTGCTCTATCGCATGCGATTGAGTCCCTAACAACTTTCCCCCCCTCTTCGTAGACATAGACGCCCAGCGGCTTTGTTGTCTGTTACCCATAGCATATACCGATTGATATATATAAATAGGGGTAGTCGGGAGCGTTGTAGTACAGTAGCAAGCCTGTTTTGTGGCTGCTTTGTTTTTGTTATTTTTTGCCGATGGCCACATTCTATACCCTAAGATGCCTCCTATATTTGTGTTTTCACTTGTGCACTAGTCAGAAGCAAGGTAATAACTTTGTTTACCGCGAATAGCTATTCTGAACTTCATTTTGGGTATGTTGCTTCCGTAAAAGGCCCTACGTTATTAGATGTAAAAAAATAAAACAAACCCCATGTAAACATTGGTCCTTAAACGATAAAACAGTAGCTCTGTCATATTACCTTATAAAACACCATCTATAAAGCTGGCCGCTTCTAGGGATACCGGCCACACCCTTTTCTACCTAAACCCAACTAATCAATCTTCTTCTGGTATGTAACATATTGATAGCCATATCCAGGGTTTCGAAACTCATTATTAGGCCCATTACAATCAATACATTTCGGATATGGGTGGAGAATTGGCAATACTCGTAAACATAAGACCACGATTTGTCCTATTATCCTCTTGTAGCCCCTACTATACTAGAAATCCCCCCATCCCCCCCAGAGATAAGCAAGGTCTAGGTATTTCTACGAAATTCGGGTATATATAGATCCTAAATTGCCTAGTTGGTTAAGATGTTCGTTAGCCCTCGATCCTACTATTATCCTGATTATTCGGATAATTTGGCGAAAATCATATACTCCCGAGGGCATGACAACGGCCGCTACTGTGAACTCGCCCGATGGGTTGTGGTGCTATCCTTCGTACGCAGATATTCCTTTTCTTTTAAATCTTTTAGCTCTACTGTATAATAGTTACATTACCGCAGCGGTTTGCCATGGGCGGAAACTACTTCTTTGTGTCCAAAGACTATAGATGAGGGTTCATTTCGACTAGTTGGTCTTTCATGCGGAGAATCGTTGCCCAATTCGATAGTCACATTTGGCGGCAGTAGTTCTCTGGACAATTCCCAAGTCTTTAGCGTTGGGATATCTCCAGGTCCCAGCACATAATATCAGGATGTAATCCAAGAGGTCGCGGTAACAGCAAAGGCTAAGGGGAGCAGAGCTAGACACCCCAATAGAGGTGCCTTGGATTGAGCTCGAGGCGACGCTGAATCCTAAGTACGGAGCAGGAATATACGTACAGAAGCCGGAGCTAGAGGGTACCCGAGGCGTGAATTATGTTGGAGGGCCTTTGTACGTTAACAATAAGGCAGAACTTGAGGCTCGTCAACGCGAGATCGCGGGACTAGGTGGGCTTCCCCTCCCGTATTACCAAGAGGAGACCAAGCATTGCAATACATAACAGGTCGAGGTATATCTTCTTTACCACGGATAATGTATCATATCTTGAAGCATAAAGAAAACGGATATCAATTTTTAATGTTATGGGTGGGGTTGGGAGGGGCTTGATATTGAATAGTTATAGTTATGTGATATAATACTTAGGAGTGCTCTATAAACGCACGGCTATGAGTTGACTGTCTAGATAGGCACGTAATCTTTCAGATGTATATCAAATTATAAGGTGATAGCACATTCTACGCTCTTAGAATAATAGCGTTAGGGCCTTCGGGTTCCTATAATCTAAGATGGGTAAGTATAAAGGCGTATGCTATGACTTCAAGAAATACCCTGTGGAGAGGCAGAATACTACGAACCTAAGGCGGGATAACTGATGGATATGCAGCTTTTTTGTTTGATTTGTTTCAATGACCCCTGAATAGACCTCTTAGCACTTACTTCGTAACACAATCTGACTGGTGGCCCTCTTGTCGACCTGCATATAAATAGGGGGCGAGTATCAGGGGCGCTGTGATACAGTATCAACCCCGTTTTATTAAAATCAAGTGTCTGCTTTTGCCAATAGCCACAATCTACGCCGCTGGGATGCTTTAGTAGCTTAAGTGTCTCCCATACTTCTATTTCGACTTGTCTACTAATAGGAAATAAAGTATATAATACTTCAACTTAATTTGCTATACCTTAGCTAGGTACTATAAGCCCCTATTTAGGATGAGGGCGGGTTAGATGAAAATGGGCTTCGGGCCATAAAACAGGAGCGACGCTGTACTACACCAGAAAACGCTGTCTATGAACTTGGCTGTTCTTAACTATAATGGCAGCTTACCCTTTATCCTATATGATTCAGCTGTTTCCCACTTAGCGACAAACACAATACTCCATTCTTCCCATTTTACACATTTCATACTAGCTATACCATCATTTACGAACTTCGGCTGTGTGCTTAGGTCTATGGAGCCCCGAAGGATACCTGGCGAAAATTTCATTATCAGCACATCTGCTTTTACCCCTACATCGAGCGGTACTCAAATATCGGGCTCCTTGTCATCAACAACTGAGTCTACACCTCCTTTCCCTCCTCTGACGACAACCTTCACGCCACCGCCCGAATGTATGAGTCACATTGTACAGGGATGCAGCGGAAACACGTGTAGCGTACAAGCCTGTATGTAATATCAGAAAGTCCCCTTGTCCCCTTTGGTTTTCCTAGAAAGATACCTAAGATGTTCTACTCGAACTGATTAGGCTTCTCAACGATACACCCAAGAAACTCCTAGGGTCTCAGGCTACTAACTACCGTTTGGGAAGGGTCTGATCTTCGGTGCACCGAAGGCCCCCCAGGTAATCACCATGGAATAAGTTGCCTACCAAATTATGATGATTTTGGTAATGGCATAAATACATACTCCCCGGGCATAGTTTGTCCTTTAGGCATGACGACGGCAGCGAGCGCGATTTCGCCTGCTGGGGTCTGGTGTTGCCCTACGTACGTAGAGCTTAAAGTACCTAGGAGTTCCCTTCGATCACACGCTAATGTTCTCTATATTGTTATAGAAATCTACCCTGGGCGGGAGTTTCTCCATGGTGTTCAACTACGTTGACCAAGGGTTCTTTCGAATCTTTTATCGGTTGCGACTTGCCAATACAATTCTCTGGCATTACATTTGGTCCAGGCGCCACTCAAGTTTTCAGCTTAATGGACTCTCTGCAGCAGGCAGGGTCAGAGACACAGTTTTACACGGTTACTGCAAATACCATTACAGTGGTAGTATATGCGACGGGTGTTTTCCTCATGGGCCAAACGATGGCCATGGCTAATAATACCGAGAGTGTGACAATGCCCACATCGAGTGAAGTAAAGCCCATTGAGATTCCAACAGCCGCTGCTGAAGGAGATGATAGTTCTTCAAGCACGTCGTCGAATAGCGTTCTTATAGGCGTTATTGTAGGGTGCGTTGTAGGAGTTGGCATACTCGCCGGGCTAGCCTATTTTATCTTATTACGGCGCCAGCGGCGCCACAAAACACAGCAGGACGGTCGGTCTACGTCGATAAACGGTGCAAACCATGATCATAACCTATGCGATGACTACAGGAAAGCGGAATTGGACGCTTCAGTTGAGGCGACGCGGTCCGAGCTCGAGGGAACGTTGGGAATCAGCCACGGAGCAGGCATCTATATCCAGAAGCCGGAGCTAGAGGGCACGCGAGGAATGAGTAATGCTGGGGGTGCCGTGTACGTCAAAAACAAGGCGGAGCTGGAGGCTCGACCAAACCAGGTCTCGGAGCTAGAAGCTATTCCTTGCTCTGTATTAAGAAAGAAAGAAGCGCCGCCATCTCCCACAATCAAGATTCAAGACCTAGGTCGCTCTCATAGAGACCAAAAGCCTTCGAGACACGAACTAAGCTGAGCTCTTATCTTATAGCATTACGAAGTAGAACAGGCTACAAATGCTGATTAGCATGTCTTCTTTGATACGTGTAATGTGATACGCATGGGGATGAAGGTTAACAGGGCGAGAATCAGTTTAATGTGGTGGTAGAGTTATGAGATTACCTGTTGTTTGAAATATTAAATAAGAATTATAAGTTAACTGCGTGATATCTTTTCCTAAGAAGCGTATGTTGGATTTTCATCAAGTCTTGAATCGTCAAACAGCTCAACATGTTGATTGATATATTGACAATGAGACTCCAAGAATGACATGAACAGGTAAATAATACGAGATATTTTACAGCAAGAACCCGATATGATAACGAAATAACATTACACGCTAAGCCCAATCTATAGCTTCTGTTTGACACAGAAATCCGCCGAGGTTTAGCCCGAATTGACAAGGACCGTACCCCCTTGTCACAGGTCGAATTCAGGAGAGAGGTACCTAGGTTAAATCTTTCTACTGCGCGATCCTTCCTTCACCTTCAACAAACCTCCATCATACCTCGTTTCCCCCCGTCTTTTCAATTAGAAACTTGCAGTCATTCCTTACGCTGCAGTCTCGTCACTCATTAACCCCCCCTATAGTCATTCATTAACTCGTTAGACAATCTCTGCGATAGCTTAACTCTCCCCCGATCGATTCGGTCCCCCATCACCTCGGCGCGTGCGATTTAGAATCCGTGTTTCAGCTTCGAGTTTTTCGCTAGATTCTCCCGACCTTTTTTTCAGTTCTTCTCGAGCGATTTCGATACCATATCCGTCAACATGCGTGCTTTCTTCGCCATCTTTACTGCCGTTCTGGCCTTTTTCCAGGTTGCCGCTGCTCTTCCCCCGGCTTGTCTGTTGGCTGCTCTTGGGTACGTTGGTTCTGGTCCGATCCAAGCTGTGATTGATTAGGAGTAATATATGTGCGATTTATGGACGGGATAGTAGGGCTAATTTTTATCGTAATTGTAGTGTTCAGGACAACCCATCCGATTTGAAGGCGGTCTGTGGTGATCTCCAGCATGCTATCCAGGGCAACTTGACCAGCAGCTGCCACAAGGACACTCTCCCCGAGGCCTACCAGGTCTACTCCTCCAAGTGCTTGGAGCAGGGTGTGACCGTTGCTAAGCTTCCCACTTCGACTTCTTCTGCTCAGTCTAGCACCGGCACTGCTTCTGCTACTGGTGTCAAGTCCGTGTCTGCTTCTGCTACCTCGACTAGTGACGCGACTGTTACCTCTGGAGAAAGCGAATCCGGTAGCACTACGTGAGTATCTGGTGCCATCTTTATCCCTGTATGTCTGCTAATTGCCGTTCTTAATCAGCGAATCCGGCAGCACTGCTAGCCCTACTGGCAATGCTGGCACGGCCACAGAGCCCAAGCCTTTCCTCTTCGCTGCCGCCGCGCTTTTGGCTACGGGATTGACCAGCGTTATCTTTTTGTAAACGATATACCGATGAAGGAGTGATGAGCAATATGTGTATTGTTTCTAGGAGGTGGTTGGTTTTGGATTGTCCCAAGCGCGTTATACCCCAATTCCCACGGGCTCAGGTGAACTAGTTAGACTCGCATGTTGGGTAGCAGACAGAAGCCTCGAAAGGGGTTATCAATATCATCTGCCTAGCCTTGATTTAAATATAGATGGATATTTGTACTATACAATTGAGCGTTTATTTTACACGTCATCAAGCAATATGTCAGCTTCTAGTTCGTCTAAGAGCTTCTCTTCTAGGAGCCTTATTAACCCTTCCTCTCTAAGGAGGATAGCCCTGTTCTCCTCCCACTTCAGCCACGCCACACCTTGCAAGAGACTATCGGTTAAGTCGTCGAGTTTTCGTGGACCAGCATCACGAATTAAGTCCTCAACATCGCTCGATTTCTTCCGAGAGCGAGTCAGCTTCGAACGGAACCACTTAACAGCATCCTCCGTATCACGATTCGCAGGTAGAATGATCTCGCTTCCTCGTTTCATCGCTAACCAGCTCGTCAGAACGCCAATCTTATACTTCTTGCTATTCTGCTGCGACTTGGCTCCCTTTCGAGTCTCTCCATCGACCGCTTTAGCGGACCGGCTCCTTCTCATCTTTGCAGTCTCCTCGGACATAGTCGGTGGCGGAGGCCAGAATCGCGCGACCCTGTTGGGTGCCACGGATACTAGCTCGCCGTTCCAATGCCCTAACTCCCGTAACGTACGCAACGACGCGTGTAGCATGGCCTCAAGCGTGTTGACGCGGAGTGTCCATTCCTGGACTGCTGCGGCGCCGCCACTGCGCCATCGCTGCCGTTCGATGAGCACGTGCGTCGGTTTGAGAGGTAACAAGTCGTGACGCACTAGCCGGTCTGTCGCGATGGCGAGGGAGGCCGGGCTATAACGGTCGGGGTCCTCGAGTCCGTCTAACGAGGGCCCCAGGAGCTCTCGCCGCTGCCATGAGTGAAGGTGGACACGCGGCGGTCGGCGCAGGTCATCAACAGTTAGAGCAGAAGGTGAGAGGACTTTAGATGGCGCGGCGGGTGCTATGAGACTACAACCTAGGTTGCGGATGCCCAGGTCGATGCTCAGAATGAGTCGCGAGTCTTTGGTGCTGGGCGGTTTAGCTGGACGCGCGTGACTTAAGGCGATGAGCCGGTCGATGAGGTCCGCCTTTTTACCCGAGGTCTTCTCGCCGCATAAGGAAGCGAGCTGTTTCAAATTTGTGCTCTTGAACTTAGGTAGGATCGCTTCCAGCTTCGACGACATGGTGGCATCTATCTCGCACGCATAGTGTAACCAGCCCACCAACTTCTACATCCCCTTTTTACTAGCTACAGCGCCATGAGTAAGGGATGAGTATAATAAGTATGGCTAACAGGCTAATAGGTTTGAAACTTGATGATTTACCTATCTCAAAAATAGGTAACCTGTGAAATATAAGTGACGCTAACAGCTCGTGAAGTTTTCACAATTAGTACTTGGGTACAATCTGGACTACGTTTTTACATATAAACGGTCACGTGATCGTGTCTGTAGCAGACAACAATCTTAGAGCAATGATACAACTGTTTGTAATTCATTCATTATTAAAAATCTGACCCGGTAAATGAGACTTATTAAACTTATAGAACTGCTAACATGAGAATCCATAAATGAATATTCAGATTACAATATCAACCAATGTTAATACGCTCAAGTTCAACCTGAACACAACTCTTCGATCTTCTAACATTTCTAGCAACCCCTCTAACTTGCTAGCATCCTAAGAGAATCCTGGCCGCCATACATCATAATCGAACATGTTTTGTCGGAATTATTTGCCCATTCAATCACTTCCAAATGTCGCAGGAGGAGCACCGTTGATGATTATAACAGTTAGGACACGACGGATTAGTGGCAGATAGAATCGGCGAAGTTAGCTAAGTGCTAGAGAGGTATGCGTTTATTTTATTTTTAACTCACGCAAGTCCAGTACCACTCCTTCTTTACGTATTCCTTCTTCGCCGGGTTTTCAACACCCATGATCTATGGATATGCTGGGTAGATAAATATGTGCAGTGAAGAATATTTTATGAATGGTTTTCATTCGCTAGCGGCCCTCTATATTGTCTATGGAGATAGGTAGGCCTCTTAGCAAGGCCTTTCAGGGCGTGAGTTGCGACATCTTCAAGCACGGAATCAACGAGGATATATAGACGATACTCCGGCGGGGGAGGCAAGCAAGATCATATCATGTTCGACGCGAGTGGCGATTATTGCCAACGAACACCTTGCCCCCGTGCTATAGATCATCACACCCCGCTCCCCAGTAGATGTGAAGTTCCTCTAACTCACATCGCGTTATTCCTCAAACCCGCGTGCCCCGCACTTTATGATTGGCATATTCGCTTGTAGCTTTCAGGATTTGACTCAACTCCCTCCTTTGAGAAACGGACGGGCGGGGATCTTATAGGCTTGTGTAGCTGCTATGGAATAACCATGCCACGTATCCGCATAGAAAGGAACACGAGGGTTATACAGGCAAATCTAGGCTATCTAGTTCAGATATTTCGAGATGCTCAGATAAATGAACGGATCATAGAAGATTCTTCGAGTTTGTCTCGCCTAGCTATAATTTCCTTGTACGTCAGTGGTTCGACGACCTCGGTACCAGGTTGTTATTCAACTTACCTAGAAATTAGATATTTCTCGGGTAGAGACGGAATTAGATCATGTTGTTAATATATATTTAGTATTAGTATGTGATAGGTAGTTAGGTAATAAATGTAACATTTTACTCTTTCGTTTATATGTGAAACTCCAGTTATTAATAGAAGACATCATAGAAATCTATGATAGACATAATATAAAAATCTACTAACCTGATAGCTCATCGGCCAAGAATACAATACCATTTATTGTGTTAAATGTTTTACCCAGTCCTTTGTTTGTGCTAAACGTATATGCATATTTATGTAACCCCAAATGCAGTAGGATAGTCGTTGCTTATTCTGCTCACTGCCTATTTGGAATACCGGCTTGAACTTCATTGGATAAATACCTATGTTCTTATGTCAGGGTAGGTAGTGGTTATACGCCCTTTAGGTATGGGGAGATTGTGCTACGGTTTGGAGTCTTTACAAGAATAGGGGGACGGATTACAAGATATATGGGTCCTACTATATGTAGATCGGGTACGGAATAGAGTACGTACTATTCAAGGATTTGTCAAAGACCCTAGCACGGTAGCGCGGAACGGCGCACTTAAAAATAGGTGATGTGCTCGAACCGGCCAGCCGGTGCTTATTGATCACCGGTCAGTTCCAACTTCCGAGATTTTAGTAGGTAGTTTCTTTCTTCTTTCTTCTCTCTTAGTAATTCTTCAGCTTGTACGGATTAAGTTGCCTATCTAGGATATTGCTGATTGGAAATTCGCCGTATCGCCGTATTATCTGATCCCGCAGCTTGTACATACATAGAACCCTTTCTGCTCCATCTCGCAAGGTCTCCCATATAAGACGTCATTCCCCTCCACCCCGCCATTCCTTTCGTTTTCCTTTTTCTCCGTTGGAGTAAGCACATCAATGCAAGCAATTGGTTTATTTAGTCGGATATCGGCTGCTACTGTAACCTTAACATCTCCGTCTGCTCTTGCTTCTAGGTCCAGGACGGCGACCTCGCGAATAGCTTCACTCTCTAGACACTTCTCGTCTACCCCTCACGTCATGGCTCCCATATCTAAGGAGATCGACTTTCTGGTCATTGGTGGCGGAAGCGGAGGTCTTGGTTGCGCGCGCATGGCCAGCTCCAAGTTCGGTGCGAAAACCATGGTCGTCGAAGCCATGCGCCTCGGTGGTACCTGCGTGAATGTCGGGTACTGTAACCCCTCTGTGTTACAGTGTTACAAAACAAAAACAAAAAAGGAATAAATTCAAGAAGCTAATATCAAGTTTATAGCTGTGTACCTAAAAAGGTTACATATAATGCCGCCGCCCTCGCCGAGGCTATTCACGACGCTAAAGCCTACGGTTTCTCAGTTCAAGAAACGAAGCCATTTGACTTCACCACTTTCAAGCATAAGCGGGACGCCTATGTCAAGCGATTGAACGGCATCTACGAACGAAATCTTGCCAACGACAAGGTTGAATATGTGCACGGGTGGGCAAAGCTGTTAAGCAAGAACGAGGTCGAGATAACACTAGACGACGGCACGAAAACCACTGTACGCGCCAATAAGATCCTCTTAGCCGTAGGCGGCCAACCGACGAAGCCGCCATCCGAAATTCCCGGCGCGGAGTATGGCATCAACAGCGATGGCTTCTTTGACATTGACGTGTTACCTAAGAAGGTCGCCTTGGTGGGGGCGGGGTATATCGCCGTTGAGTTTGCAGGAATGTTCAATGCCTTCGGTACTGAGACACATCTGTTCATCCGGCACAAGACCTTCTTACGCCACTTCGATCCTATGATCCAGGAGGGCGTTACTAGCGAATATGAGCGGCTCGGTGTACGCGTGCACAAAGAGTCCGCCCAGACTAAGATCGAGAAGGACCCTAGCACTGGCAAGCTCACGATATATTACAAGGATAGCAATGGCGAGAGCAAGCTCGAGGGCGTGGACCACTTGATCTGGGCCATTGGCCGTACCCCTATGACCAAGAACATCGGCCTGGAAGAGGCGGGCGTCAAGCTTGATGAGAAGGGTTACATCGTCACCGACGAGTACCAGAACACGTCCGTGGACAACATCTACGCGCTAGGCGACGTGTCCGGCCGAGTGGAACTAACCCCCGTCGCCATCGCGGCCGGCCGCCGACTCGCGGAGCGTCTTTACGGTGGCGAGCAATTCAAGACAGCGCGCATCGACTACTCCAACGTGCCATCCGTCGTGTTCGCTCACCCCGAAGTCGGCAGCATCGGGCTAACAGAGCCGCAAGCCGTGGAGCAGTACGGCCGGGACAGCCTGACCATCTACCAGACGAGCTTCACAGCCATGTACTACGCGATGATGGAGCCCGAGGACAAGGCGCCTACCAAGTACAAGGTGATCTGCGCGGGTCCCGAGCAGAAGATCGTCGGCCTGCACATCATGGGCCTTGGTTCCGGCGAGATGCTGCAGGGGTTCGGAGTAGCCATCAAGATGGGCGCTACGAAGAAGGATCTGGATTCGTGTATTCCGATTCATCCAACGAGCGCGGAGGAGCTTGTTACGCTGAAGTGATGGGTGGGAGCTAGAATTTAAAGACAATATAAGAATAGAAAAGAAACGAAGAAAACTGGTCTTGGTATCCGGTAGATAATGAATGCATGATATAGAACTGGCTGAATAAATGCCATTTCATGACATGGATATGTATTAGTGAGATGTGAGGTACAATTCTAGGGAACCCATTAGAGAGTCATTTCAAAGAGCGTAAGTTGAATGTGGAAAAGGGGGACATGCTCGCTCGCTATTTGTTGCCCCCTACGGCAAGTTAAATACTACTAGAGTTGTAATACCTGCACTGGCCTGTTTCATTCCTAAACAGCTGCTTACCAGGCGTACAAGTATAGTGTTGGTCGCTTACATGTTGGCATCAGCAGTCCATACGCCTCTTTCACCTCCCCCCCTTTTCTACACTGGGTTAGGAAGTTAGAAAGAGTAAGAGGATCATGCACAATGGAGCGAATATCTCACTATCAGTACTCAACTCGTGATACCTTCTTTCGAGTTCAAAAGAGCACATGTCAGTATTCAAAGCACTAGCCATGATCAAAACTTTCGTCATCACACTAATTACACCTGTTATTATGCAACAAATTCGGCTTCCTTAACCTTTCATTCACTTCAACATGTTGATAAGCACCAATGTTCAAATATAGACACGAGGGACAGACAAGCAAAGCACATGTAACCAGATTTTGATTGGTATTCAGACATTATAATTTGACACATGGTCACATTATTGAGTAACGCCGGTTGCCCGAGTCGGTCGGGCTTTTCCGGGAGAAAGATCATCATAACCACCAGCCCGTGTTCCTGTTTCCCCGTAACGCCAAATACGGTGAATTATACTCCTTGCTCCGTGTTTTTGACACGGAGCCTTTATACAACAGATTTAGACTAGACCAAAGCCTTTTTTTCTCGCAGGGAATTCACAACGGAATCTCGCGATGTATTCGTACCAGGCTACTAAGTAGGTAATCAAAGTGGGACCCGAGTTTCATGCTCGCTTGTATACTGTAGAACAGTATAACTAGAACAGTATAACTAGAACGGCATGATAAGCATATCATCGGTATGAAACGACTCGCCTCGACTAGAAAGCGGGCTTGTTTCCACCGTTAAGCCGATAAGAAGTTAGGGGACCCGAGCCTCCACTGGGGCTTAACATATTTGATAAGCCCTGGCGATCTTCCTGTGACGAAGTAGTGGAAGAAAATGACGAGTTTAGAGACGTAGAAGTACTATTCATCGTCGCAGAACGAGACATCGCCAATGCTCCCATGGATGATAATAATGCGTCGGCACGTTCAAAAACGTTCCCGTTAAACACGTTGGAAAGAGATGCGCTCTGGGGTGTCGATGGCACAGTTGCTTGTACAGCTGGCCCAAGAGCAGCGCTTTGGGGTGTCATAGGCATCTGTATTTGGCCGACCCCGGAATTAGTCGAATAGTGGCTTGGCGAATAGTGGGTGGGCGCGTCGCTGATATTGCTAGTGTGTCGAAGGAGGTATGCCCATGGGGAAGTCATGATAAGATGGTTGGTCTCTTTTATGCTGATTTGAATAGGCCGTAATCTAGTCCTAATATCTAACGGAAACGTTATTTGATCCATGGATGCCTTCAGCCTACTCCCGAATTCGGCCCAAGAATCAATAAAACTTTTGCAGAGGCTCCAGAAGAGGGGATCTGTCCTGACACCAGGCTCCTTTAGTTTGATAAGAGACAAACGGTCCTTTAAGCGCTCTGTATCGGCAATAGAGATTGAACATTTGGCGACGAGACCCTTCCAGCAGCGTACTATGCGTTCTGGAGCTCGTTGATTTTCCGCATTGCGCCTGTATGCGAGAAATTGTTGGTTGATACCGGGGAGGATACGCATGGCAAGATCTGACGATTTTTGTAACGACAAAAATATCCTCTCAAACAATCGCTCGTCTGCGGTAAAGTCGGTGGGATACCTCATATCCCCATTTGAGGATGCGAACGATTCCCCGGATCGGGGTGTGGCCGATGTGATTTGTGCCATCCGGCCGGTACCGTTTATGTAGGGAATTGACACGTCCGTTGCTACCCGAAGATTGCCATGGTTATGAGCTAGAGCTCTAGGCCGCGGTTGACTACCTATGTTTGGCCGGTCGATTGTGGGTGTTATAGAATTGTCTCGAGGATGAATTCTGACTGTATCTTGGATCCTTGTCTGCTGGTATCCCTGGTTAAACACAGGCGAGCTTGTGGCAGCGGAGATCTCGTTAGCGGTAATACGAAGTTCCATGATGCTGTGATACAGCAACATCATCATCGTGCGGATATAGCGCGGGTCCCCATTATCAACGATAGTATTCATATTGTTCATGAGGAGTGAACAAATATGACTGTAGGCATTAATTAAGGTTAGAACGGCCCTTTGGACATTTTCGTTCTCACGTGGTGTATAAGGACCATTCTCCGTGGCAAATTCATGTTTTTGAATCTCTTGTTCCAATTGCTCAATATGGAAATTGGTATTGTAGAAGACAATCTCGAGGCTTGACCGTTTGGTTGTGCCATCATTTGTGAGCCTTGTAAAGAGTTGTATGGTTGGATGGATCTGGAAGATTGCATAGAGAATGCCCTTTGCAGACTCGATAATAGGATCGAAAATCCTTGATTCTCGCCTTTGTTCCGGTAAGACAGATAAACGCCTCACGTAGTTTGGGCGATGGAGTAGTGGTTCTGCTGGATTGTTTGGGCTGATCGTAGAAGTTCCATTGGGATTTAAGTGGCCCGTCATGGATGAACCATGGCTCAATCCTCGGTAGTGGCTGAATCTGTTATTTGCCTGGCCTTCCTCCAAGGTTCCGAGCTCAGTCGGTTTTTTAGACACAATACCCATGCGCCTGTTTCGGTCTGACGGTCGCTCTGCTCTCGGTGCTTGTAATAGCGTCTCGCTGTTTGACCTTAACCTCTCATTGGGGTTGCCGATGGTGAGAGGCATAACGCCAGGTCTGCGGATAGCCGTATTCTGCTGAGAGAGGCCTCGAGCATGTGATCGAGAAGGTATAGGTGGTGGTCGGAGTACGGCCGGGGATCTCATATCTGACACGTCGCTGCCATTCACCCGAATGGGAAATCGCCCGCTGACCACTCTTCTGACGGGCATTCGAGGTGTTTCAATTCCGTCGCTGAGCTCATCTCCACCATTCTCGCCCTCTTTCTCTCTTGCATTCATACTTTGCGCTTTTTGCTTCAGAAACTTCTTAATGTGTGCCGTAACAGCGAGCTCCGTTATTTCGCTCTTCTCCAGGAAACCCTCACTCGGAGGACTGCTAGCTTGAACCTGTAATACCTCCCTTGGCGGAAATTTGATATCGTTTCCGGCTAGCCTTAGCATTTGCAATGAGACCATATCAGCTAAACAAAGCGGAAGCTCCTCTATCCGGTTCTTTTGCAAAGCCAGCACCTTAAGCGAGGCCAATTTTGAAATTTCGGGTGGCAGAATTCGAATTTTGTTCCTCCCCATATCTAATATCTCAAGTGACTTGATGTCGCAGAGCTAGAACACGTGAGACAAGCATTTAACCAATTAGAAAGGGAGATAATTACCGATAGAGGGAACTCTTTGATTTGGTTGGCCCTAAGGTTAAGATATCGCAAATGTGTACATTCCGAAAATCTGGCTGGTAGAGTCGATAACTTGTTATGCGAGAGCGCCAATCTATGTAAGACCAGACACATTAGCATGCTACTATGCTACCCAGTTATGGATTCGAGACTAACCGCTCTAATTCATTCTTTATTATGTCCACTACCTCATCTGGCAATGCCTGAATATTTCTTCTACTGAGGTCGATGGTAACACCTGGTTTGAGTTCGGTACTAACACCACTCGCCTCGGCAGCCTGGGTCTCGTTTTCTTGTAAGGCACTATTCATTGCTTCCCTAGCAAGGGCGATGACCTGGCCGGCGGACAGGGGGGCAGATGTAGACAGCATCGAGCCGGAGCTACTGCTAGCGGAAGTGTTGAATTGGTCGGGGATTGGGGGAGGCGGGGGGAGAGGCAATGCGGTCGTAGGAGGACCTCGTCTCATTCCGGGTGGTAGGCTTGTGGGTAGATTTCTCGAGGTCGACTGAGGCTGTATAACAGCAGCGGCCATGCCGCCTAAAGCAACATCCATAACAGACCCAAACGTCGGGGGCTCAGATGATAGTTAGAATTGGGTAGGATATTACTTCAATCGTGTAAAATCGTAGTGTCGTGTGAGTGACTCGTGGCAAATATTTTCCCAATAGGTCTGTTAGAATGGAGACGGTGAGCTGAATAGAAGAACTGAGTTCATCGTAATGCAATACGTAGTTGATTTCGAGGACGAAACTGAACTGGAAGCGGAACTCAACAACCCGATACCTAGTTTCAAGTACAAAAGTGGTAGACTCATGGAATTGGGCGTAAGTAAAGACAGAGCCAGAGCTGTGAGAGAAGTTTCGACGAGAACTGTTACACTAGTAGTGCTTGTGAAGGGTTCGGAGTTGAAACAGGTCTAGTCGAAAAGGTGAAGCACTGATGTCGTCGAAGAGTGCAGAAATTCGTATGCAGGCCCCCTGGTTCTTGAAGCTCTTTCAGGCGGTCATTAGGGGGGGCCAAGCGATGTGCGGCGCAACGTAGGCTAGGTAGACACAAGGGATCGGGTCTTGGGCACTAGTTGGAGGGAAGGGGTTCTTTGTCCACTAGCAACGCCTGGAATAAGGGGATTAAAACAGCGCCACGGCAGGCGTGAAGTCCTAAATAATAGTGGATGATTTGCTGATAGCAGAGCGGTAGGGGCGTAAAGGATACCAAAAAGGGAAGTTGGTGTAAACGAATCAGAGCAAAGTGGGGAAAGCGTTTGGGTCATCCCCTGCTCGCGTCTTTTAGTCCCCGTTTACTCGTGAGAGAGGCTCGAGTTGAGACTGCCAGCCGCCGCCTTTTTCCTTTCTTCGCATTGTTGGGTGTGATGAGTATTACAGAGGTAGGGGCCACCAAAATAGATTTGTTCTACAAGATTTTTTAACCCCTTCCATTCTATTTTCATTGAGAATTGGTGCGTAGGTAAGGTCAATAATTGAAATACTTTAGGTTAGGCGCACAAACAGATCAAATTTGTGCATATGTATATTGCATAATGTGTTCGGTCGTACCTTACAGCTGTGGCGTTGGTACATAAGAGTGTGCCACTAAGAGGTAACCTAGGTATATGCACGTACCATATACTGCCCCAAGACCCATTTATTTAAGTAGTTCCCACGCGACGGGTGGAGACCGACGCGATTAGGCAAGTCTGGAAGTTGCGATGGCCCACATAATAAGTAAAGATAGAAATATCAAAAATATCCCAGTCTCTATGTATTTCCTACTTGAGGAAGAGCATCCAGATAGTTAGTACCAAATAGTGTTTGACCTGTGCAATTGACTTTATCTTCTAAACTTAACTTAAGCTGGAATCCAGGCACTTTCAACCATCTCAGTAAGATATCGCAGTCACCGATTTCTATTACCAAGCATCCATTGGGGTACCTATCCTTAACACGGTATTCAATGCTAGATGGATGCCTATCTGGATGCAAATGAATGGATCTTGTTCACGTAATACCCAAGTACTTTAGCTGCAGAGTTAGCTGTAGCTATATATGTATCTTGGAGTATACTTCATTAGGAAAGGCAAATACGTCACTTTCAACCATTTGAAGGGTTCGTGAGAGTCTACCATAACCCTAAGATACTCGAGAAAATTGTCAATAAACTTGGCCCATATGGACAGCTAGGCGGCAGACTCAAAAATGCCCGCCCTAGTTAGGTCCAACTCGTTTATCTTCCCTGATCTCGACTTTACGTTACGACGTCAGTTCAACAAGACTGGCTTTCGTCCATTCCAGCGAGAGATCATACAAGCTGCGCTGGATGGCAACGATGTCTTCGTTCAAGCAGCCACATCCTTCGGGAAGAGTTTATGCTTTCAGCTTCCTGCCGTAGTAGATCAAGGCAGTGAGTTCTTAACCTCTTCCTCCCCATTCTTATTATTTCGCTTTTATTTCCCATCAATGCTAGCGTTTTACTTACATTGAGATGTAGTTACTATTGTTGTATCGCCATTGCTGAGTCTCATGATGAACCAGGTGGAAGCTCTTCGAGCTGCCGATATTAACGCTAGCTCGTTGAATAGCAACACGCCTCTGGTAGAAAAGGACCGCATTATGAATGATCTCAAAACTGGTCACCCCCGAACTCGGTTACTCTATGTAACCCCAGAGCTTTGCGCCCAGGACCGTTTCCGGGACAGGTTGAGGGTGGTTCACGAACAACGAGAACTTGCGCGTATCGCTATTGACGAGGCGCATTGCATCTCGGAATGGGGCCACGACTTCCGCAAGGATTTCAAGAGACTAGCATGGTTTCGAGAGTCGTTTCCGGACGTGCCTATTATGTGTCTGACAGCAACAGCCAACAATCAGGTGCGCAATGATGTGCTCGCTATCCTTAGGTTAGACGTGAACCCGGAAAGGCTGAAAACGTTCACAATGACTGCCCACCGGCCAAATCTCCACTTCGAGATTCGATTCACACGTGATGAAGATGATCAGCGTCTAGACGACTTCCTCGGATGGATCCGCGGCGTATATCAACGTAGAGCCAAGGATCCACGAAAGAGTGAGCTTACCACCATCGGTGAGCGAGCTGAGAACGTTCCTGGCATCATCTACACTATTTCGCGGGATGAGTGTGAGAATCTTGCCTCGCAGCTCAGACAGGAAGGCATCGGTGCCCAACCATTTCATGCAAAACTGTCGAAAGAGACTAAGGAACGTGTTCTTGCTAAATGGGTATCGAACGAACCTGGGTATGACATAATCGTAGCTACAACCGCGTTCGGTATGGGTATTGACAAGAACAATGTCCGTTTTGTTGTTCATTGGAGGCTACCTAAATCCTTCGAGGGATATTATCAAGAAGCTGGACGAGCTGGGCGTGACGGAAACGCTGCGTACTGCTTTCTCTACTACAGTCGTGAAGATAGGGACCGAGTCAGCAGCCTGATCGTGCGAGATCGCAATTCGGTTTCGAATTCCAATTTCGAGGCACGCGCCAGAAGCCTGCAGGCTCTAGCCCAATACTGTGAGAGCACAAATGCTTGCCGCCATAAGCTCATCTGCAAATATTTCGGAGAAAATGACACTCCAGCATGTGATTATGCATGCGACTGGCATAAAGACAGCGCCGATCTTCAGCGGCGTTTCCTTAGGGGACTGGCAAGTGAGGAGTGGGTCAGCACGCAAAGAGAGGAAGGGGTGTATGAAGTAGATTGGGATGAGTAATGTATAAAGAATCTTCGTTGGCGGAAAAGGTCCGATTCGTAGTGTAACAGCTACGTCGATGTTTGGTCCTGGATAGAAGCAAATCGGTATGCTAATGCTGTTAGCACCCTAACTTCTAAGGCACCTTACGCATGCCATGTTACATCCCTCCAATCGGCTCGATCGCGACCCCGCATGTTTAACATCAGCCCGCAGCTCTGAAGTAAAGCTCCTCCTTATCCAATTATACCAATATCCAATTCTTTAGTAGGAATTCTCTAAAGGGTTACAATTCTATGTTTTGCTATTGCCAAGATACAATACAATTGAATCTCCGAGGAGCATCGTTCCATAATGTCGGCCCCGAGTTCATCGGCATATCCTCCGCATTCCAACCCCTCCTCCGTCCCCGGGGCTCCGGCCAATATATCATCAACTCCAGCTCCGAATAATACGGCTGGGTCGTCTAACGCCGTGAGCGCGCCATTCCTCTCGCCATCTTCTCATTCTACCGCGCCACGTCTGCGACCATCTAACTCCGCCTCAGCATCTCGGAGCACTACAACACCCCCTACAACTATTACCGCATCCTCCGCCACCGGAGCTCAGCCCCGCGTCACCATGGATCTGAACCCAACCCTGCCGTCCCGCACGACACAGCTGCACATTGACGAAGCACGTGCTGCCCTTGTAGCTTCCATGTCGAACATGCTAGATTCTGAACTGCAATCGCGCGCCTCGCTACTCCATTCAAATGCCGCGGCATTAACTAAGCAAGAGAAGGACGTGATAAAAGGAACCGAGGCGCTACGGAAAGAAAACGACAAGCTCGAGAAACTAGCCCGCGACACAGAGCGCAAGATCAAGGAGCTGGGCAACGTGCAAAATTGGGCCGAGGTCTTGGAAAGGGACTTCCTAATCTTAGAGGAGACGGCACGCCTGGTGAGAAATGGCAGCGGGAGCGATAGCTGCAGTGAGTGTAGCAGAAGTAGTTGGTCAGGGAGCTACAGCGCTGATGATAGTAGGGCGGGGAGCCGCCGAGGAAGTGTGACGGGCGACGCTGATGTCAATGGTAAGAAACCCGAAGAACTTGGATCGAATGGTCATACCGCTACAGATAGTGGTGCTAGAAGCGGCGCCTTTTCTAGAAGGGGTGATGTACATGTCACCGTGGACAGGGAAGTCGCTGCGAGTATTAGTGAAGCTATGGCTACGGCCCTACACGAGTCCCTGGATACTCTATCGCTGGATCCGGTCCTGTCTGACACGCATGAGAGCTCGATTAAAGGTAAGGAACCAGCTACTGAGGGCAGTAGGACAGAGGTTGAGAATTCGCCTGGCAATATCCCCGAAACCGGGCCCAGTGAGCTATCCCTACCATCTAGTAGGACACTATCAGAAAGTCGAGAGAGGGATGCAGCTGAGGATAAGAATCCGAGTTCTCCGACAGTAATATGATGTTAATGTGAACTACCAACCTTTCTTTGGGGAATTGGATTGTGAGCATGATACCGGAGTCGGGGCTTAAGGTCTAATAGGATTTTATAGTTGGGAAATATATTACGGGCAAATATGGGTTACTTGAGGGGACATGTCATTCGATAATAAGTTAGAGATTCGAAAGGAGAATCCGTCTTGTACTAAGTACAGTTTCCCTTATGAGACGAGTGGACGCTCATATATAGTTGAGACAATTGACATTTAATATTACATTAATTATCTCAGTCGGTTGCGATTAATTACCTAAAGTTTACTACAACTCTATCTACCCTCAAATATTTCTAACCATCCAAACCTCTATTTATACCGTTCCCATAATTTTCCCCATCTCTAAGAGTACATCTACCAGGTCGTGCAAGGTTGAATATATCTCACTAATCGTTACATTCGTCGCGAAGGATTCCAAACCTAACAAGCTTATAGGAGGCCCGGGAGAATGACGCTGCGCTTCTTCTTATACTTGTCGCCAAACTGCTTGCGGTAGGCCTTCTCCTTGCCCCATGCCCAGGTGTACATGAAATAGGAGCCGATGAAGATGAAAAGCAGCAGGGACGGGCTGCGGGTAACTAGAATGATACCGATCCAAGCTATGATCTCAAACATATAGTTGGGGCAAGTCACAAGGCTAAAGCTGTGGCCGCTAGGGATCTTCCTGGCTGTCTCGCCGGGCTTGCGTAGGTGCGCTAGGTAGTAGTGGACGTCGAAGTTACCAATTTCACCGATGAAGTAGAGGGCGATTCCGAGGTAGGTAAGGGGAGTCGGGACGTCAGGGGAAAGAGCAGCGGGCGAGAAGGGCGCGTAGATCTCGAGGGCGCCGAGGAGACCGGCGAAAGTCCAGTAGAAGAAAGAGTTGCGGAAGACGTAGGCGAAGGGCATGGTGTTGGCGGAGAACTTGTGCAGGAATAGGGTCTCGAGCTCGCGCTTGACGAAGTGCGCCGTGATCATGGCGAAGGCGGCCTGCTGCGCGAACGAGAGCTTCCCGTCGGACCGGATGCCGTAGGGGAGATGGTTCTTGAGTAGAGGGTATACGGCTGGGTATATGTGGTTTCGCAGGCCTAGGAAGAGAGGGTGGAAGAGTAGGGGTCCGAGGTACTCGATCACGTAGACTAGTCGCCAGCTGATCTGGGCGCCTGTTCAGTTTGGTCAGTACTAATTCTATATAGTCCGGCGCAGAGAAGAAGGACATACCAAGGTCCTTGACGAGCAGTTCTCCATGCTTCACGACTTCGGACTGTTCCCGCAGCAGAGCTTTCCTATCCTTAAGAGTCTTCTTAGAGACAGGGTCAAAGATGCCAATGCGGTTGAAGTCCGAGACCCTGGCGGCGCGCGCAATAGCCTTCTTTGCGTCTTCAACGGTAGCATCTTCGGGCAGCTCAACGGAGGGGGGAAGTCCCTTGAGGCCCTTCCGTGACCGGTTGGTGACTTTTAGCGACAAGCCTCCCATATTGTAACAGACGACCACGAAGCCAAATCCGATTCAATTGAACTAGCAGAGACAGTAGGTATCTAACTCCTGAGTCCTAAAAGAAGGCGTTGGAGACCGGGCGGATTTAGTTAGGCCGGTAATGAAGATGGTGAAGTCCACGTTAGTTAGTTTGACTTTTTTGTGGGAAATTTGTTGAGTGGTTCCAGCTGCATTAGAGCTGAACACCGAGGTACATAGTAATTACCCTGTAGGTCCAGTGACGTCTTACACCGTACTTCAGGTGCTTTTTTTATTTTTACTTTTTCAAGGGTTATATGATAAGAGTATTACGATAAGAGCTACTTGCCGAGGCCCGACAACACATACATATTATTTATTAGGAAATAGGACGCTCTAAAATATTTTCATGATACATAGTAATTTACCTATGTAGTGAGATATTGTGAGGCGGTTATGCATCTTTACCAAAGTTATTTGAGGTCCGGTAATGATTATGGCAGCAGAGTTACACCGTACTACAACTCACCAGTAGGTACAATGTTGATATACCGGGATAATGGATGTGACGTCTTAGTACGAAGTATTATGTAGTTATCAGCTAAAACTACAATTCAGCCACAGAACTTTACGAAGAGATATATGTATTTATCCATCATCGCCCCTCCAACTTGTCGTAAGACATCGACAACAAATAGTTCCGCACTCCCGCTTCCCGCCTCCCGGCCTCCCGGCCTCCCGCTGTTGAGTTCAAGTTCATTAACCTTGACCAATGCCATTGTTTCAATGCTGTCAAAGTCCGCGGGACTTAGCACTCCCATAATCCCTATGAAAACATATTATATTCGAATATGCCACCGCCCAACACTCCGGAAGAAGGGCTAATAGCTACCACCGCAACCCTCGCTCTCCGACCTTTGATGGGTGGTGATCCTACCGCCACTACCCTAGATCTCCGAGCCCTTGAATACGAAGATAGCGTTGACGAGAACCTCATATGTCCCATATGCCGAGTCCCATTTGTCTCTCCGGTTATTACAAATTGTGACCACGTCTTCTGCCATAGATGCATCGTTCAAGCACACGCTCTAAACCCCGTCTGCCCCGTCGACCGACTTCCTCTAAAGCTCGTGTCCGAGACACGGCCCGCGCCTAAGATCGTGCATAATCAGCTTGATAATCTATCCGTCAAGTGCCCGAATAGTTCCCGTGGCTGTGCTCTCATAGTTTCTCGATCGTTAGTCGAAAATCACGTTGCGCGGTATTGTGATAAGACGCTTGTACCATGCCCGCACCCGTCCTGCAATAAGTCGGTAATCCGAAAGGATATCGGGAAAGGATGTCTCCACTACGATGTTAAATGCAAATACTGCGAGCAAGTAAGACAGAAAGCGGATCTTGAAGAACACCAAGACACGGAATGTCTGAATCGGAAGACGGAATGTGCATTGTGTAATATTGAGTATGTACGGCACAAGCAGGAGGAACATTCAAGAGAGTGCCCCGAAGCCCAAACTAGCTGCAAGTTTGCCTTATTTGGCTGCGAGCAACTCGTCAAGCGCTGGCAGCTGGAGGAGCACGCACTGAAGTGCGCATATCGGGTTGTTGGGCCTGTAGGAGAGCAGCTGGCCGAACTTCGAGCCGAGCTTAACACTCTCCAAGAGAGAGATCGATTAAAAGATCGACGGATCAAGTTCCTCGAGAACCGAGGATTTCCGCTGCCGACACCGACCTCACCAGAGCCCATGTCGGATATCAATTTACCAGAGGGCAGCTCAACCCATGAGGACAGCGCGCCTTACGAATCTCGAGATCAGTATTTCTTATCCCTATTTGAGGCCATGGAGTCCAAGGTTGAGCGCCTTTCTACCGCGCTCAATGAAGTCGAGGGGCGACATTCGATGATGCTTTTCAACGAGAGTTCGCAGATCAAAGACCAGCTTACTGAGATTCGGAGCACCATGGGCGTGCTCGGGATGCATGTTAGGTGGCTCATGAACTTCAGATTGCAAGAGAGAGGTAGGGCCGGGACATCCTCTCCGGCCATGCCAAGCTCCTTCTCTGGCAACCAGGCGAACATTATTGACGACAATATATCCCGACGTATGATCGTTAACTTACGAGAGCACCCGCCTCGGTTATAGGCAACTATATTAGTTCTTATTTGCACGTATAAGATAAGCAGGCTTTGAGTCACCTGAATTACTTTACGGATATCTGAAGAGGTTGCCTTATATCTGCGGGATGGTTCGGGTAGTGTTTCAAGCCCAAGCAGAATAATATTTGGAGTTTTACGGTATGAACAGCGCAGCAATTCAATGGGACGGAGTTCGTTATGTATAATTTACTCTCAATTTGGTACCATGGCTTATACAAATTGTATGCACGACAGAATATACTAGCAAAAAACAATCATACGGCTCATCATCTATGTCTTCGTCTTCTGGTCTATCCGTTATATCCACGCCAACGTCCCTCTTCTATGAAGATGCTGTACAAACTGAGACGTCACGAATCTCAGGCACACACGACCCTTGCTATCCGTTATAAGAGATTCATCCCATGTAGGATCTCTCGCTTCGCTAGACACAAATTAATACTAGTAGCCGCCCTCAGGGGAACGAAGAGGTCCCATTCCCATTAGGAAACCCCTTAGAAAAAAGAAGCCGGCGATCAGGGGCCCGAGGGTAGCAAAAATGAAGACCAAGCACAACGTAATGTCGTAAAAGCAAAGGCCGAGCAAGATAACGACGTTAAGAAGACAAAAGAGGAATGCCCAAATTCCGTTAAGAAGGACATTGAAGATGGTACTAGAGAGGGCCATCATGATGGCTAGGGAGATTTGAAGGATGGCCTTGACGAGCTCGGTGAATACTACCACGGTAAAGGCCAAGGCCAGGATTATTAAGATGGGTTTCGAGGAAGACATCCTGCCGGTGTGGAAAGATTGTTATCAAATGGTTTGCCCTCGTTGAATTAGCGTCGGACCAAACTTTTCTTGGACTGTGGTGTTGTACCATTAGGTAGTTTGACTAAATAAGAAAGATGAGCAAATGGATTGGTTTTAGTAGCATGAAGATATATACTTGGGATACCAGTTACATTCTCTGACTTCTATATTCACTCGTGAGGGTCTGTTCCATTGAATTGTACTTGGTCCAGCGGCAGTCGAATCATCGCTGATGTCGTGTATCTTAAGCCAAACGCCCCCTTTAGCAAACATGACGGGTGGTACAATCGCATTACACCTTGAGGCTCTAAATCCCACATATCTATCATATCCCTACGGACGCCTTAGCTTGTTCGTAGAGAGACGGTAGGAGTCATAAAACCTCTATCGAATCACTTCTGTAGCTACTCTTCAGAAAGTCAAGAAAGTAACCGCACCCACCCCAGCCTAGATAATAGTAACAGTTTTTCCTTCTACTTCCAACAGTTTCCTCCACTCTGCCTCTTCTATCCTCGATATTCTGTGGAAGTATTCAAGTTTCCTACGAACCCAAGTAATGCTCGTTTGCGGCCATTCGGCCTGAGGCGGCACCTCTCCAACAAAATCCGGATGATCTTGGTCGAACAGTGGGCGAAGAAGCGGTCCAAGTCGGGTTTGTAACTCTAAACGATGATGCTCGTTGGTGAGGACACCTAGTTCTAGGATATAGTCTATGACATGTTGCAAGATATGGCTTTGATCCGGGAACCAAATTGAAACCAACGCTCTTAAGTCAATAACATAACCGTGGTTGCCGATAATTCTCAATGTTTGTGGGGATGCACCGAGTAGCGGATTATATGCTCTCCTTGGTCGCATCTTCTCTACTTTGTTTCCTGAATGTATTGACGGACATTCTGATTTGAATTGTACCTTTAAATAATAGTCGATCGGTGCTATCTCCGTGTTAGATTTATAACCATTTCTATTTATCACGATGGCAAACCTTGGGTTTACACCATGATAGAGCATTAATGCGACGACAGCCAGACTTGGTGTGACAGCCGCAAATGCTGGATAATACCCACTGCACCAAGTTGCAAGAAGCCTGTGAAACTCAGGTGCAATGCCACGTCCCAACTTGGAATCGGGAGAAGCACCTCGGTCAAAGAGGGTTTGAAGTGCTCTAATGGCGTCGAATGTTTGGTCCCAGTTCTTAAGCTCGCTCCGTCCAATACCATACAAACACAAGGAAGTACATAGGTCTACCAATTCAGAGTTAGCATCTTCCCCTAAAGGAAGGCTTTCGTAGGCCCCAATTAGTATGCAAATTATAATAATGACATTTTCAGGAAGATATTTAATTACCCTTCCATCATACGGCACGCGAAGCACACACAGGCGGGTTCCCAAGCTGGCCACTGTGCGATAAGTGTCGTCTATGAATTGACGGAAGCACGAACGATCCCAGTGTCGACCGCAATTGTCCTGTCGGCGAACAATCCACAGGATATCTTGTCTGAATGTTGGGTGGGGAGGGTAAAGGAAGAGATTATTTCTATTATCCTCGATATTATAGCCCCAGCTGTCGGGACTATCACGAGAAGACGCCTTCGGAGAGAAATAAGACATAGGGAGACGGATACGCTTGAGCTGGCCCAAATATGTCTGGCAAAATGCATCGACGGGATCAAATGCTTTCAGTACATACTCCATCTTGGCCTTAAAATGTTGGCTTTCTAGGAACTCTGCGATAGACCGATGTATAAGGCGAACCACACCTCCTAGCATATTCGGGTATGTAGTACGAGCGGGAGGCTCGCGTAATTCGAGAAATCCTTTGCATACACCATATACCCGTCTTTCGGCTCTTTTCAGTCTCTCTTCGTGTTCCGATGCCGTGAATAGTCTAATGGACCAGTCTATTGCAAAGTTCCGATTCTCGATATATTCCTCCAGGAACGAGTATTGCACTAGGCAGATTTGGTTACCACATGTAATGTCGAAATGAGCCAGCGAGAGCATGCCATATGCTAGTTTTCGGTTATTGGTAGGAATTGAGTCCAAGAGTTGTTTAAGCACTAAAATGGGAATGTTAATATCTGCTACCATGGCAATAATAGTAATAGAATCATGTTTCATAAAGGCAGTGCTTACTAGGCTCAAGGTCGGTTGGAAGAGACTTAACAAGCCTTATGAGGTCTTGTATCCGGTCACCATCTGCAATTCCATTTTCGATATGCCGAAGAACAAGAGATACCCATAAGAAGACGCCGTCTGAATCCCTAACAATGCCGTCCTCCAAATCCGTGATTTCGTATGTGTTCGATGATTCATCATCATTATTCAAGCTGCCACTATTTCTCACTAGGACATCAAGATTCATCTCGCGAAGTCGATCTCTGACGAATCGCTGGATATCAGACATCGTAACGTCGTGCAGTCGGATTCTAGGATAATTCTTAAAAGCATCTTGAAATATCGGCCACTCCCGGCTTGAGATACAGAGCTTTACGTTCTGTGTTCCATCAGTCCACTTAACTAATTGCCTGGTCAAGTATGCATGGTCCCCTTCGAACTCGTCAAGGCCATCTATAAAAAGCACAAACTTATGCTGTCCATAAGTCTGGTTTTCTATGAGCCTCTCAAATGCTTGCCGGCATTCACAATGTTCAACGTGAACGTTTTCTCTATGCAGTGATGCTTTCCACTGCTCTGGAAACGCGAGGTGTATAAGTTCGGGGCATTCTAAGAGGAGGCAATGCAGTAACCCTCGAATCAGGCCATTGATATTTTTCTGCAGAGCTGACCCCGGCTTCCAAAAAAAGAATCTACCCAGCACGAGCTTCTTCCTGTCCGCCCACAATTCTAGGTAGTTCTTTGTTTCAGGATGTTGGACCAAGTATTTCATTAGTGTTGATTTCCCAGAACCTGGCTTGCCCGAGATGTAAAATATTCCTGTGCCTTTTTTGAGCCAAGTAATAAAGTTATCCCGGGCTTCGGTCATGACCCGCCATGTTGATTCAGGTATCTCTGCTACGCTTGAAATAGCGGGTGGTAATAACGCTGAAGCATATTGAGATTCATGCCAATATTCGACGGAGTTTTCACTTTCCGCAATGGACAATGCATCGTCCGTGGCCCAACTAGAGCTCGAACTATCACTTAGTTGCTCTTCGAGGAAAGAGGAAGAACTATAATTCCCCTCACCCATAGTATATACCGGTCTTGGGATATCGCTACCAAGAGTTGACTTGATAGAACCCGCTTCGGTAGCTTTATTTGACCGTTGTGAGGTATAGCTCAGACTTCGACGACTTTCATTATTAATGTCGTGATCACTATGGTCTTCTGGGTATTCGTCATCGTCGCTACTCATTTCGGGTTCAGTTTCATCATCTGTAGATGCCGATTCATCGGCAACACCGTCGTCTTCAGCTACATCAGTGGCAGTAATGTCGAAAATCCAGTCGAAGGTTTTCTCACGAGCTTCTTCGATATCTTCGAACCTTTCATTCATCGATTGAAAGCGTAATGCGTCTAGAACCCGAGCCTGGCGTGCCTTCAAGATAGCTTCATCGCTTAATTGAACTAATGACCGGACCTGGCCCAGTGCTTCGGTACTAAGGCAAGAGACGTTGGTACCTTGACGTAGAGATTCGATGTTCCTACTAAGCGACCGTAACTCATCTTGACTAGCTTGGCCACTTGTGACAAGCCTATCGAGGCGTTCTAATGAGTCGGATCTACGATACATCGGTTAGAAATATCTAGGATGTTTGTTGAAGGTCCCTCTTACTTTATCGAGCTGAGGAGTTCCAACCCTAGCTGCTGTTTACAACGATCCAATCTCTTTTCCAATTCGGACTTCTGGCCACTCTTCCGCCAGCTGCGTACTGCAGCTTTGAACGCATGTCGCCGAGAATTTGGGTCTTTGGTCCTCAGCTTATCGAGCAACTTCATGAGTTCCACCGACGCATTTTCGCATTCGGTAGCGACGTCATAAAGAGGGATATTCCGCTGTGAAGAACTAGTTTGCTTGGCCCCTTTCAACTCGGTAGTGAGTTGTTGGAGCCTTCCCGTCATAGAAGATAAGTCTTCATTATCCGCACTGGCGCCTGACTTTGACTCGTAGATGTTCTTGGCCGCGGAAACTAATTTAAATCCGAAGTCTACAAAAGCGATAATGTTGCCTGCGAGGCCAATTGCCGCGAATGGGTCCATGTCGCCAACGACCTTAGTGTGACAGATGCGAGTAGATAACGATGTTATTGAAGACGAGCGTGAATGGGGGTGGAAAGTTGAAATTGAAACTGGACAGAATGGGGTATAGGTACTCAAGCACAGCCTCAGAGCCTACTTCGCTGTCACAGCCACTGTATCGTTGAGCGAATCGTTGATCTTTTATAAGTAGTGTTACACAAACCCGTTATTGGGTACTATATATTCACCATGATGAGCCTACACAGGAGGATTATTCATATACACTCACCCAATATAGCCCATATAATAGTAGACTGTAGAACGAACTATGCAATGTTATCTTAAGAGGACATCGATTTCAATATAACGGTTTTATATTGACTTGTAGGATATAAACCTACACGACCCCTTTCTAGCTACCCTAATAATCACAGACCAGGCACAAAACCTTCGACTTGAGCGTCCCAGCCCTTAGGGAAGTGCGCCCCAGGCTCACCGTCCCAACCCCCCGCCATCATAGCCATAGCCAACAAGAACGAACTCGATCCCGGGAAATAGGGGGTCGGCACCCGCGACCCTCCAACGGGATACCCGGCATCGTCGAACTCAAAAAGGGGGTGGAGTAGATACGCTACAGCCTGATCAATGTCCCCGAGGCGAAGAGAGTTCACTATATCGGTTTAAATAAGCGTCTGCAAGATAATATAGGGGGCTAGCTTAGGGCAACTTACTAGCCAGCATCGGAAAATCCCAACCCCAGCAGTCCTCCAAGTCCCAGAGATCCCGAATCTTATCTGCTGTGTTCTTCACGATCGTCATGTTTAGAGGCGGCCCGCTACTTGGCGGGGGAAGCAGGCCAAAGATTGCGGACAATGCCGGATGATCTTGGACGGTGGTGCCGTTCCACATGTTCGGAATACCCTCGTACACGGCGAATGCGTCATCTGCGATAGGCAGTGGCGCTAGATTATTTCGTATGTCAACCCATTTACGAGGTGCTGTTTGGTTCTGTCTTTGTTTCCATTTGATAGCGATGTCCAAGCCGAACCGCCAGTAGGCCAGCTCGAACGCAGGGTTAATTGTCGCATTGGGGTTGGTATTCTCTGAGACCGGGTACATAGGCGGTCCTAGATCGCAGAGGGTGGTCGATTCGTTGAAGAAGGCGTATGATGCCATGAAGTCAGCGGTAGAAGTGAGGATCTTATCCCAGGACTTTAGCGTTGTCTCGTTAGGGAAAGACCTGTACTCGATCTCGGCGAAGTACATCGGATGAGGCTGCTGCCAGATAAGCAGCGAGTTGATTTCTCCGGGGGCTGACCTTCCGGTAGGGTCGGTCATCTTGCCCCAGCGAGCACCTTGGTAGTGTTGGAGTGTCGCTCGCTCGATTGATGAATCCAAGTATTCGGAATACATGTTCGGAAGGCTACGCCATAGCAGCGGAAATTGATTCCATCGAGCGAAGTGGAGGAGATGCCACAATATCATCTCGAGCTGCTCAGGGAGTCAGCGTTTAATATGTCCAGGTAATTATTCACGTAGGTTGCAATAGCTCATAAGACTTACATGGAACTTGCCATACCATCCGTTATTTACCAAGCCTTAAACCATTAGTATGAAAAAGTCATTATCGTATCTATTACGGAGGGAGCATAAAAGGAGTTGAGCTTCTCTTACCAGATTCTATCCCAACGTTAGCGACAATAATGTTTGGACTTGGGATACTTACCCTGTGGTGGATATGAGGAAGCCGAGTTAACAGCTGTAAGATATTGAGATAATATCGTTCTCCGTTGCAACTCTGTGGCATTGGGAGACTCGACTCCTGTCAAATCAATGAAAGCGCCAGAGTTCCAGAAAGACTCCCACCAAGATGTAGATGCAGACGTAACATCGCCGAAAGACGGTATATGCGTGCTCGGAGTCAGAGAAAAGGTTACAGATAACTTAACCCTCTTAGTTTCCTGTAATGGATGTAGTATATAACGATGAGTCCCCTCAATCGGCCCGGAAATTTTAGCAGGAGAATCCCACGCAATCGAAACATAGTACGAAGAGTCATCGATATCATGCCGAATAATTGCTGTGTTTTCTCCGCGCTGTAGTGTGGTAGTATGCTTATCGGTAGCGTTGAAAACACCAACAAAGGGGGCGTCAAATTTGTTCCGCGTCGGTAGAGGAAAGTCGAAGAATATATCTAGAGATTCTGTACAGAAGAGTTTCGACTCTATGGAAATGCTGACTGTGTCGGAACTTGCATCTGCCCATGTCTCGACCTCAACAGGAGCCTTGTTATAAGTGAAAGAAGATGAGATTTTCCCCGTCCAGAGGTCGAGTATCTGAGACTTGTCTTCTAGTAGTTCTTCGGTCACATTATCTTCGCCAAACCAGAGCCCAATCGTCCCTAAGTTGATACGTTGAGGATTTTGGATTAGCCAGTTGGATATTTCGCTCTGTGCTGGGTTGGGCTGGTTGTAATTGACCAGTCGACCATGGGTATACCAGTCCACGCCCGTGAAATCTAGACTACATTAGAGTAGAGTTTTCGTCTTGAAATTGACTTGATACTTACCATCTATTGAAGTTTGACCGCCGGTGGTTGGAAGACTGAAGTTATGCCAACCCCAAGTAGACATTGTCGCGAAGGGGCTGAAAGTCTGAAGACCCGTTACGTCCGCCCCAAACGCGAAGTTGCCGTTGCCAACTTGCAACGGGGTAGTCTTAGAGCTAGCATTGCGATGAGGATTAAACGATCGAACAACTTTACGTCTGTTAATCTCGCAAGTAGCTGGGAGGCCCTGGAGGGCTACTAGCAAGAGTGTAAAGATCTGTCTTAACATTGTTACAATGCACGACGAGAGCTATACTCGTAGGAAGATATCAATTACCATAGAAATAAGAATTTATATATACTTAGGTTATAGATGTACCCATCATACCATGCTATCACCAAGTATAGTACATAAATTATAGCACATCAATAACACCGTACCAAGGCTGGACAAGAGCTCGACTGCAACCACTGGTGGAGACTCTAATTACCCGGATCTCTCTAAAACCTGGAGAAGCACGAGGGATTCCTATTTGCGGGGTCTAGCTTGACTAGTTCTCGTGGGTTTTCGGTGAGTTAATAGCCCGACGGCAGACTGTCGTATACGTGAGCGAGAACTGGATGGGCAAGTGTTAAAAACCTCTTGGTTATTGTTATTTGGAGAGTAGAGTTACAATTTTGTAACATAAGAGGTAGGTTTTGAAAGCTACGATATCACTAATTACAGATAGTCAATCAGCGGATTGAAATGAATAGAAGATGGTCTCGAACACTAGCTTTAGACATTTTATCAAACAAGAAATGTGGTGTAGGATGCCGAATTGATGTAAGAGACGGGCCTCTTTTTTGCTGCTGTAATACTCTAAGTAAAAAATTATCATATTTAGTAGGGATCCGAAGCTTCGACTTGGTAATGGAATTTGAAGCTTAAGATGAGGTCAGAAGATTTGAAGGAAAGCGTTTACCCAGGAAGCGGGCAGTGGCAGGGAACCCCTGCGTCAGATCAATGTGGAGGGGACGAGTGCCCGCCGGCATTTGTATGGTCCGTGCACAGCATAGCAACCAAGCAAAACATCCCAATTCATTTACATTAGGTACATATATCAATGCCATCGTCGGACACAACTTACTGTTACAACAGACACACACACACACACACATACAATTACTCAACAACCAGCTGCCGTGCTCTTATTCATACCTACCTAGGTAGTCACTGTACTACGCCGCACTTTGAACCAAGCGCTCGTAAACACCATATAGCAAGGTAAGTCCACGCTGGCTTGTTTACCAGGTTCCCTCGTGTAGTGTATCTACCGCACAACCGAGTCGAGCCCCGCTAACACGAACGTGATGGCGCAGTCGATAGAACAACCGAGCTCGAATTCCCCCCTGCGGATTATCGGGGAAAAGATGACTTCCTTCGTCACCACCGTGTAAGTCGATGCCGAAACAAACCATCCATGATATATATACCTACCTACCTATATATATACATCATACATCATCAACCTCGTTCCCACTAACCGAAAAACAAACACAGAAACCAGCGCGCGCGCAACCAATTCCGCGCCCGCGGCGGCAAGGGCAGCAACACAAGCTACCAGCTACGCCAATACGCCGAAGCGACCCTCGGCGGCGGCAGCCTGCGCAAGGTCGTCAAGCTACCGGAAGGCGAGGACGAGAACGAGTGGCTGGCGGTGAACATGGTCGACTTCTACAACCAAGTGAACCTTCTATACGGCGCCATCACCGAGTTCTGCTCCCCGCAGTCGTGCCCCGAGATGAAAGCGACGGACGAGTTCGAGTACCTGTGGCAGGACGGCGAGACGTACAAGCGGCCCACCAAGATGGCCGCCCCGGACTACATCGAGCAGCTCATGTCGTGGGTCCAGGCGTCTATCGACAACGAGTCCGTCCTCCCCTCCCGCATCGGTGTCCCCTTCCCCAAGTCCTTCCCCGCCCTCGTCCGCCAGATCTTCAAGCGCATGTACCGCGTCTACGCCCACATCTACTGCCACCACTACCCCGTCATCCGCGAGCTCGGCCTCGAGCCTCACCTCAACACCTCCTTCAAGCAGTACGTCCTCTTCATCGACGAGCATAACCTCGCCACCGGCAAGGACTTCTGGGGGCCCCTCGGCGACCTCGTCGAGAGCATGCTGCGTAGCGATTGAGTTGATTCGAAGTCTCGAGGAGTTTTAGGAGATAATGACTAATGGGTAGATGCGTCGATGATGGTGCCTACGCGGAGGTAGAATAGTCATGTTGCATCTTTTTCAGGCATGGCGTTTAGGGGGGGCATCAGACTACAACGTTGCTTTGCTAAGGATACATAGATTAATGGGTAATTCGCTGTTCGCAGCACATGCTGTGATGTTGTCACATGCAATGACTATCATTCGGCCGTTGCACCTGTATACTATTTATTGGCTGTGAGTCGTGCCGGAGTTATGCGTGGCAGGGGTATCCGATCGGAGTATCATATCACTTTGATTCTGTCGTGGCATGAATAACATGCATTTATTGATTTACACATGCTAAAATGGTCCTGTGTGCCCCCTTGGCAATAATGTGCTATTCCAGTCATAGTTCCCGGGACTTGTTGTAAGATTTGTCCGCCAAATATGTTGCCTAGCTGTCCCCTTTTCGGGTTGCCGTGCTAATCCAGGGTGTTACATGACCCTTACCAACGCCACATCAAGTATGTTCTATCGTACTATCGTACTAAAAGATTGTACAATGGCTAATTAACCCGTCACGAGTACCTAGTCAACTTCCTTGAGAGCGTTGATTCGCTTTTTGAAAAATTCAAACGCTGAAAAGAACACTGCATTGACGGCCGCAGATCGGCCCATAGACACACCAAGTCCGTGATACATATCTCGTCTGAAAAACTGTATCTTCGGGACGGGCACTTTCTGGCCCTTGGAATACATCAGTGCATTCCGCTGATAGATGCTTTTGACAGAATCAATGGGATCTAGAAAGGAGTTAGCTCGAAATGGTCAAACTGACGTAAGGGGTACGAACAAATCAAAGCCCACGATACTATGCCGCACAGAGCTCCAGCGGCAAGGACCGCAATAGGATTCTTGTGAGCATCCTTTCCGCTGAAGGTCGTTAACAGCTGCTTGCCGCTTTCATATGTGGCAAAATAGATTCCCGTTCCGAGGGTATCTCTCACTGTAGCTGTGTTAGCTACTAGTGTAGATATATATATATATATTAATGGGAGCCATCTTACATAAATGTAGGTTTAATCCCGTGTACATTCCACTAAAGCCTCTATGCTTGACTATGTTGGCAAGAGTCTTGAAAGTTCCTTTATTATGATAACTAAGAGCAATGGCTTGCCGCTGCGGATCTGCGTTCTTCTGCTTCGCCATAAGAACCGACACTTGAGCGCTGAGTTTGGTTAACTCGAAAGGACCTGTTTTTGCGTCCGTCAGTTCTAGTTCGAGTCGCATCTCTAGGGTTACTGGGTTGTCTTACATGCAATAAAAGTGATGCCAGAGCCAGCTGTGGCTCCAGCAGCCCCGAAGCAAGCAATAGTACCCAGATTCGGGTATGCGCCATTCTTATTGACATGTTCGAGAGGACAGAAACCGACGTGCTTCTTCATCCAGTCGGAATAAACGTATTTAGAGCGTTGGTAGATGGAGAAAGAAATGGTTCGTACAAGAGTGACACTAGCTAGGGGAGCAGTTACACCTACATGGCAGCGTGGCGTTAGCTATATCGTCGTTGGCGGAAGGACGACTACGAGCTTCGTGGTGCGTCCGATCTCGAGCCACATACCTCGAAAGAAACCTCGAATACCCTCCGAATTGTACGTGACGCGTATACAGTCCAAAGCACCGGCATAGGGATATGTCTGCAAACGAGTCTTTACACTATCAAGAGGAAAAGCAGTGACGGTCGACATAACACTGGCGATGCTCGCAGCCGTCTCCGTTCGGTAACGTTTTATCCACCTCCGTGGTTTCTCACTTCCGCTACTGAGCTGAGGCATGGTCCGAGTCCGGATCGTGGAGCTGGTGACATCTTGGAAATTGGACTCAGCTGGCATGGCTCACTTGTTTAGCAGCAGAAGCTGTATTGCGGGGGAAGCTTCAGACAATGGCCTCGTAACGAGGACCAGAGTCATCGGCGTGGTCGCGATACAATAGCGTCTCCTGCTAGCAAGAGATATGCCATCAAGATCCCGAACTACGAGGACTCGATGGGTTTTTGGGATGCGGGGTCGAAGGAGTCGATCGCAGAGAAAAGGGAGATGGAAGGTATGGGTTTTAGTTTAAAGTTGTAGTCTAAGTGTAAAGACAAATGCTAAAGACAAATGTTGAAGAGGGTATTGTAGAAGTATTGTATTTCATCTACGCACAACACGAAGATAATGTGTATAATGTGTATAGAAGTAGAGCCGATTGTCGTCTACGTACTGCAAACAGGCCAATTGAGCTTAAGGAAGCTAAGATTTGTCCAAAGTCTGCTTTTCTGCGGGGTTTGCGCAAGCATACAAAGGATCAATGATATTGGACCCCGGAAGTTTACGTAGTTGTAGATTGTACGGATAGGATTGAGAAGCTGAGCGGGAACAAGAAGTTGAAATGGAGGCTAGGACCTTTGGGGGGGGGGAGGGTAGGGGGTTATGTACAACTACAAGGTACTTCCTATAGACCCCATGCATGATACGTGGATACGTAACTTAAATACTAAAACAAGCTAGTCCAGTAAAAGAACGGCTAGAGGAGGGGAAATCGACTGAGAGTGGACGGTTGTTGGAGTCACCAGTCAGGCCAGTTAGAAGAATAGTGGTACAATATAGCAAGCTTGGAATGTTTTGGAGTACCTATAATTCCCCACTAATCCATTAAATCAGTCACTGCCTACATGCACTATGCGCTAAATGTACAACTACCCGTATGGCTACATATGTACCTATATACATGTGTAACATGCACTGCCAATGACGATCTCTTCATGTCCGCAGCTCTTTGTCTTATCCGTACGAATTCAGTTGATCACCCGCTATGACCTCGACTGCATTTTACCCCGATACGCTTCTTGCTCTACTAGGCAGCTGTCCTATGCAGGTTCGAAATAGATGATAGACGGTTGGTCAACGAATCGGGAAAGTTGGAGTCGATTACCTGAATGCGAAAGATCCAAGCCCATATCCTCCACCGGGATAACATACTATTTAACCAGCGTTTCAAGCCAATTGTCTCAAGCATAGAAAGCCATTGTATTTAAGCTCGGAATTCCGCGGTTCGTTTCGTTGTCTATTCACTATATCCGCGTGATGAGGACCCTGACCCAGGCCCTTGAATTCGGAGCACTTAAGCTTCTGCATGCAGCCCATCGAAGCTTGCTCCTAAATCGACTACATACAGCCCACGTTTTCGTGTAGGCCGGATGCTCTTCGTGAGGGGCGCATATCAAATGCGACATGCTTATTGTTTAGATTGGCGCGGAGGCCTCATGTCCATTTTGGAGTTAAGTTGAATGTCAGAGCGTCGCCGGCTAGATTCAGTACAAGGCCAATTGGGGAGACTAGCAGTATATACTGCCCACTGCACATAGAACTTAAAAACTTGATGACCACGCAACGAGGCTAGAAAGTGTATATGTTCGTGCGTTATCCTATCGTAAGCATAAACCCATGGACTTGTTAAGCATAGCGACAGTCATGTCATAATGCTTATAGGCCGTTTTTTGAATAAAAATTTCGAACTCGGTTCGTTTTCTAACAGCTAGTTAGCTATCGATAGAATGAATGCTAGAGGGATGGCTTTACCTAGGCGCATGTATTGAATGCTCGACCATTTTCCAGGGCATCCGAGAAGCATAGTATCGGTAGTAGGCCACTACTAAGAGATTTTTGAGGATATTATGCTCTAGCCCACGAGTCCTAGCGGCAGCTTCGAGAAAGCGCAAGGTCCTAGCTGTGTTTCGAGGATCAAACTTGGCCCTCTCCTCACGGAATGCCGCCCTCAGTTGGTCTCGAGCTACATAGCGAGCTGGTTTCGAAAACTGCACAGCATGAAGGAGCCCGCGATATAGGTGACGGTATGCATGGATGACTTTGAGATCAGTCATTGTTGAAATCTAGCAGCTGACTTGAGGCCGAGGACGACAGATTAGCATCGATTATTTGACATAACTAGCAAGTTGTATCACTTTAGTTGTTGCTGCACGATTGCGCATTTGCGTAGCCCAAAAAAAAAAAAAGAAAAAGAAAAAGAAAAAGATGCACTATGCCAAGACGTCCTATCAGCCGCTGCCGAGGCCAGGTTACTGGCATACATACATGTACTTTACTAACGCGGTAACTACAGATACCTTTATATTGTAGTTTTCATGTATATGCGCGCTTAGATCATGCTATAATATACATAAATATACTAATTCAATAGACGCGGTAGTGTGGTAATGAAACGGGGTATATCGCTGTGCTAGGGCTGCTAGGAAACGTTAAATCGATTTACTAATGCCATGTTTCGATCGGATCAACGATCCACTTTGATGTCACTGTCTTCCACTCAAACAATCCAATCGTCGCGAATACCGTCCCTGTGGCTTGCCCAGAAGGCGGTTCATCCCAAGCATCCAGACGGGATATCTTATTATGCATACAACTTTTGCATCAATTCTTTATTCTTCCCATCTCTATTCTACCTACAATTTGTAATCCCTTTTTTGTTTTTTTATTTTATTCGTGTCCCGGCGAGGTTGACAATGACAAGTCTTGGTAACTAAATTCCGATCGCAGCCTCCGTCTCCTTTTCTGATGGCGTCGCTCGTTACCGACTTTCTTGTCAATCCGGTCATACGACAAGCAAGACGGTTCTCACGATCATCAGGTAACCATACCACTTCCGACTCCGTCTCGCCTGCCGAAACACCTAGTGAACACAAAGAATGCCAAGACGATGCCATATCAGAGACAGAAGAAGATTCATACTTGGACGACGAAGTAGATGAGAGCATACCGTCGTCTCCCTCGTCACGGAGCTCCGTCCACCTAAACCCACATAATGAAGTAGCTGACCTGGATGAGAACATCGCCCAGTTAAATGCCATAAATCGTACCATCGCCCGCAACCCCGATACGCATCTCTGCGACCATGACATTCAAAATCTCGACACACATCTCAGTTCGATGTCTATAAGTAGCTCCACTATGGCAGCAGATAGACTGTTATCACCTGCCGATATTTCTTCTCCGAGGATAGAACGAAGAAAATCTTTACCCGAGGATGATGGGATGAGTTCATTGAGGAAACGTGTATTCGCCATCCAAGCACAAGATGTTGAACCAGTCGAGAAAGCCCGTTTAATGCACCAGCTTCTAATAGAAGGTTACACGAAATCAAGAAAGGTGGTCCTAATAGAACGACCCATAACGCCCTCTAGCCCCACAACTTCAGAACAACGACGATCCCAAGGTCCTTTAGAATCCTTCAGATTCTGGCAGAATACCTCAGAGGAGACGGTAACACTCGAGGAATTTGATTTGACACCCGAGGACCTTCAGCCTACATTTGCGCCACCGAGGGAAATATCAGAAGATCCTGGTGAATATGCAGAAGATCCTGAAGACGATCGACCTCTCGGTTGCGAGCACTATAGGCGAAATGTTAAACTACAATGCTCCACATGTAATCGGTGGTACACATGTCGTTTCTGCCATGACAAGGTAGAGGATCACAATCTGATCAGACAAGATACTAGAAACATGTTGTGTATGTATTGCGGCACTGCCCAAAGGGCTAACGATGTTTGTATGTCGTGCGGAATCTCAGCTGCTCGCTATTACTGCAATATATGCAAATTATGGAACGACGATCCGGACAAGCCTGTCTACCACTGCAATGACTGTGGTATCTGCAGGATTGGAAGGGGAATTGGTAAAGACTTCTTCCATTGCAAGGTGAGATAGCTAGTTCTAACTTGACATTATATTTGTGCTGATCAGCTAAACCAGACTTGCTGCGCTTGCATCGCCATAGGCCAGGAGAAGGACCACAAGTGCATCGAGAGGTCTACCGACTGCGATTGTCCTATTTGCGGCGACTATATGTTCACTTCTCCCAAGGCCGTATGCTTTATGAAATGCGGACATAGTATTCATCGTCAGTGCCTTGATGAACATATGAAAGTTGCCTATAAATGCCCGATATGCAACAGGAGCTTAGCAAACATGGAGTTGCAATTTCGGAATCTTGATATCGCAATCGAAACGCAGCCCATGCCACCCGAGTTTCAGGATACGCGAGCGTTGATTCTATGCAACGACTGTTCTACCAAGAGCACAGTCAAATACCATTGGCTAGGTTTAAAGTGTGGCCTCTGTGCCTCTTATAATACCGCACAACTTCAGATACTTGGCATGGCGGACTCGGCAATCGAAACTGACCTGCTTGGGCGGGAAATAGAATTCTCCGAACTAACAGCTTTACGAGGTATTGCAGAAGGAGTTGATGGTGCTCGGACTCGTGACATAAGGAGGCGTCATTCGTCTATTGTCGCGCGGTCGACAATCAACCAATCCATCATGGAGTCGGATTACCCCGATAGGCTTGCGCGCTCTGTGTCCCCGCCTGCTGGTCTAGCGGCTTGGAATGCTCTTGCGGGACACTCTCTCGTGGAAGCCGATGACGAGGATAGAGAGGATATATTAGGATTTTGGAGTCGGCTTCCTCGTAGTATAACGTCGGACGATGATGAGGACGACGCAGATGACTCGGATGGTGAATCTATATCGTCTTCAGAAGACGAGGATGAGGAGGACGAAGGAGACGATGATGAGATAGATGACTTTGAACTGCTTGGGCACCGCTAAACATGAGGGATTAGAGTCGTATGTGGTGGCTTAGGATTGACATTGGGACGGCGTTTAGGTACCGGGGGGCATTGAGCGCATAACGAAATTCTAGTAGGGTTTGGGTAAAAATAGTTGACATCCAGTATACAGCAACGGTTAGGCATGCAAATTAGTATATATTAGGTGGGTATAGAGGAAGGAAGTGGTATTCTGTCTCACCCATCCCGGTGTCCGTGAACCTTGGGAGAATGTTCATGACTAGGTACCTATATATTGCATACGAAAACACTCAATAATACGTCATTGTTCTATAAATATACCATGCTTCTATGGTGTTTATAAGTGTAGCTAGTGAATACGAGTAAAACTCCAAACTCCTTGGCTATGCGGGATACCTAAAGGGCGTACTGCTCTTGGAATAGGTCGTATCGCATATCTCATCGACCAGTGCTTTGCGAGAACTCTGCCTTTTGTGCCTCCTTGCGTAGAAATTGGACAACGTTCTATATATAATAAATTGCAAATTAGTTCTCTGGTTAAGGTTCATGTACATCAGTAAGAGCTCGTTTAAGCTCTCGGACATACCGCGAGGGCCTCTGGGTTTACGCCATTCTCAATCATGGAGATGCAGATGGACAGCGTGCGACGGTCGAGATGGCAATTCTATCCGTTTGTTAGTATTAATCTAGGAGTTTATTTTATCGACTTACTAGGATGGTGGATATCTCATGCAGGATGTCGACGGCTTGCTGTGCGGCCTGCTGCTTCTCGTTGTCGTCTCTGGCGGGACCGGCTGGCGGCATTGTGCACTTGGAGTTTCTTGATGAGAAGAGAGTGATTGATAGAGACCGGGAGGTAGAGTATAAAATGGTGTCTAGAAGAATATCAAGATATGGCTACGAATTGGCTAAGTTGTAGGTACATAAGATAAAGATGATGGGAGACGCGTGGGGTCGCGAACGTGGAATTTAGTGGTAATTGTTTGGTTGCAGCTGGTCGCAACTGGCTTTTTATGATCGAGCAGTTAAGGTAAATGCATGAAGCCACAAACAACCTTCAAAGCTCTTATAGGTATTAGATATGTTTCGAAAGGCATGCGTTCATTAGGCATTATTCATAAACTACCTCTCTTCTAGCTAAAGAGAGTAAGGCATTCTCTTTATGCCTAACCAGTCATAATATACCCAAACACATCAAGATCCCATAGCAACTAGAGCAACATCCCACTCCAGACGCCACCACAAGTAATAAAAACCATACGTATGTAAAAAGCAATGGCCTTAAGACTGCATGGCCTCAACAAACAGCTCCCTCATGCCCTTCAACAACACCGCCAAATCCCTCGTCTCATTAACCCTCTCGAGCACACGATCGACCTTCTCGCGCTCGAGCTTCGGCCTGCAGTGGCGGACGTCGTAGTCGCGAGACGAAGTACTGAGCTCGAACCAGGCCTCGCGATCCCAGTCCTTCTCGTCGACATGTGTATATACGAAGCGCAGGCGATCCGTCTGTCCCGCCCCTTCGATCTTCAGGCACAGGTTCTGCATCCAGAAGTCCAGCTCCGGCACGTTGAACCGCGACTGCGATTCTATGTACTGCGCGTGCGCCTGCTGCGCCGCCAGCCGCGCTTCGATTTCTTTCTGCGTCTCGGCGATCTGCTGCTGCAGCGCGTCCCGTGACCTTTTGTTTCGGTCCCGTTGCTCGGTTAGTGAGGCGATTGCTGCTTGCATCTCCCGCGTCTCGGCGGATTCTTTCGATATCATCTGCTGGTGCGTGTTGGTCTTGTGCTGGAGGATTTCCATGTCCTTCTTCTTCATGCGCTGGTCCTCTGTTTCGTCGCAACGCCCGTTAGTCTTCCTTGCTATACTGTGATATGCTTTGTGGGGGTATGGGCGCGTGTTGGCTCACCTTGCAATTCGGCAACGTTCATTCGGAACTGATTGCGCTCTTCGAGGACGCGCTTTCGCCCCTGCTCGATGAAGGCGTCGAATTTCGCGCTGAACTTGGCCATGCGATCGCGCAGCTCGTCGAAGCCGAAATTGATACTGGGAAGAGAGTCTGCCATGGAGGGGGCCGTCGCCGACATCGTTTGCCGGCCGCTGAGGCTTGACGACAAAGACGATTCAAATGCAGATGCCATTTTCGGTTATTAGGCTTTTAAATTCGGTAATGTCTTTGCTTCGGCTGGTAAGTACTGAGGAACTATTCGATTCTATTGCGTTGCGACAAATTTGTGGTTGGTGATTATGGTGATTAATTGTAAGTGCCTATCAAATGCATTCGCAAATCCGAGTTCACAAATGCAAGCCCGCAAATGTTTATGTTCGTTGCCGAGCGGCGCTAGACTCGGCAGGCTAGGCCCACTTAAAGGTACTCTAACAACTATTACATATCAATTTGCCTTCTAATAAAGCACCAGCAAATATACTTCTATTTTTTTCTATATTTCTTTGATTTATTAGATTTATTGTTTTCACTTAAGCCACGATATATTTTGATCGTAATTGACCTTATAGGAATGTACTTATCACCTGGATAGCCGCTAATGCTTAATAAAGCTAAAGGTTACACAGAGCCTTACGCGATAAGATAATGCACACGACGCGGCGTTCGAGGTCCAACTATTTCCCGTTTCAGCAAGTTCGACATTTTCACTTCTCATCCTTTGCTAGTGAATTTTTATCTTCAGCACCGACCTCGTTTTTTAATCAACTCTTTTCAGCGAATCTCGGTCTCATTCTTCTATGGTCGATTTTGGATTACATTCTTTGGCTCTTCAAGCCATCGCTATGTACGGAAAACAACAATTGACATCCGAGAAGAAATATATCGAGCCTGGCTCTCCGAATGACTGACCGTCGAGTCACTGAATCATCTGTTGGACTCGCAGGACGCCTTTCACACATACCCTATAAACTAGGCAAGGCGGAGGATTGCGGATGGCAATCCACGAGGAAATTTACTCAGAATAGTAAGTTCCTATAATCCTAACTTCATTTTTAAAGCATCTAACATCTTTTGAAGCACCTGTATTTAGGGAACTTGGCCCCTGCAAGACATGGCTTCCAGCTCCTAATACTGCTGATGTATCATCTCTTACTTCATCAACTGGCGCCGTATGGCAGGCAACCCGGAAACAGCAAAAATGGCTATTGAAAGCCAATCCCGAAGCCCGCCTTGGAAATGAATATATCCATGACCAATTATTGTCATCATATTCATCAGATCAGTTTCATGAGGGTGAACCACGAGATTCATCTCTCTTTGCGATCGGTGAGTTAACCGATACAAGCGATTCAAAGAAAAACTCCGGTGCGCCGTTGATAGCAACCGTTACTGGTGAGGCTGACGATATCCTTCGTCTGGCTAAACCAAGTACAGAAGAATGGCAATGGGGTGAAGATGACAGTGTCTCACTACGAACTTCAGATATGAAGGAGACAGATGAGTTTATTCTCTACGATGAGGATGAACTTACAGGGCCTATTCGTTATCTAAAATCCGTAGTCGATTCAAAGAGGTATGATCCGACGCGCTGGGTTATCGTCCAAAGAGACTCCGGGACTCGAGTATTTCGGCCGGAATACCGCAGGACGCCGACGATATCCGATTACACTAACGTAGAAATACCGTCTCGTATTGCTGCAAACCCACTGTTCACCCTCTCGAAAAGCCAGACTGGAGGGAATCCGCATTCGGATACGTCGTTCAACCCCGGCATCAGATCGAAGCCGCCTCAATTCGGGCTCATCGATGAATGTGGGTTCTGGAGTATCTGGGATGTCTCTCATATTAGAATCAGAACTGGGAAGCCGCGTGTGAGCCTCAGCAAATGCGGTCATATTGAAAAAGGCGTTTTGAGTCATTTGCCCTCTAGAGGCGCGGGGATGGCACAATGGCACAAGATATTATGGGTTGGCTGTGCGGGGAGCTCAGAAGAGTCGCAGACCTTCGATTTTGAGGAAGATGTGGATATTTCTGAAGCCCAAGGGCCCTTTCCACAGCTTATACGATCTTCAACGTTGCTTTTGTGCAGTCCGAAGCTGGTTAGGCTGCTAGATCTCACAAATAACACGTTTCTCCCCGATCTACCCTTTTTCGGGGAAAGAGGCCAAGACTCCATTTTGGATGTGCATACAAACCTGCAGGACACCCAATACATGTTCGTTCTGACTACATCAAAGTTGTTTGTAGTTAGGATATACTCTACCCAGGAGCAGGATTGGGGTGAAGTACAGAAAAGCTCTGCTATTGTGCTATCAATATCGCATTTCAGAGATAGCTTCGACCGAAGCTTGAAGCTTGCAGTCACCCCAGGAGCGGCATCGTCTAGACATGTCACTTCCCTGATCTTCGTATACTCCAGAAATAACACTCAGGTCGACCTCTATTCCGTCACTATGCCGAAAAAGAACCCCTCTATGGTATCCTATCACCGCGAGGCAGTTTCATTAGATGTCGTTCGTCGGTCGTCGCCAGGCATAGCTCTCCAAAGTATATGTTTTCATCCTGCGCCAATTATTTTGAAATTTCCGAATACGGCGACTAATTTTGCGCGGCGCCTTGTCCGGCAAGAGATTCGATTTTACCAGCTTTCCGCTATGACAAAAGACATGTGTCTCGTTTCTACTCTCTGCACATCAACATCTACATCAACCATCAATCAGATAAAATGTCCGGACCACAGAGTATCTCGGGCTAAAGACCGGTCTAAAGAAAGAAAAAAGTTGTTGAAATATATGACGTCCCATTTTGTTGTGCCGGACGATATCAATGTGTATAATTGTGAAGATGGAAGCGTCCAAGACATGGCGAAAATATTTCATCCGTGGCCAACAATACAAAGGCCCCTTGGGATATTCTACGAGTACATCCGTACGGCTTTTTCTCTCCAGATTAAAAGAAGCCAAGAACAGCCTTCCAGAGAGGAAAACTTTGGTTCTAATCCGTTCGACCACGTTCGTGATGTTATCGGGCAAGCTATTCAGGGTGGAACTATGCCTGCCACTACTCTGTAGGCTTTCTCCATACCTTTTGATGTTTTTAAAGCTAATTAGAACTAGTTTCGAAATGATCGAAGACGTGGCGTTACCAGCTGATTTGAGCCAAGCTACTACCGAATGGGATTTCGAAATAGAACAGCTCGTGCATATTAACCCTGACATAACATTAATGGCATTGAATCGACCACTCAGCCAGGTCACGGAGCCAGCAACTTCACTACAGGGACTCTTTTCTGCTTTTTTCAGTATGGCGGCTGGCTCTGGTTTAAGTGAAGAGAATCAAACCCGGATACAAGAAACAAGATCTACTGTATTTCGACAGATAGCATGTGATGTCTACTTGTCCCTCTTTGGACTAGTTCATCGCCAAATAGAGTCGAGACAGACCCAGCGATCTCTTACCGAGGAGCTAGAAAGCATGGCCATCGACAGTCAGCCAGAAAGCCGCATGGGGAGTTTGTCAAGATCACAGTCCGAGGTACCTGTGTCGGAACCCAATACGCCCAGAGCGGAAAGCCATGGGGAGGATCCAGCCATGGCTCTTTTAAGGTCATACACAGGCACCGGCAAATTTGTACCGGCAAAGCGTACAATGCTCCTAGACAAATGGGAAGTCGGCGCTAACCCTGATACTTATGTTTTCGATCTTGAGAGAAATAAGGAGGTGACTCCCGGAATGCAGAGGAGAGTAAAGCAGCTAGCCCGCGAGAGTCGGAAAAGACGCAGGGCAGAAACACTACTCCAGATACAGAAGGATAAAGAGCCGAATCTGCCGGCTACCCAACCAGCGCTGGACACCCGCTTCTTCAACCAGCATAGCCAGGCTGTTGCATATTCTTCACAGACCCAGGCAATGATGTCAGATCCGTTGCAGACTATGTCTCAGCCAATACCGGGTATCTTTGGTCGAAGAGACGAGCGGCCGAAGAAAAAGGTAAAAAAGCGGAAAGGGGGGTTTTAATAGTGCTTAGATATCAGAGTTTATATAAGTATTTGTTATAGAGTCGTCAGGTGCCTGTCTTTCTAAGTCTTCAAGAGAAATGAGACTTTGCTAGTTTTGAAACTTCAAAGCGTGATATGGATTTCACATCTATAGATATGAGTCATACTTATAACGGATGGTCAGACCGAATTTTATTCTTCTCAAATGTTTGCTCGGACTCAAATTTACGTACTTGGCTTAAAGAAACTTGGGTATATTGATGTACGCCACTTATACTATAGGTGCTGAAGCCTAAGAATATGTATATGTACATTGTCTTAGTAAGAGTATACCTAGGTATTTAAGTTTTGGCATTACCAAAACGACCCAGTCAATTCGCCGCATCTAACCGCATTTCCCAACTACATGCAATTACCCGAACTATAGCTTTCCACCATCAAGTCCCAACAAGCTTTCTTCACTATAAAATCAAGCATTACCCAGAAACATTTGAATTTCCCCAAAAGCCAAGAGCATCTCATTAAACAACTACATGTATCGAAATACCGACTATTAAAATTCAACTGTTAAAATGTCTAATTGTCGTGGGGAACACGAACATGGTGGCCATCATCATGACCATGAACATGACCACACGGACGAGATAGTGCCCACTATGCATCACAGCTTATACCAACATATCATCTTCGACCAAATCACCACGTTGAACGAGACGCATAAGGATTCCGGCAGAAAAATCATCGAGAAGACATGGGCTGAGAGTGACCAGCTGCTCCCGGAGCTCAAGAGCGACGCCGATGAGCAGGTTATTATAAACGTACCGTGAGTATTTTCCCTTTTTTACGCAGAGCGACTCCATTTCATCTATCCATCCCAGCATCAACTCAACTCAACTTACTCACACCTACTACAGATTCACCGGCCAAGTCAAGCTGCACACAATCCTGATACGCTCACCTCCTGACTCCAGCGCGCCGCGCACGCTCAAAGTCTTCATAAACCGGGAAGACGTAGACTTCGACGTGGCCGAGGAAATGAGGCCTACGCAGACGTTCGAGCTGTCGCAATTCAACGGCGTGCAAGAACTGTCTGTTCGCCGGGCTCTGTTCGGCAATGTGCGCCGGCTAGCTCTGTTCTTCGAGGACAACTTTGGCGACGATTCCACGCGAATCTCGTATCTGGGCTTCAAGGGAGATTGGATACCGGTCGGGCGTGCGCCCGTAAATATCCTGTACGAGTCCGCGCCGAACCCAAATGATCACCGGGTTAAGGGAACGGCGGCGTATAGGCATCTTGACGCTGCGTTTAGGAGGGACGGATGACGTGAGGTTTGGGGGGAGGTAGAGAGGTGACAGGCATGGCCACCCCCCACGGGCAAGGACTGGTGATGAAAAGGGGATCAATCAATCAATCAATCAATGGGTAGGCGCCTTTTAGCGCAGAGGGATCACTATACCCACGACATCTACATTACTATTATGAGGTAATCACGAAGTTATATATTACTTCGGTAGGGCAATTCATTCGTTCTTTTACATAAAATCTTCCTCCCAGTTCTCGTCCCTGTTCTGATTGCTCGAGGACTCCATGTTCTCTTCCGTGAACAGGTCGTCGTAAGCGTGGTCCTTCTGCCACTTCTTCTCCTGCCTCTCCTTCATTATTCGGGCCTCTTCCTTCTTCTGTAGCCATATTGTTAAACTGGCATGTTTCACAACGAAATTGATGAGAGGAACTTACTCGTTGTTGTTGGGCAGCCTGGTCTTGCTTCCTTAGCTCTCTACGATGGTCTTCTCTTTCCTGCTGAAGATCGGGTTGTTTCTCCACCTTGGTCTTGTTGAGCCGGTTGATGATGACGTTCTCGCGTTGGACAACGAGAACCTTTTTAACCTTGCGCGGATCCTTGAAGCTCACCTGACCGGCGGCCATGCTGCCGTCCTTCTTCAGATTGGACCAGGGTGTATAGATAATGGTGATATTATCCTTCTTGTTGCCCTCGATGGAGTTGGCCTTGGTAAGCTGCGCTAGGTCTGTCACCAAGTCCTGCGGTATGTTCTCCCATGAGTCACCCTCGTTGAGTCTTAAATAGATATGCGCGCTGGAAAGCTTGTCCACGTGGAACTACTCATAACAACCCCTATCGCATGAGATTCGTGACACTTTCCAAGTTGTAGTTTAACATGTTTAGGATTTTTTTCATACCCTAAGGAGAGACAATATGAATACCGCGTGTTTATTTGGTAAATAAAGGGTAACGACGCTACTTACCAGACGTCTTCTTCCCAACCGTACTTAATCAACTCCTCATCTTTACGATGGTTGTTAGTACGTGGGTGGCATGGGTCCGACTTAGACCAGGGATATAAAATAAATCACCCACTCTCGAATTTGTCCTTGCCGACGTAGACGAACGCTGGAGGATCGACAGTTGTCGATTTGAAGTAATAAACCATTTTGATGCTGACGTGTGAGATATTGCATGTAAGAATAAATTTTATTTCTTGAAAGATTTTACATATGAAGGAATAGAATATACTTTTTTTTTTTTTCTTCAGCAGGCGCAAAGTGCTTTATTCCAGCGCGGGCCTGTAGATCTACAAGGTACCTAATGCTTACCCCTACGTGGAACCGACCAATCGCTGGTACGTACCCCACCTACCGCAGATTCCCCGAAAAAGTTCCCTAGGACCCACCCGACATTTTTCAACTCTAGACCAAAGCTTCAACTATCTCATCTCGAATTGCCATTCCAAGCCGCCACTTTAATGCCTGTCGTCTACTCGGCATACCGAAATTACGAATAGCCAAGGGTTACCATAATACATCTCGAGTAGAATTGGTAGTCGAGCACTAAGCTCCCAGCGACAATGGCATCTCGACTGCCAGCCCGCTGGGCAGCCTCCCTCACCAAGAGTTGCTTGCTGAGCAACACCCGAGTCCTTATTACCGAGCGCCACACACTCCTCCCTCGAACTGCTAAGCGCGGTGTCAAGTATGGCTGGTCGACAGCCAACCCGCGCACAAAACCCACGCGCTTCAATCAACAGAGCGCCGGTCTGCCCGCGCCCACGACGGGCCCCGCAGCGGCCCTAGAGCGCAAGGCGATGTCGACGCCCCTGCGGACGGGTATCCTGGCTACCAAGAAGGGCGTCTCGGCCATGTACAGCGCGAACGGCAAGCGCACACCTTGCACAATCCTGCAGATGGACCAAGTACAAGTCGTCGCTGTGAAGACCCGCGCCAAGAATGGTTACTGGGCTCTCCAGATAGGCTGTGGTCAGAAGGAGGCCGATAACGTCACTGCACCGCAACTCGGCTACTTCGAGGCTAAGGGCATTGCACCCAAGCGCCACCTCTCCGAGTTCAAGGTGCGCGGCGAGGAGGGACTGCTACCCGTCGGCGTGCAGCTGCAACCGGATTGGTTTAAGGTCGGCCAGTTCGTCGATGCTAGGAGTGATAGTCGAGGTATGGGTTTTGCGGGTGGTATGAAGAGGCACGGCTTCGCTGGTCAGGAGGCCAGTCACGGTAACTCCAAGAATCACAGGACGATCGGTACGTCGGGTCCCAGTCAAGGCGGTGGTTCCCGTGTGCACCCGGGCAAGAAGATGCCGGGGCGTATGGGTGGCGAGAGAGTCACCATTCAAAACCTGAGAGTGCTGAAGGTAGACAACGAGACGGGCATCGTGGTGGTAAACGGGCACGTGGCGGGGCCTAAGGGCTGCATAGTGAAGTTAGCCGACGCTGTCAAGAAGTCGCCGCCAGCTGAGACGTTCATCGAGAAGGCTAGGAGGTTGATGTTGGAGCGGAATCCAGACCACGAGACGCAGTTGCAAGTCGCGCGGGAAACACATCTAAACCTAAAGGAGATGAGGAAGGCGGGCAAGCTAGGAGATGCTGTGGCGTTGGCGGCCGCATTGTAGAATATATATACTACATTTGTACCATATACAATGATGATGGACACGTCTCTCGATCCTAATAAAGATCCTAATGAAGAGTATGGCTGGCGTTGCGGATCATCCACCCTGCCGACTTATACGCTGCCTTCTCCGTCACTTCAGGCGCCAAACCAGAAGCGATATGTTCTAATATCGCCTATGAAGTTTACTTACTCATAACCCAAGTTTTTAACAGCTACGTGTAGAGTATTCTACCACCCCAACACAACATTCCTCCCGGGAATCTAACTCCAACAACAGTATCTCAAAGGGGCCATGCAACCCCCTCACTTAAGCTGCTGTCTAAACCCCCTCGTCGCCTCCTCGCGCTCCTCCTCATCCATCGGGAACGCGGGCGCAGCCCTAAACGGATCATCCCCTTCCAGCAAATCGATCTTCCTACCGTCCGGAGTCTCGAGGCTCCACTCGGTAGTCTCGAAGACGCCCTTGGGCGTGGGGCGGAAGCTGGCGAAGCGCATGACGGCGGCGGACCGGGTGCCCTTGACGGGGAAGCGGATGTCGATGCGCCCGCGCAGCTGGTTCATCTCGCCCGCGATCCACGGGATCTGGTGCTTGAAGTAGATCTCGTCGCCGAGGAGCTCGCGCGCGCGCGGGCTCGTGCGCAGCGCGTACAAGGTCGAGGCTACGATGGGGCTCGAGAGCTTCTGGTAGTTGAAGATGGCGACGCTGGAGGCGGCGATTAGGGCGAGGAAGATGGGGAAGGTGCGCGCCCAGCGGAATGTGTTGATGCCTGTTGTTGAGGGGGTTAGTTATGTGTGTTTTATAGGTGTAGTATAATAGAGAGAGACACGAGGAGAGAAAGACGTACTTGGGAGCTCTCGGTCTGGACGTCTCTCCATCAGAGGTCCATCGCCGGGTTTAGGTGCCGAGACCAGCGTCCTTCTTTGGATTTGACTCCTTGTAGAGGCAGATTGATTTCGTAACAGTAGAAGCGCCCTCCGGCGCACTAATCTAGACCACATATTGTTGTCGATTGGACTGATCTTGAGGTTTCCCCAAGATCTTTCGTTCTCCAAGTCAAATTCGAAAGATGCAAAGCTGCATCCCACTTTGGAATCATACTACATCGGTACGTACCTAGGTTGGTTCCGGAATCCGAGGTGGGGCCGTAATTGAGCCACAAGCCTGGTAAGAGGTACCTGACTATGTATTTAAGCCACTTTCAATCTCTTATCTAATCGAATTCTGTTAAACGAAGCTAGGCGGGTCTACCCCTGTTAGGGCACTTCAAAATTTGTAGCCCACCAAATTTCTTTTTCCATTTCCAACTTCCCAGGAAATCGTGAACCTCCGCCAAATCCAACACCAACCTTTCGTCCCTCGGAAATCGACTCTTTCTCGCCAACTCACCCAACGCCCACCGACAAAATGACGAAGGTTAACTCCGGTATGTTTGTTTATACGCTTTTACCAATTCCCTCTCAAATGTGTAATTTGGGGGCTTGACGTTGTCAATTGAAACGATGCGATGCTAACGAAAATTTTTTTTTCAAGGTATCGCCAGCTCGCGACGAAAGTCGAGAAAGGCGCACTTCGGTGCGTCTTCCGGCGAGCGCCGTGTCATCATGAGCGCTCCTCTTAGCAAGGAGCTCCGTGAGAAGTACAACGTAAGTTTTTCAACAACTCCTCCATGATATCCCACACCCGTTTCGACGTGCACTTGTAAACTTTCCTTCTAACACGAATCCGCCCTTAGGTCCGTAGCATCCCCGTCCGAAAGGACGACGAGGTCACCATCGTCCGAGGCACCAACAAGGGCCGCGAGGGCAAGGTCACCGCTGTCTACCGTCTCAAGTACCAGATCCACATCGAGCGCGTCACCCGCGACAAGGCCTCCGGCCAGAGCGTGCCCCTCGGCATCCACCCCAGCAAGGTCGTCATCACCAAGCTAAAGCTCGACAAGGACCGTGAGAACATCCTAGAGCGCATCAAGGTCGGCCGCGAGCTGCGATCCAAGGGCAAGGCTGCTGCCAAATAAGCGGTTTCTTCGGCCTAACACCCCATCCACCTTTTTTTCAATTACTCGGTTGTGCCACCGGCCTGGCCTGGCGAAAGGGGGCGGATACCCGTTGGTAGATAAATGACGAAGCGTCGTACGAGTCGGCGGGAGGAATATCACGGAATATGGCGTCTTGCGAAAGGGTAAAAGCACTCCCCCGGCTTCATCGAGAGGGACATGACGGATCATCGGCGGGGTTTGATTGCATGGGAGCTCGACGATCAAGCATCTAGATGCGGTGGCACACACCCACCAAATGAAAAACATTTGCATGCACACAATGGCCATTTCACAGTTTCTTGTGAAATGTTCCATGGGAGGTTCTTCCCGAAGTCTCGCTCTCTATATTTCTGACTGGCCGTGTTTATGCCGTAATGCGCACTCCGGCGGACTAACCTCTAGGTTACCCTCTCATCCCAATTAAGGGAGTTAGACAGATCTAGGGGAGATAGATGGACGAGGCTTCTCCAGGGTACGAGTCCATTCAGACAGTTATCCCCTCAACGTAAGTGGTCTTTTTTTTTTTTTTTTTCCTAAGCACGCATACATAATTGCAACCGGTTCCCCTCCTATTCGATTTGATGTAAAGCAAATACCGCCGGGATATCTCCGCGTCAACCTCAACCCTTTGGTTTTCGAGGTATACGACTGGCGAAGAGTAAAGCAAGCACAAGGGATATAATAATGAATCACCCCCTTGTTGCTCCGTCGCCTGCAGACTGTCAACCAATAGATAATATCCATGAGGTTGGGAGTTTGATGGTGAAGTACATTTTGTCTTATTAAGAGACAAGATAATTCGTCGTCGTCGTAGAGCTTTATAATTCTTCTTTTTACTAGTCACTACCAGTCAAAATATCATTCAGTTAATAAGAACACTTATCGTAATTACAATGAATGCTGTCAATTATGGGCCGTGAGGCAAGTTATCTGCGATCCTAGTAAAGTATGTCGAAGCAACAATAAAGCAATAATGAAATCTGCAATGCGACGGAGTTTTGCCTGCTTCTCAACCTCAACCACCTCAGTTTTGTCATTATTACACGATACCATCTCCCTCCTCCCTTTCCGCCTCATCAAAAACAAAATTATGTCAAAAGAGAAATTATTACTTCCGCCGAATAAACGTAGCACTCAAAAGCAATGTAGCACATATTTTGCCTCTGCTTTGGTTCTCGTAATGTTGTCTTCGTTGTCTCCATCGAAACACGGAGTATTGTTGCAATCTTGACCATGCGGAAGGATCATACGGGATGATCATACAAGTGTCCGTAACCTCCAAATGGCGACGGAAAACGAAATAGGAAATATTCAGTCGACTGAAATCATAAACAATAACCTATGGTCGACTCCTCGAAGAAATGAACCTAATCATACTAGCATGAGTGTAACAAGATGTTGTTTATAGAGCTGCTGCTTCATTCCTCGTCGCGTAGTAGGCAAAGAGAGGATTGGCGGCAATGATACTGCTTTATTTCTCCCGGCAATGTGCAGCTTAGCCTTCACCAGTCCGAACCAACGACTCCACGTCGCTCGGCGTCACGAAGCATACGTTCCTGGACATCTTTCAACGGATCGTAGTCTGCCGAGCGCGTCTCGTTAGGCGGGCAGTTCTCTCCAACTTTCTCTGCAGATCGTTGTGCGTCATATTCAATACTCTTGTCTCCAGTTTCAGGTGAAGCGCGGGTCGCCATGTTGCTCGTGTTAGAAATTGCAGGCCCAAGAGAGGCAGCAGCATGCCCATGATACTGAGGCAAATATCCCGTAGCTGTGGTCGACGAGACTGTGCTAGGCACTACGGCTCCACTGGTTGGCCCTCTCTTCAGCATGGTTTGCCAGAGATCATTTCCGGACTTGTTGCTATAGAATGTCAGCCTCTGATTCCGCGCCTACGTATCTGTTTACATACCTCGATCTTTCAACGGTTCGTCGGCCCATCGAATCCTGCTTCTTGTCGGCCTCAGATGATGTGGTTGGGGACGGAACCTTGTTGCTCTTAGGCTTATTAGAGAGACCTTCGGTGTTATCACCACCATGTAGTCCTTGAGAAGCAGAATCCTTCTTGGACGCACCCCCTCGGCTAGCATCGTCAGGAGCAACAATCGGAATAGCTTTGCTAATCTTCTGAGTCCCATGGCTAGGACGAAACGGGTCGTTTTCTGTAGGCTGAGTTCGGAAGCCGAAGTCGAGATCCGGTCGGCCAGTTGGTATTGTTGGACGGAGTGTAGATTGGGAAGCCTCAGCACCGCGGGCAGCTTTTGCTGGTGAAGGTGGATAGAAATCCTTACCATCGAACTTTGGTAAGCCGAACCCTACATTCGGAACGTGGCCCCAGTAGTTACTTCGAGCTCGCTTCTCCTCCGCGGTTAACTCTCGCGAATATACGTACTCCGCTCCATGGCCAATATGAGGATTCACGCCTCGGGGTAGGGTTCCAACGAGATATGGACGGCTATGACTATTCGGAGCAAAACTCGCCGACGACGGCTGGGAATTCACAGCAGAAGCGCGGTTGACCGTGTTCGAGTTTGTAGAGAACATGCTGTTCCAGTTACCATTCTGGTCAAACGGCAGCATGCCAAGGGATGGCCATCCAGCAAGTCCATGTGTGCTAGAGAGCCCAGCCTGTGGTCCAAGATTTACCCCTTCCGACTGAGTTGCAAAGGAATGTGGTGCTCCGTCAAATGTAGGCGCAGAAGCAACGTCAGTGTAAGATCCCACGTTCTTCATCGGTTCAGGTGCGGCAAGCCCTCTCCTCATTTTGTCTTGGATAAGTGCTTCCAGCGCAGGGTCCAGACTGAGCGGCGATGTGTTACCTTTATTCGAGTTGATTCCGATCGCCCTCGAGTTTCTGTGGTTACCATGTCTCGAGCTAATTCGCTCAGATGATTGGAAATGCGAGAGGCTGCGGCCCTGATCACCAACGCCGACGGAACTATTCTGAGACGTATTTCCTCCTCGACGGCTTCTAACGCTAGAACTTCCCGTGGGGGTCTTCCAAATTGTTCCTTGTTGAGTTGAACTTGTAGATCCAGTTGGAGCTTGGGGGTAGTAGGAGGCTTCGAAATTTGCCTGCATCTTGTAGTTCTGCTCAAACTGCTGTACGCTTTCTCTCAGCTTATCAGCTTGCTCTTCAGTCCATTTCTCGTCAATCTGGTGCCTGTTGTATTGGAGCTGATCTTCATAGTACTTAAGGGAAGTCTTCAATGCATCAAGTTGACGTTTTGTGATTTCACTCGGTCTAATTGACGTGATGTGAGGTGTAGCTCCCTGACTGGGAGCAGACGTTGGTTGCACTGATCGAGCACCTCCACTAGCAGCGTGGGGGACATTGAAATGAGGAGAAGGGATGGCGGCAGGGCTGAACATTGATGCAGCAGGGGATGGCTGTCCCATTGAGCCGAAAGCGCTCATCTGAGCGCCAACAGAACCCAGATGTCCGACTACGCCAGGCGGGAAACACGGACTTGAGAGCATCATTGGCATAGGCATTTGGCCCTGTACTAATCCATAGGCTGGAGGATAGATCACGTTACCATTATGGTAGAACGGACGGTTCTGCTCGAACTGATCTCTAGGAGTGATCTTAATAGGAGCGGGCCTTGGCTTCTTATCGCCGGCACCGTCTTGAGTCTTAACTTCTTTGGCCGCTTCGTCGATATCCTGCTGGCTTTGAGTGGGAGTGGGCTGCTTACCACCCGAGTGTGCAAAGGGAAGAGTGGGCATACCAAAGGCCATGGGAATTCCGTGAGGAACAGGGTATAGAGGCATAGGCAAGCCCATGTGCTGGAAATATCCCGGAGGGGCAGGGAACTGTAGAGGGATTTGCGCCTGCGGGAACTGATTGGTAGCGCCGCTGGTGGCATGAGGTTTCTCGTCTTTAGAAGTCTCTGTCGAACCCAGTCCATTGGTCGCTGAATGTTCCTTGTCCCATTTTGCGGTGGGTGATACGGAGCCGCGTGTGTTTGGTACGATTCTTCCTCCAGCTGTTACTCGGACGTGAGTAGGCGAAACGACGGCTTTAAAGAATCTTTGGAAACCTTCACTTTGCTGTGCCACAAGTCCTGCGGGAGCAGGGAGCGGTTCTTTTGAGGAGACCTCGGATCCGGTGCGGCCTTTGTATTGCCACTGAGCTCGGTTGTTCTTCTTGCCATGGAATATAATCTCATCACTCTCTGTTGAGGATGACATATCCTCCTTCGACTTCTTCACGTATCTAACTTGGGCAGGCATTTTGCTCGTTAGGTCTTTAAAAATCTCAGCTGCGTTTGTTAGCGTAAAGGCAACAACAAACCAGTAGTGAGTGTTATTATGATGTGATAGAAAGCAGGATAAGGTATTAGGATAAGAATATAGTGGAGGGGGAGAGTTTTGGGTAGTTGAGAAGAATGGGGATGAAAAGAGATGGAGAGAGAAAAACGAAGAGAGGGAAGGAGAAAAATAGGGGAAGGGAGAAAAAACAGGCAGAAAGTGAAGAAAAGCGGATTCGCTTACCAACTTCGTGGTTAGCACATAGCTTGTCCAGTGCGTCTCTACAATAGGTAGTTTTGAGCTGCTGAAGCTCGTCAATGGTGTACTTGCGCGATTCCATCTGGAGGTCGAGGTAGGCGAAGACAAAGTAGGTTTTCGTCCACTCGCCGTGATAGTATCGAAACAGGGTTGGGAAAGTAAACGCCTTGCCCCGGGTAGGTTTCTTAGAGAAAGTTTCGGAGATGAGCTCTAGAACCACAGACAACTGTGGAGGGATTCTGTTGGGGTCAGCAACCCTCTGGGCCTCGAGTTGAGAAAGGATGAATTTGGGTAATATTAAAGGAGATGTGGAGGGAGATGGCAAAGAGTGATCAGTTTCTGAGCTGATAATTATCTGACGAATATCTTTATTGCAGTTGAACCTGAATCTGATAGCGGTGAAAGTGGCTCCTGAGATTGGTATGTCGTGTTCTTGGGCACATCTAAGCTCTCTTTCAAACCGGGCCCTGTGAGGATAACAACGGCGCCCAGACATCTTGTCTGGAGGACCAATGTGGTCCAGCCAGTACTACTGCCAGATGTACAGGAATATGATAGGAAAATAATGAACGGTGTTGTGAAAATATGACGGAGTATAAGGGGAACAAACCGTTAGTGTGCGCAGAGTGCAATAAGCAGTGGCAGTTAGGATTGAAGAAACGGCGTCGAGAATTAAGTGCGCGTCTATGTGGAAGATGCTGAAAGATTTCGGCGCGGCGTGATTGATTGTGAAAGTGCAGGCAGAAAACTTCAAAAGCCCTAGTCGCGTCAACGCGTTTGGTTATATCCGTGTGTATGTATTTTCGGTGTGATTTAGGTTGCCTTGCGGTGTTGTCTAGAAGAAACCGACAGGTGATAACAAACGGCAGCGGTCAGGACGATAAACGGGAGATAGGAGACAGGACTTACATACCAAAAAAGGTACAATCGAGCGAAAGGCGTGAGCAATCAGCAACGGGTAGACATACAAGATCTTTTTGAGGCAGATCTTTAAAGGCTATGCTGTGTCGGAGCATTGATGGAAAGGTAGACAAAGTCGGGATAGATGATTCGGATTGAGGAAGCGTAGCATAAGAGAGTATGTATGAGTTGATATAAGATTTACAACAACCACCAGAACATGGCGGATTGCACTTAACCTACCTACACTTATACTAAGTCTATTTCCCTAGGAGGAAAGGGGTACAAGACCCATACGTACCGTACCCACTTGGACAACATATATCCAGCAGGAGCAGTCAACTGGGAGGTATCCCTATACGTACCTACACATGTACCTACACATGTACCTACACCCATCTTCTGAAGAGACTAGAATTGACTAGGTGGTAATACATTCCAATTACGTATTTCAGACATGAGTATCTACATGTAGGTATGTGCTTTACGTCTTTGACACGTGTATGGATAGAGCGACAGGTTCATCTCAACACGGTTATTTGAAGGCTATAGAGTCACTCTTCCTTTATTACGTGTAGTAACTCATGTCAGACTAAAAGGTAGGAAGGCACATAATAATCTAAGCCAACTACAATTGCCTGCCTTCCCGTATACGTAAATGTAAATAGAGTTATATAAGCCAGTATAACTGCATATGCACATCTGTGCTTGCCTTTGAGTATAGCGTTCTTTCCTACCATGAAACTATGTGAATACCTTCAATGCACAAGGTAGATGGGATAATGGCCAATATACAACTAAATACTGTACAAGGCACGTATATGAAGAGAGCATGTTCTAAATAACGTGGTTCATGTCATTGGGACAAATATGTTATACATAATTCGTACTATCCTTTGTTCGTAATACATTTGTCTATGTCTTACGGAAGCCTCTAGCTTAGATGGGTACCTAACTCAGGCTTTTATATGTAGCTTTGCATTGATGGCTATACACTAGCCCCTATTGTTGTAATGAAAGGGGGGGTGGCTCAAGGAGAACACCCTACATACTATCCAGTCAAGAACTCTTTATCTCTACTCAGGAACATTCAATGACCTCTCTAAATGGTCGATTCACATCGTTGAGTATAAAAGAAAGGAAGCGATATGGCTGTCTATAACATGACAAGAATCCTTTCAGGTGGTCATTCCCCCTTTTCCTCTGGAAGACAACAGGGGTCCCCCTAATGAGCATGAAAGGCTCGTCCTATACGTTGAAGGCAAGTATAATAACATACATCAAGTGATTTTTACTGTAGAGGGGCAATGGTTTATATGATGGAACGATCTAGGTCATCTAAGCACACGTCTAATCTTAGTAACCTTGTAAATATTCAAACTGGAGTATGCTAAGCAGATACTAATAAACAACGAGTTGAGTATGACAAACATAATAGCGCTCTCCTAAAATATAGACACATAAGCGCCAAGTCATCAATGGGAATAATGCTGTTCGTGACGCCAAAGTCCTAAGCTAGAGACTTGACAGCTAGACATCCACCGTCTTAAGACGTGTTCATAAACGGCCTTGGCCTAAGAGAAATAACAGCACCAAGAACTCTGCAGGTAGTCAACGCCCCAAAGCCATGATAAAATCGAGCGTATCCTTGCCATATATATACAGGATCTCTCAAAAGCTAGCTGTAAAATCATTAGGAGACATGCGTATACGAGATGAGCAAGAAAGTTACGCAGTGTTGAGTATCTTACCTGCGCCGCTCTCAATACTACCAGACTTCAAGGGACCTTATGTATATTCGTCCCTTGGAGTAGCATATAGTATCTGTCACGTAGTCGTGGAGTGTTGATCATCAGGGTTAGGTGGATTCGGTGTCGGAGGTTCTGGTTGTGGAGGCGGGTTCGGTTTGTGGTTTAGACAGTACGATGTCTCCTTTTCGTTAGCCGTCAATGGCAGGGCCTTTTCAAGCCTAGGCTGCCGACTGCTCGAGTAGAAGAACATTATGGTTCGTAATTTTTGATGAAGGAATCTAGAAATATATTTTGTCCTTTGAACGTTGATAAGTAGCGGTGGCGACGATGATAATGCTATGTAACTAGATTTTCGGTGGCAATCCTTCTTGAGAAAGTAAAATTTCGAGGATAGAAAGGAAATCAGCCCTTTAAAAAGCTCCGTAGCCACACCTTAGAGCCTATCCTCTTCAGAACCAACCCCCACTCCAACCTCCGGGCCGACACAGCTCTAGGTTCTTAATAACTATTGGGTAGGTCCACGATGTCGAAGTGTCACGCCTTCCTTTCTGGCATATAGTTAACAAATGCACGTCAAGTCCCCTATAGGAGATTTTACCGACCCACACACGTGGTGATAGATCGACACTAAATCCTCCTCACGGTTTGGCTCGGTTAGGTGATGGTGTCTTCATCTCAAGAACAGCTTCAGAGACTACTGGCGGGTGACGCCCTAGTGCATAGGTTCCCGAGCGTACCCGCGTAAGCCGCTTCCTTTTGCCTTGCTATTCTTGATAAAAAGCTTATGGGCAGGGGTTCCAAACGACCGGTGCTACCTCGTAGCTTCTAAATCAAGGTCACCATGATCACAGCTCATTAGGGAAATCGTGACAGTGCACGCATGCTCCCACGCCGCTGACCTCATTGCAACCATCCTATAATAGATGTCCGGTGACGTTTGGTGGGTTACGGCATATGTATAACAAAAGGCTGATATCAGCGAATCGTGACCCAAGTTCCACCTGATTTTTGGCGACAACTGAACCACTCAGCCAGAGGCTAGCTTGGATTGGTTGGAGATGCCCATCTGGCAAGTTTCGGAGAACCGAAGCCGTGCCCCAGATGAGTGAGCAGCAGAGACTCCAGGGTCTGGGCGCAGCAACAACCTGGATGGGCGGGCAATATCGACATCTACTACATCGGCCACGGTGAATCTGACTGACTGACTGACTATTTAGCCCAGAGTAGGTAGTCTGGCCTTATGCCGTGCCAAGTCGTGTATGTTTCAGGATAACAATTTGACCGGACCCTCGCAAGATCGCCAGGGCCAATGCGCGTCTTGTGGGCTACAGAACATCCCGGCATCGCATTGCGGGAGGTCTCGCTAGGCTCTGCACGCCAGGCGGGTAGTCTAATATCGAGTCAGCCGCATCCCGGGGAATTGGCCGTCAGAGTTAGACGAAGCGGCCTGTCTTCTAGAACCCTTCTCTAGGTAAACTTATAAAGCTCTTAGCTGCTCCTAGTTCAAGTCGTCGACAGCTACTTGCCGTGCTGGAATTCATCCGGACGTAGCACAGCATGACGCACTCGTTTCCAAAGGGAGAATTCACCTTATCCCTCATCCCAGTTAACTCGGCTAGGTAACCCGGAGCTCTTCAAGCGTGGACATGGGATAATCGACCTAGCTAGCATGGAGGAGCATAAGAGGGTCTGAGACCTGGGATTCTTGGAATTCGTCAAGCGCCATTGTTGGTCGACTCGGCAGTTCCGCAAGTAACTGAGTGTCACATAAGATAGTCACATAAGATAGGTCCACGGGTATCTCAGTAATAACTCAAAAAGAAGTAAATAAGTACCTAGCCGGCGTATGCACGATCAATGTATAGGTATGTACGATGTATCTTGTAGGTATCACAAAGACCGTCACGAGTCATGTTTGCATTTACATGCAATTGTCAATATTCGTACCTGAGTACCTGAGTACATCGAATGTATGTGGGTAGTAGAAGTGGATACTTGCACGGGGGTCACGGGCAATTCGGTTAACCCCTCTTACCCTTTCTGCGGGCTTGGGCACTTACACTAGTCTCTATCAGATTCAATGGATCGATTCGGACAGAAAGACCTGCAAGACTTTGCGCTTGGATTATATTTTGGCTCACCTCGGCGGGGGATGACCCACATCTCACGTCTCACGAATTGTGTGTCTATGTACATGTGTACATACCCAACACAGAGATAACTAGAAGTACCGTCCTCATCAATTGTGAGATCTATTTCCCTGTAGACCTATGGCTATATCAAGCTAGACTCAGGGTTTGTGATAGGCTTTAAGATAATTACATAGTACACCCTACGATCAAACTGACCAATCCCGCAACCCCTCCATCTTTTACTGCATTCCAAGGTTTAGTCCCGCACTAAGACTCGCTAAGCTGTTATGTACGTAACCGAAAGCGTAGGGCTGCGTTATAATCCAAGCAACTAACCTAGACAAACTCCGGAAGATCGAGTCTACATAATAAGTTAGAACAATCTTTACTACAGTCTACATATCACTTGCGTGCCTCGGTTTAAGCTCATATAAAATCGACCCTTGATGATTTTAGCGTAAAAAGAACCCCTCTAATATTGAGAAGTGACGCCACTGCCGATAGGAAAATGGACATCTCTCAATCCTCGATCGAATCCTCTATATCTCTAACATCTCACAATCTAAAAACCGGCGACTGAGAAATATCCTGAGACGTGCACAAGCACAATCTAATATAGCACTTCGCTCCGAATTTGAAAAGGACTTACTACTCCTTTCGGCCATCAGGGACCTAAAGCGGGAAACCGAGGGATTCTTAAGACATCATCGCAATGGCACCGCTGACTCCACACTGGGACCAGCCCTCGCATCCTGACATCCAAGATGTGATTATCAACGCGCATGAGTTTACATCTAAAAGCCTGTCCAAAATCTCCCTACCTCCTTTCGGTCTATATGCGAAACTGGACTTTCCCCCGTGCACCTTCGCCGAGTCCCCGACCTATGCCACAGTCCAGTGCGGCCGGGACAAGCACCTGGACCTGAACAGCGACCTGCTGTATATCAACCACTCGTGCGAGCCGTCTCTCATCTTCGACACGGCTAACTTGAACGTTATCGCGGGGCCGAACGGCCTCAAGGCCGGGGAAGAACTGACCGTCCGTCACCTGCATACCCACGCCCGGTAAGCCCATATCTAGCGCCCCGCAAGAGCTTACCTCTGCCATAGTTCTTCTACCCGTCTACAGAATGGGACATGGCCCAGCCCTTCGACTGCCTGTGCGGCAAGCCGACATGCCGCGGGCGTATCAGCGGCGCGAGGGACATGGCCAAGGCACAGCTTGAGGGCGTCTGGCTGAACGGTCACATCCTCCAGCTCCTCGAGGAGCGAGATCTCCGTAATGCGGGTACCGGCAAGGAAACTGATCCTGAAAATGGCACTAGTACTTTAGCCGGTCGTGATCCCTCGACGGAAGTAGGACCCCCTGAGGATCTCACTACTCAAGCGCTGAGAGATGCCTTGAAGCATGCTGAAAAGGTCGTTGAAGCCGCCAGGAGCGCTCTACAATCGTACCTTGGTCCAAGGGCACTATTGACTCACAACGGGGAAGCCCGTGGGAAGAGGGGCAACACGGATGCCAGCGGACTAGCTGGCCTCGGTGGAGCTAATGCCGCCTTAGTCTCCGGCCTAACGAGACGCGGCATCACGTCACGGGAATTGAGCGGCGAGATGGGCGGAGATACTATTGCAATCTCAAGCTCGTAAGAGACAAATCATGTCCTTAGTTGTTTAGTTCGGTTGCTTCTCTCTTTTCGAATTCAACATTCTCGTCTTTAAGTCAGCTCTCAACAGCCTGGCCTGTTTTGAAAGATAGCACTCACCCAATGCCCTAGTTAGAATCAGGGCAAAACGCTCCCTAGAGATATGTATTGGTTATAATACACCTGCATCAACTAGCAGGACTTCAATACAAACCTACCAAGTTCTAGTCTAACAGATCCGCAACGCGCAAACTCCATGCTATCGTGGGCATTTGGCCACGGCCAATACACTCGAGCCTAAATATACATCTATTGCCACCCGTACATATCATTAATGCCTCATATCTACTCAATTAGTCCTCTTCGCTCTCATCGTCTCCCCAACGAAGCCAACTAGATCCCCGTCCTCCAGATTCACTTCCCACGCCTCCAGCATATTTACTCTCCTCCTCCTCCCATTTAAGCCTCTCCACCCTAGAACGTGCTAGGAACGCCTTAGCAAATCGCCAGGCCTCTGTGTCCGCCAGATTCCAGGCTTCGATAGCACTCCGGACACGCTCGTCCTCTTTAACCTTGCTCTTCATCACTTCCCGCGCCCTATTCAGGAGGCTCGGCTCACGCAAGAGGTCATCATCAGAGGCGATCGGCCCATCTGCCGGGTCGTGCTGGGGTTTCGGACGACGCTCCGGGCCTGGAACCGGGGTCTCCGACTTCCCATCGTCAGTCATGTTACTCGGGATTTCGAAACCGAACCACCAATCTAGGTCATCCGGAAGTGACTCTTTCTCGGCCGTCAACCAGAGGGAGTGTGATGCTGCGTATTCACCAGCCACAGCATCCTTGAATTTAAGCACGCGCATCGACCCGGGTATGCCCGTGCCCAGAAGCTCCTGGAAGACGAGGTAGAGCCACTCGTCACGTCTTTTGATCTCTCGTCTAATATAGGCAATATCCAAATTGTTTCGAAGCGTGTCCAGCGTGCGTAGTGTATACGGGTGTGGTACTGTTCCTATGGTATACAAGTCCGTATTGTTCTTATAACGCGCTGGGGTCGAAATCTTCATAGGGTGAGAGGACACACAAGGCGAGCATTTTGGAAGATTTGGCGGGCACGATGCTGGCATTGGACTATCACTACAGATCGCGAGCCTAGTTGCCAAGTCTAAGGCTTGCTCGATCATGTGCGTAGTGTGAGTTGGCATGGGCTTGAGGACTGCTATACCGCTGCTAAAAATATCCTGCCAGGTATTATGTAGGTGAAAGTTAATAAGGTTGTTTAAGCTCTTCATGCCATTATCACGATCCGCTGCGACTTCTTCCGCGATCTTTTGGTAGGTCTTCTCGATAGTCTTAGTATCGTAAAATGCTAGCGATTCATGAGACGGATCAACGCGGAAGGTTTCGCTAGTAACCGCAGAAACCACGTCCTTAGCAGATTTACTCTTGGGGTCTCGGAGCGCTTGAACAATGACGTCGGCGACCTGGACCTTGGGACCAGCGAATAAAGCATTATCAATATCCTCCCACCTCGTTAAACCCGGATACTCTCCTCTTCGTAGAAATGAGAGCAAAGGATCCTCGTAAGCCGCCATAGGGAGTAACAGATGATGTGCGAGAAGTCCGCCGCCCATATTTTCCCATGCAAGCCAGCGCATCATGTCTTTCTTGAAACTTGGCTCCACATCCAATCTCTGAAGCTCGTCATAAAGCGGATTATTCATAGCCTCTGCCGCGCTCAGGATGATCGGTTTAAATCCTTTAGCCCACCAGGCGCGCCTCCATGTCAACAATAGCGCACTATCAGCTTCCTTTGTAGGTGCGTCCCGCTGAACAGTGGTATCGTAGTAGCAATAAATAGGAGCCCTTTCCTTCAGAGGTGGGAGGAGAGATCGGTTCTCGTCCAACGTGATAGACGACGAAAAGGGATTCCTCCAGTTCCAATTTGAATACCATGAGCTTCCCCCATATGTTGAGTTCTTCTGTTCCGCAGGCTTGTGAAAAGCCGGCCGGAAGGGGTTCAATATACTTGACGAGATTTTATCCTTGTATTTCGGTATGGAGAATTTATGATCGGCAATCGACTTTGAAAGACTTGGCCCAGTCGGAATCGAATTGGGCAGTGTAAAAAGGAGGGTGAACAGGGCGAATAAGCCGAGGAGGACGAGGAGGAATGAGATTCGTCGCGGACCTATTCGTAGCCCCAAGGCCGAACCGTGCCCCCTCATATTGCGGTTGAGGAGACGATGCAAAGGTTGACCGGCCAAAAAAAAAGGTAACAAACTAGTCAAGAGAAGGTTAAATCGTTATAGAATTGAGCGCGAGCTGCGCGATGATACTTGAACACGAGTTGATGAGGCTACGCGTGCTAGCATGGACTCTAATAGGTATCTCGAACAAAGGAATGGAAGAAATTGGGAAAATTGCACACTTGAACTATTAAACTAAAGTTATTTCATGACTTCTTAAGGTCCTTGCGCAAAAAATCGCGATCCTATCTCGCGTCCGGACATCCCCTATAATGACGAAGGAGGGAATGTTGAAATGCTTCGAGGAAACTTTCAAAGTAAAACGGTCGAGTTGCGCAACTTGCATAGATTGCTCTTATCCCTATTAAGAGTTTCCACATTGGTGGGGGAGTACCTAGGCAGGAGCCAACCTTAATCTCAATCATATGAACATGTGGCTAGTGGTTGTGGCTGAGTATCTACTATGTACATACCTAAGGTACCTAAGGTCACGACATCGAGCAAACAGCCCACGAACCACATCCAATAAACCCCTTCATTGAGTAGTTGATATTTCTAAAAACATCCTTCATAATTCTAGAGCATGATATCATTACCATGAAGATATTCATTTCCTTTAACTAGCTAAAGCGATGAACTCCCTAAGTTCAGTTTACCAAGTTAAGTCATAAACACCCCCTTTTCCACTTACTCAGCATAGGAGACATGATGCTAAGGATATCATTATTAAATACCTACCTACCCACCTATAAGTAAATTTAGGCTCTATTTATTCAGAATAATCAAGCTCGGATCTAGAGAAAGCTGGTAGCGCATCTATCAAGTATGTAGAAAATCCATGGCACCTAAGTTAGGGGCTATAGTTGCCTAACCCTTAAAAATAGTAGAGATATTCCAAACTTTGACAGTATATTTACCAGCCTCAAATCTACTATTTTAGTTATATCTTCTGCAAAATACAGAGTCAAGGAGCCCCCTAGAGTTCCAATATAGTATATACCTCATAGATACCTGTTAGGACGTAGGAGTTCATCGGTTTATGATAAAAATGGCTTTCATCTGGGTTTCAATACCAATCCGGCAAATGCTTCATATTCATAAGGGTATGAAATCCTCATTAAGTAGGAATGCCTTACCTCATATAACTATCCTAGGGAGGTCATTTCCCCTAGCGCTTGCATAACAATACTATCACATATAAGGTGCAATTGCTCGTTAGCAATTATGGCGTCGTTTTTGCGACAAATACCGTATCAAGAGACAATATGACTACCCTTTAGGGTAGTTGCTAGGTAGGAGGTCTACGTAAGGAGGCCATCCCTTCCTCCCTCCCTCCCGATATCCTTAGTAATTGTATTGGTTAAAACAGCAACTAACACTTATATACTACGATCTAGCTACCCACCTCTGACTCTATACATCTACGTTCTCTATCATATTGTTTATTTATATATTCGAGCCAAGTGTTTACGGATATTTAAACCGCTACACTCTCGATTAAAGGAAAGCGCATTCCCGGTCTCGGTAGAACTTGTGATATCTCCAAAAGTTATTCACAGCCATTTGAGATTCAACCAGAATCAACAGCTTTCATGCTCTTTACACTAAGATTTTCCCCTACCGGATCGCAAAGGCCGCCTCTCAGCTATATTCAGGCGAATTCGGATTTGCGAAGTTTCTACATCTACCCTCTCAGGAGCCTTCTTATAAACCACCTCTCCCCGAACTTACCCTACACGATTCGCCAACCTCCACTCTAGACTACCACCTACACCCCACGCTACCACTACTAGCTAGTGTGAAAGCCCTATACAGAGTAAGAGCCGTCGGCCATGAGACCTTCCTATTATCTCTGCGTAATTACTACAGGTTAGGCTAGAGTGGCAATTTTAACCCAATTCATTCATATCCCCCACGCATAGGACCTTCAAGTATTACCATACAACCCAATCACTACTAATCGTCGACCTTTCCGTGTATAAAAACAGATACATACCTTCTTAATTAATCATAAGCCGCTAAATCCAGTTTATTACACTTCTCAATGAATAATAAGTCAGCAGTATTGGCATTTCAATCCACGCTTTCCTCCCATGAGTTAATACAAGCTAGACTCGCCAAAAATTTAGCACGACGCATGACTTACCATCCTACACCTCAAATCATCTTTCATCCAATATAGGTCAACATGGCGGGCCTTCTAAACGATGCTGCCTTATCCGCAATAGAAGGCATTATCAAGGAGCAACTAGAATCAAAGCTCTTAAATCTCGACCCGGACCAAGTCATTAAAACCCTACTACGAAGGCAAGACAGCGAGGATCTTCGCCATAAAATACTCAGTCAGCTAGATAAAGACAGCCTAATGGACATGATCGAAACAAGGGAGGACTCTAACACTATCTATGTAGATATACTGAAGAGGATCCTATCCAAGGTACCCACACCGAGCCATATTAAGCAGGAGCATTCCAGAAACGACACTTCAATTAGCGAAGCGAATCCCCCAGAAGCCAACATCGAAGCTGACCAGACATCGCCACCTAACGAATTAGATGAGACCCAGGGAATACAAATTCCCGATAAGGAGGGGCATCCCTTCGTAAGCTCTCCAAATTATTCTAATACCGATATATCGGCTGAATCTACGGACCATAAATTTGCGACTGAGGAGAATAATGATAGTAATATCTATGACTACACTGCATGTGGCTTGGCATTCGAGTCTCAAATACCTCATCTAGATGCGTGGATCCCGATGTTCATGAGCGAGGACGAATTCTACCGCAGTGGACCAAGTGTCGAAGAAATTCGGTCAGCAGTAGATATGGGAGGGATATCTGATCGCCTCTTCATATTCATCAAGCTATTGAACCCGCCCTATCTATGCTGCCGTGCTGAGCAATATCTACATTGGGCAGGATCGAATCGCACATATGTCCTCCCTAAATTAGACACTATACCAGACATAGTGAAGGCGTGGAATAAGGGAACCAACCAACGAATAAACCATATAGCCAAGGCCTTTATAGCCGTCAAGTGCTACAAGAAGTCTATAGAAGTGAAAAATACCAACTTTCATGAGCACCAGTCTTCGGCTGACTCTTCGACTGATTTAGAATCCAGTGAGGAGGATACACCCCAATATATAATCCCCCAGCTCCTTCAGGCGGAGCCCAAGAAAGTACATATCGATGAACAAAAATGGCCAAATATAATCGAGTATGGAAAGAGACTTTCATCTCTCTTGGAAGATTTCGGAGGGCAGCCATTTCTCTCCATATTCCCCTTAGCAGAGCTCGATTGGCACATGAGCTTTACGTCACTAGTCAATAGTCACGCCATCCAGCATATTTGGGAGCCCCTGAGGAGCCTCATGAAACAAACCGGGTTAGGCCAGTTCTTCCGTTCATTATCGCACGCAGTTGGTGATATATTGCATCGCAAATTGCTAGGAGAAGATATTTCATCCCTTGACTTCAGGGACCGGCTAGCATCAGTCTTTGACGAGTATTCTTTAAAAGGGATACTTTCGTGCTCTCCACGACCGACTTTATTACCCCCGTTTATTGCACCAAGTTTAACATCGCTTGTCTATTGCGGACAAGTGACAAGTCTTATACAATTAAACTCCGAGTCATCGCTCTCGCCGAAATCGTTACTTGGACTCGTGGACGGAGTATTGAGTGAGGATATAATTCGGCATTTGATACAGCAGAGATTGCCAAACGACTGGACTATCCTGGGGCGAAGCGAGATGTCGAAAGTTGCAAGTGAGGACTTGTTACTACACAGTTTCCGAGGAATTATCATTCCCTTGTGCATAGACGATGGGTGGGTTCTTATCTGTTATGAAAACCCAAAGCGTACTAAGGTTGCCTATCCAATTACCATTATCAATCCCACAACCAGTGATTATAGATTCCAAATAGTTCTGGGTTTACTTTCAAAATGGATACCGGAGCAAGAAGATTGGGTTCCTAAGGACATCACGACACAACACGTCAAGAACGTGAAATGCCAAGCAGCGTGTGAGAGAGATAGCGGAGTACATATTGTGCTCAATGCAGTAGCTATGGCGAATTCAGGGGTTCTAGAGACCCGACCACTGGATAAGAAAGTGTGTAGGGCACTCTGTATGAGATATTTTATTAACACGCTGAACGAAATGCAGCAAGCGGTTTCCAAAGCAGCCAGAAAGCGTGCTGGGGAGGATAGAGTTTAGATTATGGTCGATGGTAGAAGATATCCTTTAGATCTATGTTGAGTTGATCGCGATAGCACGTTTTCCATTCAATATAATCTCGAATGCTTTCTCCCATCAGCAAGCCTAAAATAACGCTGTAAAGCTATCTATGTATAGCGTATAACATTCCAATATCGAGTAAAGTAGTAGCGCGGATATATTTAGAGGGCGTATGTTAACTCACAAGGCTGTACCTCTCTAATGTAGATCTATTTATCCTATTCCACTTTATCAAATAATTGACCTTAAGTTAGGAGATAGAGTGCGGTTTCTAAATGATTGGAATGCAACATTGCAGGAAAGAACTTAAGGGGAGCATGAGTTACATAAAAGTACTTAGGTACACATCATGGGGCTTGGTTCTAATTGGTCCGGGATACATAGGTACTTGTCTTTTTAGCTACATATTGGTCACGTGGGATTTTGACAGCCCACAACACTGAAGCGAACTTTACAAAATTTAATTGTTTCGGCCCCTCCACCTTCACACATCAACTACAACTGCAACGCCAACATCACAAATTAGACAAAATGGCTCCCGCAGCGACTGGCGCGAAGAAGCAGAAGAAGAAGTGGTCGAAGTATGTATCGCATATGATGAATTGATTTTAGAGGATATCTAGCTAACTTTCATACCACAGGGGCAAAGGCAAGTACTACGCAATTTCGCGATGAGCGTCGTTCGAGAAGCGATTACACCATCTCGCGCGCGACGAGTCTCGGGGTATTTTGGGCTGACCTGTTTTTAATATAGTCAAGGACAAGGCCCAGCACGCCGTCCTGCTCGACAAGACCACTTCCGAGAAGCTCTACAAGGATGTTCAATCATACCGTCTCGTCACAGTCGCCACCCTCGTCGATAGGCTAAAGATCAACGGTTCGCTGGCACGAAAATGCCTGAAGGATCTTGAGGAGAAGGGCCAGATCAAGCCCATCGTCACCCACAGCAAGATGAAGATCTACAGTATGTTTAAGATGGCCTCGAAGAAGAAAAGCCGTATGCTAATCTCGTTTGCAGCCCGAGCTGTCGGTGCCTCGGACTAAACCATCACTCTCACGATACCATGATGAAGATGATATTCGGCCGACAGTCGACAATAGAGTTTGACGGGCCAGATGGATCGCGGATACGGCTTTGATGGATTCAGGCATTTGGTCCTCGGCGTAGCATTGGGACGGTTATGGTTCGGAATTTCGCTTGCAGTTGCATTCAGATAGGGACCGAATGAGAAACCCCGATGAATCTGCGGATATATTTTCGTCTGATTTACGTACTATCGATCGCTGTGCTATAAACATTCTTGCTGTCTACGCGTATAGTAGTAATTCTAGGCCTACGATGTCTTCCAATCCTTAAGCTCCAGCAAAGAAAACGTGGTTCTTCATAAACATGAACTAGTCGAATCTATAAGCAAACTGGCGGCTAACAGTCCGCTAACCTTGGAACCTACTAAACAATAAACCGGAAGCTACCCTGCCTTAGGTACCTATTAGAGCTGTGGAGGAGTCTGTGATGCATATTTGGTAGCACAAACAGATGTAGGTATTAGCAGGCGTCATTCCAATTAGGAGGTAATTATACACTAGAACTTCCATATGTATTGGAAGCACTCAGGTACCTATCAGGTACCTAGGTAGGTTACACAGCTGGGGAGGAGGGTGTGGGAGAGAGTTGTTGGCTAAGCCAGTATAAGTTGTTCTATCACAAAACCTATCAAGCCCTAATAATATACCCAATAGAAAATATTGTAAGTGAGCGTCATATACGAATCGAGCTAGAATCATCTCGCCTCATAAGTCGGTCTGTACGTAATCAAGTTTCTACCTATAATAATGGCACGTATGTAGATAAATTCCCGATCCTCGCCCAATAGAAATCAAATCTGATTAATCTCTACAGCACATCTAGGTCATCCGAAATGCGGCGTGGCAGCCGTGGGTACTACTTGGGCATGTGTTAGGTACCGTGTGTCCAAAGTTGCAGCCGACCAGCCAGGGGACCACCGCTTCTTGAGCCGGAAACTTGACTCGGGGAACGGGAAGAAGATCAAAGAGACCCCTGAACGCTGAACGCATGTGGGTGAACACCCTGACTCTCTTTTACCGACACTCGGAATTTAGCTAGCCAAAACTCTCAAAATCTAGATGTGATCTGCACAGTGCACACTAACTAATAAAGCGCAGTTTTTTTTTGTGTGTGTTCTTTCATCATCTAGATCTTCGTCGTTAGACTATCTTTATTATATATCACGAATTAACGTAACGAGGTAAAATGAAGAATGAAGGATAGATATATATCAACCTACTAGGATAAAGCATTGAAGAGTAAGCCGAAACTACCTAGGTAGGTAGGTTAAATAGCTCGCATCTGATCTCTAAAAGTGAGACTCCACGTCCAGGTGATGAGGATCCTTTGGCCTGAATTGGCCGTCCCGAAATTGTCCGGCAGAAAGTTAGCGGTAGGTCAGTTTTTCGCTAGACAACCATTTTATGGCAGGCGCCTAGCTGCCAGGCTGCCCAAGCAAGTGCAGGTTACTTTCACTGCTCCAGCGGACATTTAGGGTAGTTACTTCAGTGAATTTTTAGCATACTAGATCCATAATTGCACGTGACATCTACTGGTCTCGGGGTAACCGCTAGTTTAGAAAGCGAGGGAAGGGTCTCAGTGCAGTTTTAGCGGCGGGTCCGGGAAGAGTCGCTAGAAAAAGCTGGTCCATTTGGCAGTTACCCGCAGCAATTTTTTTCCCTCCCCCCCAAAATATTTTCTGCAGACCCAGTCGCAGTAGAAATATTTCGCTCGACGCTCTCCGTCTTTCAACTCCTCTCCATCTTCTCCTCGTTCACTTCTAATCTCCACTCACTTCTTCTCCTTTCAAAGATCAGGAAGTCTTTGAACAGCCGACAAGATGTCTGAGCAACAGAAGGTTTTGGGCATGCCGGTAAGTTATAATTCCATAACCATCAAATCCCTCGCTCGGACAACGAGCATTGGCCTCCTCTCCACCATCATCTAGCCATCGATACCTCTCGCGCATGCCATCGACGGCTTCAATTGCTTTTTACGAGACAATTGAAGTGGTTTTCGAGTAATTTCGAAATGGTCTGCTGCTTATCGGGATGATATCTGGCACAAAATGGCTGGAAAAGAGAGTGCTTGGATTTTTATGCACCTTTTCCCTCACTATCTACCTCAACAATGAACTTAACTAACGGACATCGCAGCCCTTCTTGGCAGACTTCTTGAGTACGTCACACTGCTTTTGCAATTAAATCCAACTGGCATCCCCGCCAATATATCGATATCCGATGCCGCGTGATATTGGTTGTCATGCGTGATAATTGTTGCTAACTGGTTAATTAGTGGGTGGTGTCTCCGCCGCCGTCTCGAAGACTGCCGCCGCTCCCATCGAGCGTGTCAAGCTTCTTATCCAGAACCAGGTATGTTGATACGTAGATCACATTCAGCCGCAAAAATTTCCCCATTGGAGTTATCTAACTCTAGCTCCACAATACGTACATGTGTCTTCACATGTCTATTTGGCAGCACAGGGCTGGATTCCCTTCGTAGTAATGACAGTGCTGACAAACTGAACAGGATGAGATGTTGAAGACTGGCCGTCTGGACCGCAAGTACAACGGTATCGCTGACTGCTTTCGACGAACTACCGCCGATGAGGGTGTCTTGTCCCTATGGCGTGGTAACACTGCCAACGTTATCCGATACTTCCCCACTCAGGCCTTGAACTTCGCTTTCCGTGACAAGTTCAAGAAGATGTTCGGCTTCAAGAAGGAGCGTGACGGATACGCCTGGTGGATGGCTGGTAACTTGGCCTCCGGTGGTGTAAGTTTTATTGAACACTCTAAGTTTCGTTTACGGATGCTGATATTTATATGTTAGGCTGCTGGTGCCACTTCGCTCCTTTTCGTCTACTCTCTCGATTACGCCCGTACCCGTCTGGCCAACGATGCCAAGAACGCTAAGAAGGGCGGTGAGCGTCAATTCAACGGTCTCGTTGACGTCTACCGAAAGACCCTCGCCTCTGATGGTCTTCCCGGTCTGTACCGTGGCTTCATGCCTTCGGTCGCTGGTATCGTCGTCTACCGTGGTCTTTACTTCGGTCTGTACGACTCGATCAAGCCCGTCGTCCTGGTCGGCTCTCTCCAGAACAACTTCCTCGCCTCTTTCATCCTCGGTTGGTGTGTCACCACCGCTGCCGGTATCGCCTCTTACCCTCTTGACACTATCCGACGTCGTATGATGATGACCTCCGGTGAGGCCGTCAAGTACAACGGTACCCTGGATGCTGCCCGCCAGATCGTCGCCAAGGAGGGTGTCAAGTCTCTGTTCAAGGGTGCTGGTGCCAACATTCTCCGTGGTGTTGCCGGTGCTGGTGTGCTGTCGATCTACGATCAGCTCCAGGTTCTCCTCTTCGGAAAGGCCTTCAAGGGTGGTTCCGGTTAAGTTAAATTCCCTCATACCTCATAGACGGGAGAGGCGTGGTGGTGTAATACGGTGGATAGGCGACAAAGGGCCGTTGATAAAAAGGAGCGTGACGGACGCTCCGGTGGAAAGTTGTTACAGGGCATCACTCATTGCCGTGGCGTTCTGGAACAGCTTGATTTTGCGGATTTTACTGGCAGACAGGGCACACATGTCTCGCATCGTCTTGTCAGCTAGTTGCCCGCTGTAATTTAGATCCTAGGCAATTCCTTTGACTGTATTCTTTCTGCTTTGCGTCCTACATCCCCCTTTCCTCGGTTGCGTGGACCTGGCTTTTTCGGTTGCATACAACTCATAGACTTCTGAATGCAGGTGATCCTTTTAACTAATACCCTATGCATTACTTGTATGTGTGAATACCAATTTTTGCTTCGTAGACAAACCCTTACTATTACGATGATAATTTTACTGTAACCAATTTCTGTCCGCCACGGGAAATGATTCGGGTAGTTGAAATGGACATTGCAATTGAAGACGGAGGGGGCAGGTGGCGAGCAGCTGTATCAAATCGCGGTGTACGGAGTTTTGCAAAACCTACCTAAATAATGTTTATAGTGTTGCTTACTTTTTATACCCCAGCGTGCACTTCTTTACATCTACCTACCGTTGTTTTGACCTTAGGTACCTACCTAAACACTTGCAAGAGCCGGATTGGACAATGCCCCCAAAGCAATCTACAAGCGACGCTCGCGGTCGAGGCTCTTCTGGACCGGCCAAAGGTCGGGCTTCCGCCTCTTCTACTTCTGGTCCTTCCCGAGCGCGCAAGCAAGCCCAAGCCACCGCTTCAGACGCGAGCGACGCGGATCCGTTTGCGGAGGACGAGCGGTCGCAGCAGCGACGAAGGGCGCAGGATACGATGGACCTCGACGAAGACGAAGCGGAAGAAGAAGAAGAGGAGAGGAAGACGATACCACCGGAGCTGCTGACACATGTGCTGCATCAGTTCTTCGAGAAGGACGGCACGAGGGTCTCGAAGGATGCGAATGCGGCGATTGCGAAGTACATGGATATTTTCGTGCGGGAGGCGATTGCGCGGACGGTCGTAGAGAAGGAGAAGGGGTTTCTTGAGGTAAGTTCGTTCGTCTAGGGTGTATTGGTGTTCTGGGTGATGTGATGCTGATGGTAGATTAGGTCGAGGATCTGGAGAAGATCGCGCCGCAGTTACTGCTCGATCTTTAAGGGCTGCGAGTAGGACATTTTATCCTGCTACGGACACACTTTTAGCAGTATCTGCATTGTATTGATTCGGTGCAGATGATCTGTGACGGGATCATGATCAATGACGATGAATATGGTATGGACCAGCAAGTATGCTTGGATGAACCAATCCTCCGGATCGATCTACAAAGCCGCCGTCACAGAGATCTTGGCGTTTCTTCTGCTAGCTAAGTTTCTCGTGCTAATAGTAGTTCGCTGAGGACTCCGTTCTCGAAGCCTAAGGGATTAGAAACACGCCGTACTGTCGAGACCAAGTAGGCGGCATCATCATCCTCCACGGCTTAGGTCTTCATTCTATTCTACCCCTTCGAGGACAGTGCCGTCTATCCATTCTACAACCCTTTTGCTAAAGGGCATGATATCAAGGACAGCTTTGCTATGGACATTGGGAGATAGCTCGACTCGGGACCAGGCGAGAAGATGTTAACTAGCTGAATATAGATATCTTTTCGCCGAGCTTCAACACTCGCAGGCATTTAAAACATCAAACCCGTGAAATAAGGAATCTCAAAACGGGAGCCACAATTTGTTTCGAGTGCCTTACGCGGAATCCAGGAACGCTTCACTGCAGTAAGATCCATTTCGCCAATATCCCATCAGTTATGAAATTCTCGATCCCAATATTTTTTGTCTTTTAGCGTTTCGGCCCCTGAAAAACTCGGAAGATTACTAGGTTAAAATGCTTTAAGGGGATTTCCCTGGCGCTCGGATATGAAGCGTCTCCTGATTGGGCAAGGTATCAATAATTACTTGCAATTTGCAAAGGCGGTTACCTCCTCGTTGCTTAAGTATATCTTGAATTGCATATAGTTACACTACCTAATTATACATACCTAGGTACATAATAGGTACCCAAGTTAGGTAATAAATAATTGAATTTCATCCGAGCCTCTAAGCACAATGACTTCGCTTGTGTATCCCATTTCGTCTAAATGATGTCGGCGGCAACGGCTCAAAAGGGGATGAGATGAAACCGGTTGAGTTTGGCTGGTGTCACACTGGGGCCATGCTGAGGCACATCCGTGCTCCGAACAACCCCTGGCCCGGGACCCTTCGTCGCTTACGGATTACATAGCACACCCAACTTTAAGCTGCTTACACTCCTTAGGTAAGCATCCAACCTTAATTTTTCTGAACTCGCCGAGTACGTACCCCGGTCCCCGGTCAACCTCAAGTCCTCAACAGCTTCACTCCCTGGATTCAAAACATTTCAAGCTTACACTTGTAACTTCATTACTAGCCGTTACATAGTAATATGTTTCTTCCAGTTGTCGTTATTGGGTGTCACCATTGATAGTCGCTTTGTATCGTATGAGTGAGCTGGCGCGTGTTGCTAGAAAACCTCATCTTGTCTCCGAGATAAGGACTGTTGCATCTACGGAATCCAGTCCCAGCCGGGAGGCTTTGCTGATGCCAAGCAGATCTCGATATGACCAGTGACAGCTGGGTTTGGAAGACGTATTTCGGCTGTCGAACGTCCGTCTAGGCCCTACCAAATGAATACCCTGGTCGAGGTGGTAGCAATTCCGCATTTCCAAGACTACATACATACCTTAGGTACCTAGTCATCTAGTAGATGGCCAAAACGTGTTTCATAGGTTTCTTCACTCCACGACCCTTGATTCCACGCTAGATGTCAGGGCATGGGTGAGGGCGAGGCCCCCCCAGCATGGCGATCTCTCATCTTGGCTGTCTATGCTCGAGAGCCCTTTAAAACTCATGCCACTCCCGTAAACGTCGGGGTTTTGTCTTTTCTCTCTAATTCATTTCAGCTACTCTACGTTTCTCTTTGGGATATTCATTTTCCGTCTTCTTTCTCTTCTTCCGTATATCAACGTAATATTCTAAGGCTAGTCCTTCTCAGCGCGAGTCGCTTATTACATACGCTCTCTTAAACGACATTCTTTATATTTAGACGAAGTCAAAAACATTCATCAAAACAGCCAAGATGCATTTCTCTACCTCTACTACCGCCGCTCTTCTCACCCTGTTGGGTTCCGCTGCTGCGCAGAAGGTCCACGTCGTTTCGGTTGGCTCTCCCAATGGCACTCTTATTTTCAGCCCGGAAAACCTCAAGGCGGATGTTGGCGATATGATTCAGTTCCAGTTCCGAGGTGGCAACCACAGTGTAGTGCAGTCCAACTTCGACAACCCCTGCACACCCATCTCCGACCACACCAACCAGACCGGCATTTTCTCCGGCTACCAACCCGTGGCTGCCAGCAAGGCCGTGGGCATGATCCCCACATACACTGTCAAGGTCTCAGCCAAGACACCCCTGTGGTTCTACTGCTCTCAGGGCAAGCACTGCCAAAACGGAATGGTTATGGTAGTTAACGAGAAGTGAGTATAATACTTCACGAAGCGAATGAGATTAATATATGCTAACCTGAATAGCACTTCGGCAAATGCCACACGAAGCCTGTCAAACTTCAAGGAGATTGCTAAGGGAGCTGCCGCCAATGTTGCCCCCTCAACACCTACTGGTGGTTCCTTGGGCAATGGTACCTCTTCTGGCGGTTCGGACTCTGGTTCAGGTTCCGGCTCAGGATCTGGCTCCGGATCCGGTTCTGGCTCTGGTTCAGGCTCTGGAACTGGTGCGGATGCCACAGCCACACAATCCTCGGCTCCTGTGGCATCGGCTACCTCCAGCACCTCTGCGATCCCGACCGCTGCCGCAAACATCGTTGGTGCCTCCAGCTCAATGGGTCTCCTTGGTCTGGTCGCTGCCCTATTTATGCTATGATCTGTCCTATAATAGGATATAAATAAGATTTGCTCGTCCATAGTCTTATAGCTATGGTTTAATGGCGGGAGGCGATGAGTCGTGCGGCGCCCGCGCAGACTCTAGGCCATAATATCGCGAGGGGGCCAAACAGGCGTCGAACCCATTGGATGGGCAATCACGCCGTTGCGGATAGACAACCCTTTACATGTATATCTTGGATTCTTCGTCCTAGGGGCAGGCGGTTCGGTTCGCATTATTGTGCAGTTAGATGAAATGCCCTGATTTTTGAATAATATACCCATTAATCCCAAAGAGAAAAACAAACTGTCTTCATGGTCTTCAAGAGTGAATATATGAAATTTCATTTAGTAGGTGTCTAGAAGTATTATTAGCGCTCGTAATAGTAGAACGTTACTTGCCGATATCACCTTAGCCTTTATTATGTTCTCGAGTTAACACTCAATGAGCTAAAGGTCCAACATGTGATCGATCCGTCCCAACCAATTTTATTCAGTTCCTTTTCCTAGGTTTTTACACGTCGCTTTCCCGCTATTAAAATACATATTTGAAATAAAACCTTATTAATCTTCAGAGCCAGGGATCTTCCTCGGCTTCCTACCCTTCGCCGCCGCATCGCACAACTTCTTCCTCGGCTCCTTATCTAACCAGCTCTTGTCCTTCTTAACGTAGCCGACCTTAGGGTACTTAGGGCTATTCTCGAAGAAACGGACCCAATGCAGCAACCCCTCGTGGACTTTCTGCCTCGCCTCCTCGAGCTCCTTCTTCTTGAGCGCGGCGAGCTCTGCCGGCGCAAAGTGCGAGTCTACGGCCGGGTCGTCTAGCGGTAGGAACATGTCTTCGACTCCCCGCATATCGGGCGTCCGGTCCTCGGCGAAACACCCCGTTACGTAGGACCGCGCTGAGTCGGCGCCCGCGAAGAATCGGTACGAGCCGCCCGGACCGTAAGTCCGCCGGTTGCTTGATACGTCGAAGATGCTGCCGTTGATGGCGAGGTAGATGGGCTTAGACTCGTCGGTGCCGTCGTATTGGGCGAGCTCGGCGGGGGTTAGGTATATGGGACCGCGCTGTTGGACGAGCAAGATGTTAGAATGGTAAAGACAGGTAGCTAGGTAGCTAGGTAGCTAAGGTAGACTGAATTGGAAAGCTTAGACGTCGTACCAATTGGCTCTTCCACCAGTCCAGCTGCATGTACTTGGGTGGCGCCCGCATGCTCCAGAAGAAAGACTCGCCGCCCGAGACGAGGTAGCTAAGGCCGCAGGACGCGACGAATAGGAACGAGAGCACGCGCAGGACGTCCAGCCACGGGCTATACTCTTCGTCGTCGTCGACGAGCTCCTTCGTTTTACGCTTGGGCTTGGGCTGCTTGGGCGCGGGCGCGGGCGTGTCCGACTCCGAGGTATCGAGCTCCTCGACGATAGCAGTTCGAACATCGTCCCTCGCGGGGCCTTTGCCCTTGCGCTGACGGATCTCAGCCATGGCGAGATAGCTTTGAGCAGCAATAGCTCTTCTTCACGTCTATATTTTTTGCAGGTACTCAAAGAAGTTCAGGAGAAGGTAGTAGTAGGTAGTTATTACAAACACTGTTTTACATTAGAAAAGGGGATAATACATCCATAGGAGCAGGTAACGCAATGTGGCCTTGTGCGAAGTTGGCTCGTATAACTCGTATAATTGTTCTAACTCGACTCTTCCCGCCGGAAGCTCGAGGCTCCGCAAATTGGGAATTCGCAAATTGGGAATTGGGAATTGGACAGTTATGGTTGGCCGGAGCTTACGCGGTTCAACTTTATTACGTACCTGGCCGACCTAACATCAATTGGAAGAGGTACCATGGTAGCCAGCCACAGTGTGGCTACTAGCTTGGAAATAAAAGTTTAAAGTCCAACAGGAATTAGACGATTGCTGTGACATCAACCTCCATTAACCTCTCCAACGCAGCATAACGTCACAACCGAGGTTACGTTAGCTATATTTTACCCTCGCGGTGCTCTGGATATGCTGTTGGAAGTTCGTGGTTATTCCAATGATACTTCATACTTCATTTAAACTCCGGTAACCCCATCCAGGTCAATCGGCCCCGTGTCGGTATATCGGCCTACTCGTGATTCGTCCAATTATCTCATCGGGCATTTTCCCCCTTGAGCTACGATCTGGATTTGTAAAGAATGTTAATGCGCGATGAAGACGCACGCATAGCAACTTCTTCGCGATCATCGCGTACCTCAGTAAGCATCGTAGATCCTGTGTCGGTTTTCATTCGCCCTTCGGCAACGACGTGGTGGGAACGTTAGGATGACTCAATCAGCGCGTCAGTATAGGAACTCTGAGGGTGTTAAGGATTATGTATAAATATACGAGGATGAACTTGGGAACTAGGTATAGCTTTATATCCTCGAACTGTATCACTAGTCAAGACATAGTATCTAGTCACCAGCTATCCGATTACACCAATATCACACCCTAAAATCTTGAATATACCAATATCCCCTTTCTCCTTACTCAATGGCTTCCTCAACTATGCACGCGGTTGGCGTAACAGAGTACGGCCCCGTTGAGAACTTACACTCAAGAGAAGTCCCCAAGCCATCGAAGCCAACTGGCCGTCAAATGATCGTTCAGGTGAAAGCCATCTCCGTCAACCCTATCGACAAGAAGGTCCGCGCTGGCACTTACGACGATGCCCCTGACTATTACGAGCGAGTCAAGCCACTAACACAAGACTCACCTCACTTCCATATCCCTGGCTACGACGGTGCCGGGATCGTCCTTGAGACGGGCCCAGATGTAAAGTACTTCAAGCCCGGCGAGGAGGTCTACTACCTCGGAAACCCTGTCTTCCAAGGCTCCTATGCCGAGCAGCTGATCGTGGATGAGCGACACGCCGGTCACAAGCCAAAGTCTCTCGATTTTGTCCAGGCCGCAGCAATGCCATTAACTTTCGCCACTGCATACGAGTCGCTCATTGACCGACTAGAGATCAAGGTGGGCGAGAAAGCCGGAATCCTCATCATCAACGGCGGCGGCGGCATGGGATCGATCACATCCCAAGTCGCGCGGCACATCTTGAAACTGCCTATCGTCATCACCACGGCCTCGCGACCTGAGACCATCGAGTTCTCCAAGAAGATGGGCGCCACGCACGTGGTCAACCACCGCGGAGATATCGTGCAGCAGATCAAGGACCTAAACCTTCCCGCCGACATCCCCCTAAAGTACGCGTACATCACGGCCCGCACGGAGCAGTACCTGTTCCCGATCGCGGACATCCTGGCGCCCTTCGGCAAGGTGGGCAGCATCGTGCAGGCCAACTTCGACATGTACGGATCGCAGATGATGAGTAAGTCGCTGACTTTTGTCTGGTGCTGGGTTGGGACTGGGCCGTACCATTATTACTACAATGACAAGCAGGAGAAGCACCATGATTGGTATGAGGAGCTAGCTACGCTGCTAGATCAGGGCGTGATCAAGTGCCATTTGAATGAGCGCTTGAGGGCCACGGCTGAGGGCATCAGGCAGGCGCACAGGAGGCTTGAGGCCGGGAATGCTGTAGGAAAGATTGGACTGGGTATTGATGAACCTGGGAAGGGAAAGGCGTTTCAGTAGATGCTTTGTAAAGGAGAGTGAGTTTATATGTGGATGGAGTTGACATTTTGATAATCAGTTAGTATTTGTGAGCATTTAAGTGGTTGAGGATAGATAAATGCCATGACTTATGTTTTCGTATAACATTTCCTTCTCTCTACTTAGACACTCAAATGTGTTCTATGTTCTAGGTTAATAAGGTGCAACTGGAGTTTGATGAAGAACAGTCTAAAAAGTCAACTTAGATATGCCTCCTTTTTCGGAATAGCAGTACCTAGGTACATGTACTAGTCATGCATGCATGGCTGTGGTGCTAAATGTTAATTCAGGGCACCTAAGTACCTATCACGTGAAATTTTTAATATTTTCTGCTGCCAACTGCCACCGCCTGTAACAAACCGACGCGCCTGATTGGCCTTCTCGCACTAACCACTGAGCCCTAGCGCACCAATTCTACCCACGAATTTCAATCGGATGTACCCGGCCAAAATTTCTATCTCGAACCTTCAACAGTGGAATTTCGCGATCCTCCCCACCACCAACGTTCGACCTTCTAACAACACCAAACTCCCAGCCAGAACGCCAGAACAATCAAGATGTCTGACAACGGCGAGGTCGAGGTCGAATCCACCAACTACCAGGTCCTTCCCAAGGACGTCGTCTCCGAGATTGGCAGCATCAAGCTGTTCAACCGATGTACGTTTTCTCTTATCGCCTACGACTTTCTTTTTATTCGACCCTTGGAGCATTGCGACTGACTCTTTAAACAGGGAGCTACGAGGATGTTGAGATCCGCGACATCTCTTTGACGTAAGTTCACTGCTCGATCCTCTACGTCTCGATTCGACCTGAAAGTCTGGGTTTGGGCGACGCGACATCTAGCCTTGATTCTCGAAGAAAACGCATGGAGAACTGTAACGGAAAAGTTGAGGACAGCACACTAACAGTACAATCTCGATAGCGATTACATCCAGATCCGATCCCCCGTCTACATTCCTCACTCCGCTGGTCGTTATGCCGCCAAGCGATTCCGCAAGGCCAACTGCCCTATCATCGAGCGATTGACTAACTCGCTCATGATGCACGGCCGCAACAACGGCAAGAAGCTCAAGGCTGTCCGAATCGTTGCCCACTCTTTCGAGATCGTAAGGAACTAGGAGCCGATTTTTTTTTTCCAGCGTAGTAAAAGACTAATATCGCATAGATTCACCTCATGACCGACCAGAACCCCATCCAGATCGCTGTTGACGCCATTGTCAACTGCGGCCCCCGAGAAGACAGCACCCGTATCGGTTCCGCTGGTACCGTCCGACGACAGGCTGTCGATGTGTCCCCTCTCCGACGAGTCAACCAGGCTATTGCCCTGCTCACCACCGGTGCCCGAGAGGCCTCTTTCCGCAACGTCAAGTCGATTGCCGAGTGCCTGGCTGAAGAGCTGATCAACGCTGCCAAGGGAAGCAGCAACTCGTACGCCATCAAGAAGAAGGATGAGCTGGAGCGTGTCGCCAAGAGCAACCGATAAAAGGGGTGCAGTTTCTGGGTTTTCTTCGGCGTGGACGATCTGGGCATTTTACACTCTGCATTTGTGCGTTTCTGGCTCAGGCGGGATGCGGTTCTATGGCATACTAGTCACATAGGCCTCTTCAATAAAGGCTCTGCCCGTGTGGGCAAATCATGAACTGAAATCAAGTAATTCCCGAAACGATACTGGTGTTATAGCATTTATTTTGCTCTACTGATATAGCTCTCGCAAATGCAATGGCATCCGTAAACGAAATTAGTCATAACTGACTTGGTATCTTTGTAAGAACAGCAACGCAACGCAACGCCAACCGATGAAGTAGCGCTTATACTACCACCCTCGTACTCCTAATATCAAGGCTCGAGCAATTCTGATATCCCTTTAAGCCTGCTTGTAGCACTATACTCTCGGGTTTCCCTCCTTGATATGCAGTCGCAAAAACATTCCTACGTGCGGAATACCCTCCTCGTACCATTTACCCATGCCCTCGTCGACTTTGAAACCCCACCTCTCGTAGAGTTTAATCACACTCTCCTGGGCGTGACAGCACACCAGGCCGTTCCACTTGGGAATATCGCCAGCCACGCCAACCTTGAGCTGATCCATACCTAGTTCCGTGACGCTAGGGTTGAAGAAGGTCGGGTTGTCCTCGAGCCACTTCTTGGCTGCTCGCCACAACTGGCCCGCGATGTGGTGGCCGCGAAACTCGGGAATCACTGCCATGCGGCCTAGTTTGACGTACGGCTCCTTTCCATCGTGATATGTTGTAGGCCGATCTGCACCAAAAGGTAAAGCAGAGGCTTGGCGCTCCTCGTCCACAGACGTCAGGGTTCTGGCTCGAGGCCTTGCAGTTCCGGAAGAAGTAGTAGTGCCATCACCCTTCTTCTCGCCATCACTCTCATCATCCAGCAGCAGCACATTATTCACGTACCTTCCACCCGGCTGGGGGTGCGGCGGGTGCGGAAACGGCACAATGCGCAGGGTTCCGATAGGTAGGCTGCGGGTCTCGGACTTGCGGGGCTTGGTGACTTCGCCGGAGTGCGGGTCGCGCTCCTCGGGCTCGGTGGTGAAGTTCACGCTGGCGTACATGACCCAGTGGCAGGAGCGCGCGTCATCCGGGTCGTGCTCGTTGGCCAGCGGGACGCCCTGCTCGCGCACGAAGACCGCCTCGCGCACCTCCATCGCGTCGCTGAACGTCTTGGGCACGTGTCCCGGTTGCTGGTCGTGAGGCCGCGTGCGGTCGTACCCGTCCAGCCGCGTGGGCTCGAGGTGCGAGATGAATGGTGTGCCCATTTTGGGATTGGGGGTTTATCTTTCCAGTTCGGGTTGGTGGATTAGTGGCGGCGGAGTTTGCTCCGTGGGGACTTGGCTTAGGCCCGGGGTTGACGATCACTCTTATTAGTTTCTTTGCGGTTTTCCTTTTTGTGTTCTCCGGGTAAGTTGGTTTTGTTTGTTTGATAACCCGAGAATAGAAGGTGAAAACCTAGTTTTCTTCTATATTTGCTCCAAGTAGAAGAAGTAGATGATCACTTTAGTAACTGTGGTTGATAGACAAATGGACGGTGTATGTGCTGTGATGATGGCCACGACAGGATGCCTATGTAAGTAAGTAGGGATAAACTAAGGGGGTAAAAGTAAGGCTGTGACTAATGAGAAAGTCACGGAATTCGAAGGGGCCCAGAATAATGGGAATGGGGTGTACGAAACTGAAACGAGATCGTCGAGGTCAAGGTTCAATAAGTTGAGTCATCGAGAACCAAAGCTGAAGGAGCGGGGGTTACACAGGTCGCCACGGAGCCGACAGTTCCATCCGGCGTTGGATTTTGCCACCCCGTCGTCTCGGCGCGCCACGTGAACTGCGGATACTTTTGCCGACGCTTGCCGACAAGAGGTACCGGTCTTAGATGGAGTCTTCTTAATAGGTACCTAAATTTTTAATAGAAAAATAGCATTCAAGAATTGAATTTTTAAGCATCCTGAACTTTGAAGAATGAGTAAGATGAGAACAGAAGGAATAACTGGTCACTTTTATTAGTGTTGTGTTACCTTAAATGCATTTTAGCTCGAACAAGCAGACTTGAAACGGTAGCTCCGAGTTAATATATCACTTTATCACTATTTAAGACCACCACTTAGCAATATGCTCTGACCCGTTAAGTATCCCGTCCTGCATATCATAGTAACAATATTGGCGCATTCTTGAGGCTTTCCTAGCCGTCCCACCGGGATATTCTTGACGTCACCCGGCGTGCCCTCGGCAGACTTCTCGTCGGGCACCATTCCCGTTTCCCCAATCATAGCCGGAGCTACATCGTTAACAGTAATTCCTACCTTTGCGTGCTTCATTGCCAGATTCTTCATCAGACCTGTCAAACCCGCTTTGGAAGCTGCATAATGGCAAGCGTTGATGCCACCTCCTAGTGCAGCTATCGAAGAGATGAAAATAATCCGACCCCACTCCTGAGCCTCCATATGGGGAATGCTCAACTTGGACAGAATAAAAGAAGCCCGCAAGTTCACGTTGATAGTATAATCGAATTCTTCCAAGCTCACATCCAGGATACCGTTGAGTCGCCTCCCGTAGCCTGCGTTGGAAACTAGTATATCTGGACCGTCTTGGCCGTGTTGTTCCTTAATTTCACGAAAGAGCCGCTCGATCTCTTCGGCCGAGCCGGTATCGACACGATGGACGGTGACCTTGCGGCTCTCGCTGCCAGCCGACTTGCGAAGCTCCTCAGCTAAGTCGTCTACTGGCTGTCTATTGTGGAAACATGTCAGGGCAAGGGAGGCCCCATGAGCCCATAGGTCCCGAGCACATGCAGAGCCGATGCTATGATTCGTCAACGCTGTACAGGCAAATTCTCTACTTTTGCATATGAATATATGGTGTTGGCATACCCTCCAGAAGCACCCGTTATGAGGGCGAGACGACCATTGATCTCATTATCGACTCTAGGCATGGTTATTGGACGGTTATTGGACGGGACGAAGGCTGTTGGAACTTAGAGTTTAAGGTAATATTAAATTGACGTAAAGGCCAAGATGTACCCCATACTTCTTGATGCGCGGGGAAACCTTAGAGATTACCTCATACGTACAAATGCGCCAGCCACAAGTGCCTACATAGCTGTTCTTTCTTAGAGTTCTCAGAGTTCTCAGAGTTTCTCAGAGTGGGGTTCTTCTAAGAATTTCCACATTCGTAGCATTTTAGTTCCATATTTCGCTATCGAGCCAATCAGATCACTATCGGTGGCTTCTATGAAAGGTGTCAGCCACGTGCAGTTTCAACAAGTTGTCCTCTTTGTAGGAAAATAATACGTACTTTTTGGCCAAGCTCGCGCGGTGAGGTCAGAAAGCTGTCTTGGAATAGCTTGGTTTTCCGTTTAGTTAAGGCCAGATTCTACATAATAGAATAAAAGAAACCATTTATAACAAGGTCACCAGGCTGGAGCCTCACAAATAAAGTTGCATTCAAATTTCTCCCTCTTAAAAAAAGCATCAACTTTGTTTGATCGCTCCCACAACTTTTCTTGTAGCTGGTCTCAAAATCTTTCTGCGGCGAGCTTCTCGCCAATCACCCCTCCTCATCCCGCCCAACATGGCACAAACATTCTCCCCTCGATCAATACTACTTTGTGTAGTTTTATTTTTCTCTACGAATGTCCTTGCTATATCTGCTGTTCTCGGTATAGATCTCGGTACCGAATACATAAAAGCCACCCTCGTCAAGCCTGGTATCCCCCTCGAAATCGTCCTAACTAAAGACTCGCGAAGAAAAGAAACCTCTGCAGTCGCATTCAAGCCCTCGCAAAATGCCCCCAAGAGTGGCTCGTATCCCGAGAGGGCATATGGCTCCGATGCCATGGCTCTTGCAGCTCGGTTCCCTGGCGATGTCTACCCTAACCTCAAGACCCTCCTTGGCCTTCCCACGGACCACCCGATCGTGAAGGAGTACAGTGCAAGGCACCCTAGCCTACAATTAGAGGCGCACAAGACCCGCGGTACAGTCGCGTTCAAGAGCCAGGCTACTGCCAAGGAAGAGGCATGGATGGTAGAAGAATTGTTAGCAATGGAGCTTCAGAACATACAGCGCAACGCCGAAGCAATGGCTGGTTCTGACGACAACGTTCGATCTGTGGTTATTACGGTCCCGCCATTCTATACTGTCGAAGAGAAACGCGCTGTGGAATTGGCTGCCGAGCTCGTTGGTCTCAAGGTTTTATCCCTTATTAGTGACGGTCTTGCTGTCGGGTTAAACTACGCTACGAGCCGAACATTCCCTACTGTTAGCGAGGGAGCTAAGCCAGAGTATCACATGGTCTTTGACATGGGCGCTGGGTCTACCAAGGCAACGGTCATGAAGTTCCAAGGCCGAACTGTCAAGGATATCGGCAAATTCAACAAGACGGTCCAGGAAGTACAGGTCGTCGGAGCCGGTTGGGATAGGACTCTAGGCGGTGACGCTCTCAACTACTTGATCGTGGACGACATGATCTCTAAGTTTGTTGAGACACCCGCTGCTAAGAAGGCCTCTGTGACGGCAGAGAGCGTTCGGGGTCACGGACGAGCTATGGCGAAACTTCTGAAAGATGCCGAAAGATTAAGACATGTCCTCAGCGCCAATGTCGACACTGCCACTAGTTTCGAGGGCCTTTATGATGATATCGACTTCAGATATAAGATTACTCGAGCAGACTTTGAGAAGTTGGCTGAAGCGCATGCCGAGAGAGTTGGCGCCACCGTCCAAAAGGCCCTAGAGGTAGCCGAGCTTGACATTAACCAACTTGACTCTATCATTCTTCACGGCGGTTCCTCGCGGACGCCTTTCGTCCAGAAGCAGCTTGAAAAGATTGCTAGCGGTGAAAAGCTCCGTGGCAATGTCAACTCAGACGAAGCAGCAGTATTTGGCGCAGCTTTCCGAGCTGCAGAACTTAGCCCTAGCTTCCGAGTCAGGGAGATCAGGATCTCTGACAGCTCCTACTTCCCAGCGGGGATGAAATGGACGAACCCCCAGAACAAACCCCAGCAGCAGCGACTCTGGACCGAGAGATCTCTCCTCGGTGCTGCCCCGAAGGAAGTCACTTTCACAAACCATGAGGATTTCTCGGTCCGTTTCTATCAACAGGTACCCTCAGCCGACGGCACCGCGGTAGACCGAGAGACAAAAGTCTTGACTACGAAAAACCTGACGGCGTCTGTTGCATCTCTCGTCGAGAAGGGTTGCGCTAACTCCGATATTCATTTCAAGGTCAAGTTACGACTCAGCACTGAAAATGGCGAAGTAGAAGTTGACAAGGCTGCCGTTGAGTGTGAGGCTGAGGTACAGGAAAAGGAAGGTTCGGTCATTGAAGGCGTGAAGAACCTCTTTGGATTCGGTAAAAACAAGGACCAGCAACCTCTAAAAGAGGGCGAAGAAGCTTCCGAGGGTGCCTCAACCACCAAGTCCACTAATACGGCTACGACCTCTTCTGTGGAATCTAGCTCTACTTCGACAACTGCAACTGAGTCGACGTCCGCTGAATCTGCAGAGGGCAGCCCGGTGCCAAAGAAGAAGCAACTCATTGTGGTTCCGATTGACTACACCATAAAGAAGGCGGGCATTCCAGGTCTATCAAAAGCAGACCTTGCCAAGTCAAAGGATCGCATCAAGGCTTTTGAGGCTTCCGATAAATCTCGACGATTGAGGGAAGAAGCACTAAACCAGCTTGAAGGCTTCACCTACAGGGTCAGGGATTTACTAGAGAGTGAATCCTTCGTAGCTGCATCGACCCCAGAAGAGCGAGCTGAGCTGGAAAGGAAGGCTAGTGAAGCTAGTGAATGGCTCTACGATGATGGGGCTGACGCACCTCGCGAGGCGTTCAAGGCCAAACTCAAGAGTCTAAAAGATATCGTTTCTCCCATAGAGAAGAGGATTGAGGAAGCGCAAAAGAGACCAGAGCTAGTTAAGAGCCTACGAAGTACACTTGACCAGACGACCACTTTCATTGATACAATCAAGGAGAAGATTGCCGAGGCGGATGCATACATATCCTCTCTCAGTTCTAGCACTACTTCGACAAGTGAAACAACTTCTACCGTCACTTCGGCCCCGTCTAAAGATGCTGGCGAGTTTGACGGTCTTGAGGATGAAGAAACTACAACTTCGACAACAGCTACAGCCGCTGCAGAGGACCGCGGGCCGGCACCACCCGTTTACACTTTCGATGACCTCAAGGAGATCACGGATCTTTCAAAGTCTGTCATCGATTGGCTAGAGGAGAAAATTGCCGAACAGGAAAGGCTCCCCGAGGCAGCGGACCCAGTACTGTTGGCCAAGGACCTCATAGAGAAGACCAAAAAGCTGGAGAAGGCTGGCATGGACTTAGCAATGAAGAGCGTCAAAAGTTTCGAAAAGAGCAAGAAGAAGAGCAGCTCGAAGAAGCCGAGCAAGAGTAAAGCTAAGAAGGGATCTACTAAGACGGGTAGCGACGGCTCGAAGCCGACGGTAGAGTCCAAGGACGGGGAAAACTACATCAAGTTCGGAGAAGGCGGCAAGGGCCCGACGCCAGAGGAGATCGAGGAGATGATCAAGCGCTTGTCCAAGGAACAACAGAATAAGGAGGAGCCTAGGACAAAGCACGATGAGCTATAGAAGTGATAGGTAGATCTTGATGAATTATATGACGTAACTGGACAAAACGGTTGCCAGTTTCGAACCTATTGAGGTTGTATAATAACATTTGGTACGGACGCCCTTACGTCTAGGCATATGGTTAATCGTATAGGCCATGTTCTACTACTGTGTAAGTGAAGCACCTAATGTTAGGCACCTAGGTATGTTTGTCTCTTCCAAACATGGGTAGTCGTAGTCGTAGTCGTAGTCGGCCCAGACAATATCTATAGGTGTCTCTATAGGTGTCTGATGTTCGTACAAAACTCTCCACCCTTTTTCCTGTAGTAGGCCGTTTGTCATCGTCATACGTGGTACATGATCTTTTTCTTGTGCACGCATTAGGAAAAGACAGGTACGAGTTGGACATTGTGGGAAAGGGGGATACAGAGTTAAACTAGGTAGGTACATGTAGTTCGGTCCTATTCGAGGTTAAAGCCTGGTTCATGTTGATATCATGAGTCGACCTGGCTATAAGCTGGTTACATGTATATGCCTGCCTACATGTACCTGGTACGCTAGTAAGTAATTGAAAGTGCTTAAGAAGTTTAAGAGACATGGAAGTTACACGGAGATGTTTGTCTGTAGGTACATGTCTACATTTAATTCATATAAATGCAGTTGCGCAAGATTACACGGGTTCCACGGTCCTTCAATCCAAAGGCAGCTGCGGATATCCGGCTTGGCAAGATCACCGACGGCTGTAAATTTTGGAGTCTTCATGTTTGAGGTTGTTTAAGGTTAGGGGGTAGCTGGGAGCAATCACCCAAAGCACGCGCCTGCCACAGGGGTATACCCAACTGCCACCTGCAGCTTTAGTGAAGCATCTCGTCACTTAGGTAACACGTCCCAGTGATTCACTTAACTTGGAAGGTACATATGTACTGTTCAAGTCACATACATGAGATCAGTAGACGAAATGTAGTTGCCTACCCTCTACTTTAGGGGACCTAATCTTGAGGGTAGTTGCACATGTTCATATCACAACATGCTCATACCCAAACACCATTTCCTATTTCCTGGGATACTCCTTTCAATAAAATTTCTCTTCTTCTTTTCTAATAAATCCCCCCTCCCCATTCTTTCTTACTCTCCCCTCGGCACAAGAAGTTCTACCATTAGATCACCAAAAGGTTCATCAGAATGGCGTACTTCCCTAGTGTCCGTGTGGTGGTGACGCTTTGCCTCTCCTTTTTCACTACTACTGTTTGGACCCTGGCCCTTGTTCCCAAGACTGGCAAAACGCTTTCTCTTCCCCTATCTCACAATGCTGATGTCCCTCGTCACGGCCCTACCGATTATCTCAGAACTCTGAAGAAGTACAACCTTAATGTCCCCGAGGGTTTGCAACAGGTTGTTGATGCCCACAAAACCGCCACCAACAACAAGATCGTCGCAGACGAACCTGGTAAGTTAAGCAGCGTTGGACCCTCTAAGGGAATTGGACAGTTGTAACTAACAACAACATCAGGAAGTTCTGCTCCGGCCGCCGCTCACGATGGTGATCTTCTCTGGCTCACTCCTGTCAGCATCGGTGACCCCCCTCAGCAGCTGTACCTTGATCTAGATACTGGATCATCTGATACGTACGTTGCCATCCTAGACTTATTGTACTTGATAACGTAATTGGTGTATACTAACAAGTAATGTAGCTGGATCTTCTCGACCGACACGGATAATGCTGAAGTGGACGGACAGACCCTTTGGGATCCTAGCAAGTCATCGTCAGCCAACAAGATCCAGAACTGTACTTGGTCTATCATCTATGGCGACTTTTCTACCTCTCAGGGTATTTGTTATAAGGATACTCTCATACTTGGAAATCTCTCGATTCCCAACATGACAATTGAATCGGCTACATCGGTGTCAACTATGTTTACCGAGTCTGCGAATATGTCTGGCCTTATAGGATTAGCCTGGCCTTCCATAGCTCAGATGCTGCCACCCCAGAAGACCCTTCTTGATCTTCTACCCAATGTGCTGAGTCAACCTTTGTTTACGGTCGACCTGCGTCACAACAGCAGTGAAGGTTCCTTCAACTTTGGATACATCGACGATAGCCTGCATACTTCGGATATCAAGTACATCGACGTGAACACGACGGACGGTTATTGGGCTGTTCAACAGACGGGCTTCTCCATTGGTGGCTCAGACGTCAAATATGAGTTCAGCGAAGCACGAGATATCATTGTTGACACTGGCTCTACTCTATTCTTTGCCCCAGAGGAGGCGGTTAAGACGTATTTCGGCAGCGTCCCCGGTGCCAACTACTCGTACACGGATTACGGATGGGTGCTTCCCTGCAACACAACCCCACCCGACTTCGTTTACGAGCTCGGAGATACACAGGGAAACAGACTTGCCGGCTCGGTGCCTGGTGCTTACTTCGTGTACGCCCATTCCACTGACGACCTGTGCTATGCTGGTCTACAATCCCTCAGTTCCTTTACCGATATGCCAAGCATTTTTGGCGATGTGTTCCTCAAGAGCGGATTTGCCGTCTTCGACATCGCGAACAAGAAGTTTGGGATGGCCCCGAAGCCCCTGAACACCAACAATGATAAACGAGACTTGGATGCTCGTGATGAGGTTAAAAATGTCGTCGAACATATTTGAGGCAAGGGAGAATATGGGATCAATTTGCTGATTTGCATTGTACGAATGATACGAGAGCTCTTTGCGTTTAATTGTTTTGGCTTCCGTTGTTGGGGAGGCTCGCCTACCCAACTTAGACTTTCATGATGTTTACTTTGCGTACCTACGCGGTATGTATTCATTTTAACCTCGATCGGTAAAATAGGCGAATGAGATAGCTGTGGCAATAATCATGGAACTGATTCTACGAACTATCACTTGTACTTCGTTTCTCCTCTAGGCAGAGATAAATGTGACTCGTCGTACCTAGACTTTCGTAAACCTCCCGCCCTTCTCTAGTCCTGCCAATTCGTTTCCCTATTCCCTCTTTGACTTGTGTGTAGCGTAGTGGTGGTGCTGCTGGTTCTTGTAAGAGTTCGTTTACGAGAGGGGCTTACGTGGATTTTCGCCTCGAGACACGAACTTTGGCATTGAAAGGCCGGCAGATGGTATGTTCGTACGTGGTGTAATTTGAGGCTCTGGGCGGATAGGCGACGGCAAAGGGCTCGGGTATAAGCACGGCATATATATTTTACCTGAGTGCCGTTGCTTGCGCCTTTTTACTCCCCTCTTCCGCTATCTTTTCATTTGAGCAGTTCGCTAGGTTACCTGGCTTGTCCGAATACGAGTTTTCCTTTTGCCGAGTTAGTAAAGCTAATATCGCTTTCTGTAACTAACTCATTATCACTAACAGGTATACACATGAGGTTGGCCTTGTCTAGTATGAAAATGATTAATTATGATTACTGCCGTCTGCCTCTTTACTAAATTTAAGGCTGTTGACGTATGGTATAAGATGATAACTGATCAAAGCATCTCAAAACTCGGGGACGAGCATGCATTAATTTGAGCAAGATGCATTAGATGTACTCCTTGAACGATAAAAGCATCTATGTACAATAACAGACCCTTCTCTACTACTACTAAGGCCAGCTAATGAGATACGACATATGCATGCATCCATAGTCCATGACGACGGCCTCTGGCCCGCTTTCGCAATCGTTCCAACCTCGCGGGGCGGGGATGACGGCGACGGCGTTGTTCAAGAAACATAAAATCCTATGCCATGCTAAAATGCCAAGTGTGAGATGAGCGCTTCGCAGCACGCTCTGCCTGTCCGTGAACTATCAGGACCCAACCCCTTAATTTCACCCTACTGCGGCCGCCGCCTCCTTATTCATGATGCTACTTTTAAAAAAAAAGGGGGGGGGGGGGGGGGGGGGGGAGGTATTATTTAATATTTTAGTAGAAAGAAAAAATGAACCAGTAAAAGCCAAACGCAAAAAAAAAAAAACGAGTGGGGTAGTTTTTAAAAA